ACACGCTGTCTCCGTTATTCTCAAAAAAACAACGGGTACAATAAAAAAATTTTTTTGATTTTGATGAAACTTCATCCCAGTGTGATAGCCAATCATCAGAAATGCGGACCCAACTTTTTGAGTCATTTCCTCTTACTGTAGCCGGGTTACGGTAGCCAGGTAGGCACCTGCGTATCTCAGTATTGAAGAGTTTTTAGTAGACAAATGATATATCAATCGATAGGTAATCCTATTTTTGAAAAACTTTTTACAGTACATACCATCTTGGGTTACTGTGGGAAAATTTTGAGTTACGGCACTTTTTGCGTCTGTCGAGTTAGTTTTTCGACCACCACGAGCTTGAGCCGGGAGATCCATTCTTCCTAGCTTTTCAAAAGATACCTTATGAGAAGCTGTACAAGCTGGTATAAGTTCGAAGAAATCCTAGGTGGACCATCATTTCGAAAAATCTCTCCGAAGGCGCGCAATCGTGGTCTTGCGGCGGCCAAATGGGGGAAGTCCATGACGCCTGACGGCTCATTCTTCACAGATCCATTCTAAACTTTGTTTCCATTTCACTTATAGATATCTATTAATGGTTTTTATTACCACTTGAGATGATTTCAGGTTGACCATCATCTCGAAATCTCATTTTGAACTCAAATTTGGCCTAAAAATGGCCGACTCGGCTTTTTTTCACGGGATCCCTGACCCCGTATGTGACCGTTATCAACTTTTTTTTCTTCCTTAAAAAAATGAACAAAAGTGTCTGAAAAAAATAGTTTTATAACGATCGGAAAATATTTTGAGAGGACCATCATCTCGAAATCTCATTTTGAACCCAAATTTGGCCTAAAATGACCGACTCGGCTTTTTTCACGGGATCCCTGACCCCGTATGTGACCGTTCTCAACTTTTTTCTTCCTTAAAAATGAACAAAAGTGTCTGAAAAAAATAGTTTTATAACGATCGGAACTTATTTTTGAGAGGACCATCATCTCGAAATCTCATTTTGAACCCAAATTTGGCCTAAAATGGCCGACTCGGCTTTTTCACGGGAAGAAAAAAAGAAAAAAACCCGACACTCTGACCACCGGTGAGGTTGAAACTTAACTTTCAAGCTGATGTTTTATAAATGTTTTTTTATTATAACCTAAATAGTAGTTCTGAATCTTCAGACTTTTTTTCATACCTAAAAAAACAAGACATTCGTCTTGTGACTATTTTTTTGTGAAAAAGAAACCAAAAAATATTTCGATTTTCAAGCGAAATTTTATTTAAAAAGTGGGTTTCCCAGGTAAACAGTCATTTTGGAATTGATCCAAAAATAGAATTTATTTTCAGTTCTCAGGTTTATATTCTCTTTAAAAAAAGTGAAAAAGGGCCAAGATCTGTATTGATGGAACCAATAATCTTATTAGAAGGGTAAACCAAAAAGTTTTTCAAGCCAAATTTGGGTTCAAAATGAGATTTCGAGATGATGGTCCTCTCAAAAATAATTTCCGATCGTAGTACAACTATTGTTCAGACACTCTTGTTCATTTTTAAGGAAGAAAAAAGTTGAGAACGGTCACATACGGAGTCAGGGATCCCGTGAAAAAAGCCGAGTCGGCCATTTTAGGCCAAATTTGGGTTCAAAATGAAATTTCGAGATGATGGTCAACCCGAAAACATCTAAAATTGAAATAAAAATCAATAATAGACATGTATGAGTAAAATGGAAACAACATTTAGAATGGATCTGTAAAAAATGAGCCGTCAGGCATCAGGGACTTCACCCATTTGGCTGCCGCAAGACCACGATTGCGCGCCTTCGGGGGCGATTTTTTTCGAAATGATGGTCCACCTAGGATTTTTTTCAAACTAGTAATAGCTTGTACAGCTTCTCATAAGGTATCTTTTTGAGAAGTTAGGAAGAATGGATCTCCCGGCTCAAGCTTGTGGTGGCCGAAGAACTGACTCGGAAGACACAAAAAAAGTACCGTAACTCAAAAATTTTCCTACCGTAACCCAAGATGATATGTACTGTAAAAGTTCTTAAAATTGGATTACCTATCGATTGATATATCGCTTGTCTACTAAAAATTCTTCAATACTGAGATACGCAGGTGCCTACCTGCCTACCGTAACCCGGCTACAGTAAGAGGAAATGGCTCAAAAAGTTGGGTCCGCATTTCTGATGATGGGTTATCCCACTGGATGAAGTTTCGTCGGAATCAAAAAATATTTTTTTTATTGTACCCGTTGCTTTTACAAATTTTTGAGAATAACGGAGACAGCGTGTTAAGGACTACCTGAAGAGGATACTAAAGTGGCCACTAAAACGGCTTCTCTATTGGACCCACTACTTTTTCGTCTTAGTGGCCATTGTAGCAGTTTTCAATGGTCCTCTTGAACTGCTTAAGAGGTCACCACAACGTCAAAACCCTAAAGTGGCCGCTAGAAATTCTCCTAGAACCTCTTCGACTTCTTAAAAGGTCACTAAAACGTCAAAATTCTAAAGAAGCCACTTAAAATTCCCCTAGAACCTCGTGGATTTCTTAAGAGGCTACTAAAACGTCGAAAACCTAAAGTGGCCGCTAGAAATTCTCCTAGAACTTTTTGGACTACTTAAAAAGCCACTAAAAGTCAAAACCCTAAAGTGGCCACTAGAAAACCTTCTAGAACTTCTTGGACTACTTAAGAGACCATTAAAACGACAAAACCCTAAAGTGGTCATTAGAAATTTTCCTAGAAGGGTTTATTTAATTTTAAACTTTATCCATTGATTTTCTTTTGCACGGTACAAAAAGAAATCGATGAAAAAAAAAATGAAGAACTGAGGATTTCTGAGGCAAAGTTGGGAGACTTCACGGTTTCGCTAGCTGTTTTTATTTCATAAACTCTTCGAGAGAACCAGTTTATGGAACACAAAATGAATAAAAAAAATGACCGGTTCCTTGTGTAAAACGGCTTCACCTTCAAGCCTTTTTTCGTCATCCTTACGTGGCCCAACTTCAAGAATCCGATCTTTAGTCGTCGAGATTTTTCGTTAGAAATCTTCAAGATTTTCTCTTCTCGCCACGTCTCAAGTAGCTCCTTTTCCCCCGGTTTTGTAGGTCACCATGTCATTTTTCTTTGTTAAACTGTTTTTGGTTTAATTGACTGGAGTTTGAGTGATTTTTCGAATCGATAAATAGGATATTTGATCAAAGATGGATTTTTTCTAGAACGGATCACTTTTCTGGTACGATGCTCCGCTAAGACGCTCTGATTGAAATTTTTTTTTCCTTTTTTGGAAAAAATCCTCTGGAACCATTGTTTTAAAGTATGACGCTCCGCTAGAACGCCATCTAGGTCTGGAGTTTCTGTGAAAAAAAAAAAACAGAATTTTTCGAACTTTCTCTTGAAAAATTAATTTTTACTCCTCATTGTAATTTGGAGCGTCGTTTGGAAATAATAATGGAATTTAAAAATTTTTTTCGAATTTTTTTCGAGTAAAGGCCGTTTCGCAGTATGACGCCTGAAGTCTCAGTAGCTTTTCAGAGAAGAATTTTTTTAATAAATTATATTTGATGGACCTTTTTTAACGTGCATTGGAGATTCGTTCGAAAAAATTGGTATTTAATTTCAGAAAATTTTTTTTTAATTCGTGTTTTTGTCAATTTTTCCTGATTTTTTTCTTTCATATCAGATGTTTTTTGGTCGATTAACGTTATCTAATGATTGAACCGGGGGTCAAAATGTTCGTTTTCATTGAGACACCCAAGAACCGGTCGTAGCGTGTGGAACGTGCGATAAAATTGCCCTTTTTTCTCATCTATCAACTGTCGGCGGTCCATTTAGCCCATCTTTTTTGTCTATGAACTAGAAAGTTTGTTCTTGAAAAAAAAGGACCGGTTTTTGAGTCAGTCTGTGATGTTTCGGAACGAATTTCTTTTGGTGTCAATTTTTTTAAAGTAGTTTTCAAAATTTGATATTTGAACTGCTTTGTAAGGATATCAAGACATTGAAGCTTTAAAAAACTGGTTTTAGGCATTTGAGAAAAAAATAATAAAAACAAGAAAGTGGATATAACTAAATAATTTTCTTGGTTTTTTGAAATTCAAAAAATCGGTTTGTGGGTTTTTAAGTTCCTGCTGGACCAATTCACACTTCAAAAATTGGTATTGCTTGATTTTTTTTCTCAGTTTTTCTTTTTTTTCAATTCCTCACTCTTTGTAACGAGTTTTTTTGAAGTTTCCTGGAGAAAAAAATTTATTTTCAAGCTTATTGGTCAGATTATTTTTTTATTGAAACAGTCGTTATAGATTTTTTTGAAAAAAACAGCAAAAATAATTACTAATTTTATTTCGATTGTTTTTTTGTTCCAATAATTCAAACATTCCTTGTTATTCCTTTCGAAAATCTAGGGCTTTTTTTTTAAGAAAAGAAGTTTTTCCATTTTTGCTATTTTAATTGCATATAAAAAAAATTCCAGCTTCTCGATGAAGCTGGCGCTCGTTGCAGTGATGGCTCTGAACAGCTTCGTCTTCTGGTTTTGGTATTCGCAAAAGAAAAATTTGGCGGAAACAGCTGGCGCCGCCAATTTACGGCCTTTCGACTACCTCGAAAAGTTCAATAGTAGGTTTATGTTTTGGGGGATCGAACCAGCGACCTCGGGATCCATAATATGCCCTCTTAGCCACTCGACAAAACCGTAATTTCAGATATGACCGAGATAATGAACAACACCTGCGTTTGGCCGTTACTTTCACCAGCGCAACAGGAAATCAAAATTTTTATTGGAGGTTGCAAGTGAGAATTTTTACTAATTTAAAGGCGCATGGACCAATTTGCAAAAAGGTCTTGATGTAGAGACCCTTTTTCAATGGTTTTCAAATCTTTTGAACTTCCTGGCAGTTATTTTTGAATGTCATTTTTTTAAGTTTTAAAGGCGCATATGCTGAATTCAATGAACGGGTCTTGAAGGGAAGAGCAGATTTCAGCGTTATTTGACGTTATTTAATCTTTTGAACTGCCCAGCCAGAGTTTTAGAGGGAGTTTAAAGGCTCATAGAGTGAATTTTAAAAAAGGTCTCGTAGCGAAGAGCAGATTTCGGCGTTATTTGGCGTCATTCAACCCTTCGAACTCCACAGAAAATTTGTTTTAAACAGAATTTCGAAAGCGTACAGTAATCCCCTACCGTAATCCCGATTTAGACCAATTACTTGCCCAACAGACATGTCCAACATGGCTCAACTATCATTGGACGGGATTCTAACCATTTCTCATGATATCATTTCGAGAAGGATCTCTGACCGTAATCCGAATTTCAAGTGAGGGTACGGTATTCTACTGTGAAAGATTTTCTCCATTTTAAGCTGTTATTACCTGGATTTGGTGCAAAGCTGGGCGTGGACCATTGTGAAATCAAAGGAGGAAATTTTGGTACGCGACGCGACACGCAGCGCGGCTGACGGAACTCGGAACTTGTTCAGATTGAGCCGGACGTTCCCACGAAAGTGCCATTCGAACAGTTTCTGGTCATTTGCAAAGATCCGTTCGGAAATTATATTTACGAGAAGAGTTTTGTCAATTTTGCGGCGAGGAGCTCGAATTCTACCGAGGTTTGAAGGAAAAATTCTTTTGAGGATTATACGATTTTTCTTTAGACGGAATTAAGAGAAGGAGATTTGAAAGCGGCAGATCCGGTGAGTTTTCGAGAAGAAAAATGGTGAAAAAAGTGGAATAAATACTAGAAAAAGTTAATTTTCATAAAAAAAAAAGGCTAACTTGAGCTAGAAAAGAGCCTGAAGCCTTAAATTTTTGAGACTTTGAAGTTTTTTGAATTTTCTCTTCAACTTCCCTTGTACGCCAAGAATTTCAAAATTCAGATTTTAGGAGCTCAAGACACGGTTTTGACGTTTCTGTTGGAGTTTTGAAAATAACAATAATTCAATACCATTCTCAGAAACTGTTAGGAGTGCAGAAAAATTATGAAAAATTCAGGAATAATTTGAAAAATAAATAAGTAAAGAAGGGATTTCCGGCCTTACAGGGGATTTTTCCCGCTTGGCTTAACTATATTTCTTTTTAATTTTTTTGTTTGAAAGTTTCAATTTGAATAATATTTTCATCATTTTTTTATAGATACGTAAGATTTCTGTGACTTCCAGGAATCCCCATCCCTAATAATCCTGGCTCTTCGCGGCGTTTCCCACAACCAAATCATGCGAAGATTGCCAAAATCGCTGCAATTTATGAATGATAATGGATTCATCTCGGCCGCCATGTTCAATCAGGTCTTTTTTCGGCAAAACTTTTGTAGAAATGAAAGAATAAGTTTCAGATAAGCCAAGATAACGATGAGAACTTGATGGCGTCGATCGGGGATGGAGACGCCGACGGAATTTGGAGCAAAATGAGGGGTGAGAAAAAATGGCCGCAGGGATTTTTGGCTTGTGCGCTCCATGGTTAATTTAGGGATTATTTGTAGAGCAGAACAAAGACCAAAAATGAAAAAAAAATTGATGAAAATTTAACATGATTATCAAAAAACAAATTTTTTTATTCATACGATTTGCCTTGGAGCGCATTTTGGAAGAAAATTAGGAAAAACAATGATAAATTTTGAAATAAATGGTTACTGTGCTTTTCAGCTTGTGCGCTCCATTTCTAATTTTTTGCGTCTCTTGTAATTACCTAGGTAACCCGAACGTTTCTGAGACACTCTAGTGACCACTTTAGCGGCATCAACACCCCTTAAGTGATCTCTTGGATTGCTCATAATGGTCCGGGATGCATACGGCTCGGAGAGAATTTGTCCTCGGGGGCATTTTTAGTGACCACTTTAGTAGCGTCAGCACTCTTAAGTGATTCCTAGAATTGCTCAGAGGCGTCTGATTTTTGTTCCCAAAGTTCGAGTCTATGCAAATTAGCCATGGGGCGCATTATTGTATCAAACAGAGGCTATTTTTCTCATTTTCAGAACGCGGCTGTGTAACCTTTCTCCACGACGACATCCAAGGCGGAGCTCCTTTTGGGAGCAATGTGACGAAAGAACTGGATTTCGACTTTCATACCAGGATTTATCATTCCTATAATCTGGACAGATTGATAAGGCCTCCCTTTGTGGGCCATTGCATGGCCGATGGAAAGGTTTGAGGGTTTTGGAGTTTTTTGAGGCAGAAAATGAATGTTTATATAGTCAATGTTTCCCGACTTGAAAGGCGAGGGAGGCGGGGCAAGGGGTGGGACGCGTAGCGTGTGCATTCGCGGTTCTTGGCACGAGTTCAATTCAATAGCCGCCGACTATTTAAAAAGCTCGGCAGCCGCTCTTTTTCAATTTTTTTTTACTATTTTTTGATGCACACATGAACATAATCATTAAATAATTGAAAAAGGAATGAAAAAAGCGAAAAACGGGTTTTTCAAAGAGTAGATGGCGGTTGAATTGAACACGGGTCAAGAACCGCGAACGCACACGCTACGCGTCCCGCCCCTTGCCCCGCCTCCCTCGCCTTTCAAGTCGGGAAACATTGACTATAGCTGAGATACCGCTTGAGCCATTGGAAAAAGGGTCCTGACACGATAATAAAAATACAGATAACTTCTCAAATAACTTGAAATTTCTCAAAAATCAGAATTTTTTGAATCTTTTCAAATTTCTTCCAGAAGGTCAGAAGTTTGTAGGTTCTTGAAAGTATGAAAAATATCAATCTTTTTCAAAAAAAGTTCTAATTTTCAGCTCAACGTTGAGGATTACTTGGACGTTTGGCACCGTTTCTCGGCGAAATTTCAAGATTTTTGTCACTTTTCAATCGCTTATTTCTCGGGAATCGGCGCGTATGATGACTGTAGTCTTGGCGCCATGGATCGGCTCTTGGTGTTGGTTTAAATTTCCTGTAGAGACCACTCCAAAGTTTCTCAGCTTTAAGAATACTGGGGAAACTTGTAGTGGCCCTTAAGAGACTCCTCAAGGATTATTTGGAGAGGACATTCAAGTGGCCACCTTTGAAACCACCTTTGTAGAAACCATTATTTCGCTTTTTAGTGACCACTGTAGTACCACGTAGTCTTCTAAAGAGGCCGCTAAGTTTTAGCCACTTAAGTGACCACTAAATTAAGTATTATAGTGGCCACTGAAACCAACTTTATAGAAACCTTCTTAGTGTCCACTTTAGTAGTTCTTAGGAGTCTAGTAGTACCACTTAGACTTCTAAAGAGGCCACCAAGTTTTAGCCACTTAAGTGGCCACTAAATATTTCTCCATTAATCCAATCTAATTGATTTTTTTCAGTCAAACTTTCGAAAAATTCAAATCCAACGGCTTGATGAACACAACGGCGATTGTACTACTCACCGACGGCGGGAACAGTAAATCGTAATAATTTTTCTAAATTCTCGCAATTTCACTTATTTTCCAGAGATTTCTCTGCTACTATCACCGGTTCCGTTGAAATGAGACATGGCGCGTTTCTAATCAGGCTTCCGGAAGGTTTTGCGATGAAGTTCCCGGAGAAGGCGCGCAATTTGAAGATTAACTCGAATCGGTTTGGGAGCAAGAAGAAATTCCAGTAAATTATTCGAGGAAAATTTCCCAGATTGATGAGTAATTGGGACGTCTATGCGACGCTGTTGGATCTCAACTCGGCAAATGGGGAAACAGGTTTTTTTTTTGAGTTTCAAAATGTCCCTTTAAGGGTTTTCACACGTTTTTTGTGTTCTTGAAAGAGTGGGCCGCATTTTTTTTCCATCGAAAGGCTTGTAGAAACTAAAAAAATCATTTTTTTCAGAATTTTTGGTTCCTTTTTCTTTAAAAAAATGATAATATTGGGCTAAGAAGTCTCAGGTTCGATTCTTTATTAATATCAGAAAAAAATTCCCTTTTTAAGGTTATTAATCTATTTTTAAAAAAAGGAAGTTTTTGAATTCGATCCCTCGCCTAAAAAGCTTTTTTTGCAATTTTTTTAAAAGAAATTGAACCAGAAAACGACTATCACGGTTGAAAAGACCCTATTACTTCGTTCCACGCTCTAAAGAGCTTCATTTTGACAAAAAAGCAAGGTCTTTGGTTCAATCCCTCTCAAGAGCGGACTTTTTTTTGCCATTTTCTGTTGACTTCTAAAATTTTCTATCATTTGCCATTTCTTGTATAAACTACACCAGAAATCTATAATCACGACTGAAAAAAAATCCTTTTCTTCTCCTTTTATCCTTCTTTGAGCCCTTCTGTGACTATTAAGGTCTCTGGTTCAATCCCTCTCAAGAGCGGACTTTTTTTTTGCCATTTTTTGTGGGCTTTTAAAATATCCTTTCATCATATAAATGGACTTAGATTTGACTTTTCACCTCGGATCTTTTTTTGCCATTTCTTGTATCCCATTTCTTTGATCTCTTTTGAGACAATTGAGAGACCCTCTGGTTCAATCCCTCTAAGAGCCCATCCTTTTTTGCCATTTATTTACTTTTCATTTCAGCCGGTTCATTGCTCAGCCGAAAACTCCCAAACGATAGAATTTGCTCTGACGCTGGAATTTCAACGGATATGTGCCTTTGTGCGACGGAAAAAGACACTGAGAAGCAGAAAAGGTTTCAAAAATTGATATTCGCATGTATTTTCGATTTTTCCAATGCAGAAAATACATAATAGCCGTGGATCAAGCGATTCAAAAAGAGTTTTCAACGATGAAATGTGTTTATGGGGCGTGGGTTCTCGACACGAAGAACTTGAAGGTTTTCGGAGTACGGTATCAATCGAGAAAGTGAACTGAAACGAGAGAACATGGAGAAAAAAGATTTTTTAGAGGTCCCGAGTTTGCTGACGTTCTCGTTCGCGTGAATATGCATCCGATCAAGGGGAAATCGGCGGATGAGAAGATTACGGTAGGGGAACTGTCTGACCTGTCTGCGCTCTCTCCTGGTCATGGAGATTTTGAAATAGCACGTAAACAGGAGAGAGCGCAGAGAAATCAAACTTATACCGAGTTTCCATGTACCTTTGCTTTGTAATACCAAAACGCGCGAGTAGTTTCTGGTAAAACCGAAATTAAGCGACGCATTGAGCCATTCCAAATGCGACCAAAACTTCAATCTTCATTGACTTTTCCAGCAATTGATCGATTTTCGAGGCCGGGTGAGGATCGATTCAAACGAAGCCGAATGGGTTGGACCTCTAATTTTTCGAAATTCCACGATTCCTTGTGAATTTTCCGGACTGGACAGGTTAATTTTCAGAAATTCCAGTGATAAGGAGCAATTTTTCAGCCTGTGCAAGACTTGCTTCTACAATCTGCCCAATTTTTGAGTTTTTAGTTTAGTTTTATGATTATTTCAAAAATCGTGCGGGTATTTCAATTTATGAAAAATGGGTTTCGCATGTGCTCTATGTGGATTTCGCATGAAAATAAATTATTTTTTGAAATTTGCCGTGTTTTTTTTCGTTGCATGAAGTAGGAATTTTTTTGCATTTTTTTATCCCATATTAAAAAATATGAAATTTATAGATTGCATGTGAATAAAATTGAATTTGGCTGTAGCGTTTTTTTCATCCGCAACGCCTTTGAGCCATTCCAAGTGCGACCAGAGAATTTTAGGATTTTTTTAAAAAAATCGTTCATTTTTTTCGGAAAAAAAGGCTTTTTTTCTGTTTTTTTTTTACTCATAAGTTCAAAATTTCCGATTTTTTAAATTCGAGTCGAAAACTGATCTCAAAATTTCGTTCATTGAACCGATTTTTTTTTTGGAGATTTTTGGGGCCCGCGAGAGAAAAAACTTCTATAAACATGTTCGAATAATTTATTTTTCAGTGAAAATTTCAAAAAAAGATCTGTTTTCGCTTACAAGCGGCTTACTCATATCAATTTCTAATATCACTACTTTCTGAAAAATGATTATTCATACTGTTCAAAGCTCTTCTTGATAATAAGGTCAAACTCTTTCAGCAAATAGTTTATTATTTTTCAAAGCGCTAAGATTTTTATTTTTTCCGGTGAGTGAGCAGCCGAAAAATGGCATTCTTCTTCCTTTTCCGGTTTTCAGTTCGAATTTCCATGCTTCAACAAACGAGTAAATAGGAAAAAGTCGTTTTGATCAGAAGGAAAATTTTTTTTATTTTCGAAAGAAAGAAGTGCAAAAAAGACAAGAGAAATTAATTCAACCCCCCCTCCACTTCCAAAAAGTACAGATGCAAGCTTCATTGCCTTTAATGAATATTGATGGTCTCTGGAGGAATAAAAGGAATGCGTAGGCTTTTTTGGTTCAAAAACAAAGCTTTTATGAATTTTGTAAAGCTGCTTTGAATTGAACAACTGGAAAAATTAGAAATCATCAAAACTTTTTTAAGAGTAGGAATTTTTTTCGGTCTGAAAATTTATCTTTCTGAATAACCATTTCATAAACTCTCTTCTTAGTGAAACGAAGTCTCTTTGATTACTCATATCAAAAAATAATTTCACCACTTTCTGAAAAATGATTACTCATGGTTTTCAAAGTACCAAGCTCAAAAATGAAGCCAAACTTGCTCATTAATTAATTTTTTTGCGAGGCGCCAGATTATTTTTCCGGTGAGTGAGCAGCCAAAAAATGTCATTTTTCTTCGGTTTCCGGGTCCCTCCCTCAGTCATTTCTCGATTATTATGAGCTCTGTGGGAACTTTCTCCAATGAACGGCCTTCCCTGCACATCAGCGGCATGTCTCTCATTCTGGTTCTGTCGATGACCATCAGTTTCTGTTCGATTTATCTCGTCGTGTTCAAGTCCGGCAAAACGCCCTACAGATATCACTTGCTCTCCTACATGGTCAGTTTTTTTAAAGATTAATTTTTTTGACGAGACATTCGAAGAACGCCGTGGGTGGCAAATGACGTGAAAAATATTTTGGCATGGGAAAAATAAGTAAAGTTCTTTTTCTATTAGAAAATCATCCGGAGAAAAGAAAAAAAGGGTGTTGGTCGCTTAAAATTGAATTCAAGTTATATGGCCGCACTTTTGGAATGGCCCATCGATCGCGTCGCGGTAAAAAAAAATCCAAAATTGTAGAAAAAGCGCCAAAGCTCGAAAAATGGTGTTTTTAAACTAAAGGACCACTACGAGGAAGCGCAAAAAAATCTTGATGACCGCGTTTGGAATGGATTTCAACGCGTCGCGGAGTTCTGACCATTTTTCATAGATAGAAAAAACAGGGTTTTCAGGTATCAAAAAAGTCGAAAAATATTCAGAACCGCATTTGAAATGGCTGAATACGTCGCGGTCGCGCTGCGTTTGCGTTATTCTGTGACATAAAATTCCATCAAATCATCTTGAAATTTTTCTCAAATGTACTACTATCATTGGTTGAAACCATGAGAACCGCTTCGCAGCCGCGACGCGCTGAGCCATTCTAAACGCGTCCATCTTTTTTTTCTGGTTTTGAAAAGATTTTTATTTGCAATCTCTTTTTACATTCCAGATCAACTCATTACTGATCGATGTTTGGATGGAAATCGGTTTGCTGCCAAAACCATTATTTCCGCTCGTTGGAGCCCAGTTTTGGAGCCCGGTTGTTATGGATCTCGGATTGGACAAGTATTTAGCGGCAGTGAGAAACATTTTTGCTTTTGAAAAAAAAAGTTGAAAACATTTCTGGAAAAAGAGTTGACTATGACTACTGGGAGAATTTCCAGTGATCCCTTAAGGATTTCGAATTTTTAGTGGTCACTTAAGCGGCTAAAAATCCTCTCTAGAAGTTCGAGTAGTACTAGTAGATTACTATAGTGGCCACTGAGAGGCAAAAAGCTGAGTAGAGGTGGTTATAGTGGCCGCTTTAGAGCCCTCTCCAAGTAGTCTTTGAGAAACCTCTTAAGTGACCACTAGAGTTTCACCCAATTATTAGTGAATATTTTGAGCCTAATAAATCCTGAATCTCAAAAACTTTCCTTGTATTTTAATTTTATAGTTACAAATTATAATTTATACCATATCGCTCATCATACCTCATAGTCATACGTTACAGTTCAAGTTTAAGACTTCAGCAGCTATTTGATGAAATGATTATGAACAAATTCTTCCTTGAATACACGGCTAATCTCATTATTTTTTCAAGTGATTGAGTCGGTCAATTGTTTCTTCTGAAAAGTTCTCATAATGAATATTTTGCTCCGAAATAACCAAATTCAGAATATATTTTTCGTCCTCTTGGAATTATGCATAACAACGATCGGAACATGCTTCATTCATCAACATGATGTCGCCGCCGAAATGGTCAAGGTAGTCTTGATATTTTATAAATTGGTGGGATCGAAAAATCGAAAAAAAAAAAGTTATTTTTCACTTCTCCGCCATTCACTTCTTCATTATTGATTTTTTGGTGGTATGAAAAAAACACCAGCGAAAATTCAAACGGCGACTTTTCCGATTTTTTCATATTGCTAGAGAACTTTCCGACGGCCACTTTTCCGACGGATCCCTTTCCGACTTTTTTCCCTTATCTTTTTTCGGTTTTTAAAACATCTATTAACATTTTTTTTCCTATTTCTTTGTGTTTTAATCATCAACCAACTACCTACATTATATAGGAAGATTCAAAATGAAGATTTTATCGAGAAAAAAAGTCGGAAAAAGATTCGTCGGAAAGGTGGCCGTCGGAAAGTTCCCTAGCGATACGAAAAAATCGGAAAAGTCGTCGTTTGAATTTTCGCTGGTGTTTTTTTCATACCACCGATTTTTTACTCCTTCTATACTTACTACATGTTCTAATTGCCCAACTTTGAGATAAACCCAATTGCTGGACAGTCTACTGGGTAATACCTCAAGGAAGCAATAGAAGAGCAAAACCAAGATTAGTTTGAGCTCAACCGTCATGAGAAAACACGGATTTTTTTTTCGAAAAAGTCGAGATTATTCAGGGGACCACGGTCGGAAAAATAAGATGGCGTATTTTCATCGTTTTCACTGTTTTCTGCTCTTTCGCCATCGGGGTCGTTGACGATTTTTCAAAGCTGACCCCGTTGGAACAACAAACCAGCATCAAAGAAGTTGGTTTTATTTTTTTAATCGTAGAAAGTTGAAAAATGAGAAGAAGGCTGAGTTTTCGAGTGTCTGCGTCTCCCTGGCGACGTCAGAGATATACGAAAACAGCATGTAAACATGAGAGAGTCGTTGAGAGACGAGGAGGGCGCAGAGAAGTGCCGTCCTTTCAAAAATGGACTATTTGGTTCTTTCAGAAAAATTTTGAACTCATGAATCTTTTTTTATCGATTTATTTTATCAAACCGATCCAAAGTTCCATTTAATATTTGCAACAGAATTTCTTTAAAGGAACTTTCCGATGAGTCAGGAAGCTTAAAAATTCAAAAAAGGGGCGTTGCCAGCCAATAAAACGGCTCATTTGGTTGAGAGAGCTCTTTAGGATTAATAAGACTAAATTTTAAAAAAAAGTAGAATTTAAAAAATGATATTATTTTTTTCAAAGTTTTGCAATGAAGTCCTCGGTCGTCGAATTTTGAGAATTTCTGATTTTTCTGCCTTTTTTCTCGGGTTTACGTGCTATTTTGATGTTTTATGATCACTACGGTGAGAGAAAAGAGAGCGCAGACAGGTCAGAGTGTTTATGGAGTGATGAAATTTCAACACTTTCCTCAAATTTTTTTCAAAAAGCCCAGGAAAAATTCAGAAAAAAATTTCTTCCATTCTGAAATTGAAAATTCTCTAATGGGACGGTTCTCAGATGGGGAGGCTTTTTATTATTTTTTATTTTCAGTACTATCCATACACGATCAATTTATCTTTGGACAATGTTATTCTCTATGATTATTCTCTGAATAAAACTGTAATTTATGCACTAACTTTCGTCTATTTATTCTCTACGACGACTACAATTTTGCTCTGTTGCCTCGCAGCCCGGACTTTTATGATTCTGAAAAATGTGACCGGAATTTTTTCGAGAAGAACTGCCGAGTTGCAGAAGAATGTGCTGAGAAGCTTGGTGGCGCAGGTTTTTTCTTTCTTGAAATGGTCGCAATTGGAATGGCTCAACGCGTTGCGGTCGCACACAAATGATTGATGGCCGTACTTCAGCAGCTCGCTATAATGATTCACCATGCTCACGCGCGAAAGTCGTTTCAAGTCGGCGGAGCACGCTTTGAGCCATTCCAAATGCGACCATGAGCTTCCAAATAAATAAATTTTTCCAGTGCGTCGCCCCTTTAATCCTCTTCTTCGTTCCGCTTTTTGGATGTGGATTTATTGTTCTTCTTCAGGTTTATACGTTAAATTGTCAGTTTTTTTCTTATCAATAATTTTTTTCAAATTCCATTCAATAAAAAAAGAAAACGATAATATTGCTTGAAAAATTAAAAAAAGCGATAAAGTGGTCATTTCAAGAAAAAAATCCAAAAAAATTGGTTTGAAGACACTTGAGAGACCACTTTCATAATATTTCCTGCGATTTATTCTCAATCGAATCAAAATATGTGAGTAGGCTATTTTATAAAAAACCTTTGAAACTGGAAAATGACCCAAAGGGGAGTTTACCTATAAAATGCGAACTTTTCGAATTAAATATATAGGGAGTTTGTATTTTTCAAGTTTACTATTATAAGCGCACTTCATATTTTTGTGAAACTTGGAAATGACAAAAAAAACGAGGTTGGAAGCCAGAATTTCCAAAAGTTGTGGTTTTTTGAGTAGAAAATTGTCAATTGATTTTTTTTACTCCGTTCTGTGCTCCCAAGCTCTTCCTGAATGGACTATATAACGCAAAAAATTTTGCTATTTTTCTGAGGATCTTGCCCTAATTCAATGATAAGCTTTTCATTAAACACCTCATATTCTATTTTTTGAGGGTTTGTCATTTTCTGCACCTACATGGTCGCCATACACGGGATCGCCTCGAATTTGGCCATGATTTTGACGACGCCTCGATTTCGGGAAATGGTGTTCAAATTTTTGATGATTTTGCCACAGAACCGGGTCCATGGTCAAGGAAGCTCAATTATGGTTCTCACTTGAAAAATTTTATTTTTTTGAATAAATTGTTTTGTTTTTCTTAAGTTTGTTTTTCTAATGATTGAATAGTTTTGAAGCGGAATATTTCAATTTTTTTGTGTTTTTTCTTCTTCGATTTGCAGATAGGTTTGAGCTTTTCTCAATTAAAAATTCTGTATCACGAAATCAAGTGGATTTTCAAAAAAAAAGACTCCCTATTTGGAAATTTTTTGCTTTTTTCAATTAAAAAAAACTAGGAAAAATCATTTTCCCAATATTTATTAATAAGAAAATCCATTAAAAAATGGTTCTAAAGCGCAAAAATCAAGAAACTAGACAATAAAACTTAATCAAAATTCCCCAAAAAATGTAAAAAAATTAAAAAAATTACGCATACATTCCGCAAATGTAATATTGATCAGAATCACACCTGAAATTTTTTTCCAATTATCAAATTATAAAAAAAGAACTTACTCGACAGTTCTGAGAAAGCCGTTCATTGGAGAAGCAGCATCGGGAATTGGTTCTCCCTTGGAAAAATTTTTTTAAAAATCCTTTTTCCATTTTGAAAAAAACCTTGACATAAGCGACGCAATCTCCATTGGAGAAGTTTGGACTACCCGGTGCCCATTTTTCGGAAATTAGTGGTTTTGTAGCGACGCCGTTGAACCAGGTAAAAGCCTAAAAATATTCAATTTCCGTAGAATTTTTGAAGAAAAACTAACATTCAAAAGACCACAGGGATTTGTTTGGACGGGGTCCAAAGTTGTGCACTCGGCCTTCTTTTTGGCGCCGATGAAGTATTGTCCATCCTTTTTACCATCGTTCATGTAATCTGTAGCGGAAATTCGGTGAATAAACCGGATTTTCGCCTACCGACAAAAACGTTATATTCTTGAAGATCCTCAAATCCGGTCAAATGTGTTCTGGAGGCGACACAGGCGTCTTCCGCGGTACTCCATTGAGCCTCGGTAGGTAGGGTGTACTGTAAAAAACCCTTTTTTTCGGGAAAACGGGTTATGAATATGAATTTTTTTCTTCCTCCGTTACTGTAGGCTAGAAAAGTGTGATCACACGCTGAAGTGCGTACAAAACAGTGTATTTGACGTCAGCTCAGTGGTAAATTTATTATATTTCTCGTCTTTTCTCTTTTTTTCGTGCTTTGATTTGGATCTAAAAAGATTCTAGCATAGATTGCAAAGCGCATTTTTTCTCACTTGCTCAAAATCCATGAGAAAACTCACAAAAATACACCAAACCGTCGAGTCACTCCTATCTATCCGGAACCATTCTTCAGGACATTCCAGGTTCACTGAAAAGTACAATTTCAATCTTGTTTCGAAAATAAATGAACTATCAGGTGAGCAAGTGGCTTCATCGGCAGCTTGAATAACTGCGGTGAACATGTATTGTTCGTTTTTGAACGGTAGAAAGTCTTTGCTCACGTCGTTGGTATAGTCGGGACTGACCTTTTCGCTCAGAATCATGCAGAAAAACTGAACTTTATCTTTTTTTTCCATTAGGAATTAAATATTTGCACAGTTTTTCCGAAGATTAATTTCCTAATCTGCCTGAAAAATGAGAAAAAAAAGGGAAAAAAGTGACGGTAAGTTTTTATAGTGGGAACACACGCGCAGATGCGTATTAAACAGTACAATTCACGTTAGTTTCAGTTCTCCCTTATTTTTTCATTTTGTGGTTTTTTTGTTTCTTGAAAAAATCATAAGTTGTTGAGAAGCTTTTCATGACCTGAAATAACTTTAAAACGATTCTTCGGCTTGAGACCTTCAATAAGTTACTCCAATGCTCCTTTAAAAAGGATTTCCAGCGTTTTGGAAGAAACCTTGAAGGTAATACTATTTTTTTGTCAAAATTTTGAAACAAAGTCTTCTCTAACCTTATCTTGAAGCTGGTACACAGCGATCATGCAATAATTTCCATCATTGAAAGTATTGAGACAGTTTAAGAAGCAAGGGGAAATATTGTCTTTTTCGATTTCCCTAGACGTCAGCGATGTCCGGGTATTCAGAAAGGCCCTCGTTAGTGGTGGCGTCGATACTTTGTAGCCAATTACAGACGCCTGAACATTTTTATTTCTCATATCAAAACTTTACTCACCAAAAGTTTGAGGAAAAGGAAGAAAAGCCGCATTTCTTGGAAGAAGTGCCAAATTTGGTCTTAATTTTCCAAAAAGCGTCACCAAGGAGATTTCCTAATTTGCCAAATCGTTAGTTCATGATTTATTTTGTTTCTCACGTCGTGTTCAAAGTACTTTCCGCGAAATGGAAAATCGTCTCTGGCTCTCGAAGTTCAGTTGCCTTTTTTTTTTCTCTGGCGTTTATTTCGGATGTGGAAGCGGAGCTCTCATTAATTGGGATGCCGTGCAGTTATGATCGAAGAAGATTCGCAAGATTTTCTGGAAAGACGGAGGAATCAGTTTCGATTTTCCTGATTGAGCCATCTAATTGCCTCATTATGTGCAACGGTAGCCCTTCGACAAGATTTTTTCCTTGAAAGAGACTGACAAGAAAGATTTTTGTCACTGGAGGTTCGAATCAACCGATTTTTACTCGAATATAATGTATTTTTCAGCCTTTCCCATCTTTCTCACATTGGCGTCGCGACGGCAACGTTCTTCTGCGACGATTTCTTCTCAATACGGTTTTTTAAAAATTCGAATCTTAGTTCAAATCTTGTAATTTTAACGATACCGGGGTTCGAAACGTGCTGTTTTTGGCAAACTTTCGGAAATGGATTTTTTTAGACTCCTTCCCGAAGGTTTCAATTTAGATGGGTTTTTCTTTCCAATCTTCATCCTTTATTTTAATTGATACCATTCAGACGACAAATATGTGAGATCGAGCCGATATGGAAGCTTTAAAAGGACTTTGAAGCTGTACAGGTAAGAAAAAATTTTCGATAAAATTTTTTTTAAAGGAAAAAAATTGCAACTTATTATTCCATGACTGTACAATTTTTTTCCTTTTTTTATTCTAATATATACATATTTTACTGTCATTTTTTTAATTGAATCAAAATAATAGTTTTTTTTCGAAATCGGAGTTTAGGCGTCAGATTAAATGCATTGACCGCAGGTCTGTGTGTAGCCGAAGTTAATCAATTTCGAGTTAAAAAAATAACTTTTTCCATTTTTTTCTGCTTTTCATCTGAGATGTGATCTAATCTCTATATTAACTTAGGGTCTCGGTTATCAGATATAATACTTTTAGAAATTTACGATAATAAATGAAATTTTTAAAATATTCAGTAATCGTCCTACGAAGACGTCCTCCGAAAAACGTCATCTGCTTTAAACTCGTCTTCTGGATCTTTGACGTTCTTCTTTGACAACTTCACCTGCTTCGACATCGTCTTCTGAATAGTTTTTTCCCACCGCCTTTACTATTTTTTGTCTTCTTACACATCTTCTGCTATGTTTTTCAAATAAATGATAGCAACACGTGAAATAGATATCTTTGTTGAATTTTTATTTCACATCTGCTTAGAAAAAGTTTGGAAAATTTGAAAAAAGTACAAAAGTAAAGGCCCGAGTTTTAAGCTTCTGGCTGAAGCTTCATCTGTCAAACAGTTCATTTAGAATCTTACATCAAGAGAAATATAAATTGAACGGCTGTAGCTGCTCCGAGAAAGGCGCCTAGGTTTTCAATTATCCTGAATGAGGCTTCAAACTTTCCAGCTTACTTGTCAGCTTCTATCTCAATCAATTTGATATATCAATCGATAGAGCGTTTTGAGACGGACCTGATGATATAACTCAATCGCTGATATCTCATCAAGACGTTTAATTATAAGCTCAGGCAAGTCTGAAGCTTCTAGATGAAGCTTGATTCATTCAAAGCTTGTACCATTCGAGAGCTGACGACAAGACGAAACGAATGATATTATCAGATAAGCTGTAGCTGATCTGAGAGCCGAGATATGAGCTTCCAAAATTCGTCTTAAAAATAAAAAATGCGCGTCAGATCAAATAAATTGTGTGAGGTGACGCGTCGGGTCAAGTGTTGGTCTGAGGCCCGGATCGGTGTGGTTTCCTCGCGAAAAAGGAAAAGCTCAAAAAAAAGTTTGATTTTTTCAACTTTTTTCTAATTCAATCGATAGATCAGCTTCTATATAGTACTGTTATCAAATCAATTTTGAAGGAAAAGCTCAAAAATTGGGACAAAAAAGGTCCGAAAAAACCGTCATTTTCAGAATTTCAAGCTTCATAACTTTGTTCAATCTTAAGCTACAGAATTATTGATTATATCAGTCGATTCGTCTAATTATCAGCTTTTCAATGATAAACGTTATCAACACAGTGAGCTTCATACAAAAGCGTCATACCTTTCTCATCCTATAACTTGGTGTTCTGATAAGTTATCAGAGATTGTTTTATATTATTGTAACCATCTTCCGACGCTCTTTCGATTGGTTCTAATATCAGTCAGGTTGTAGGAAAAGCTGAGATGTATGCTGAAAAATTCCATGACGTCATCCAAGTTGATAACAGCTGTCAAAGTCCTGGATCATTAGAAAGATGATGAAAAGACAAATCGGTTGATGTAATCAGCTCCTCTGTAGCTTATAAATGAACAAAGTTATGAAGCTTGAAAGTCTGAAAATGGCGGTTTTTTCGGACCTGTTTTTCGTCCGATTTTTGATCTTTTCCTTCAAAAAAGATATTATGACAGTACTATGTGGAAGCTGCTCTATCGATTAAACTTAAAAAAAGTTGAAAAAATCAAACTTTTTTTTGAGCTTTTCCTTTTTCGCGAGGAAACCACACCGATCCGGGCCTCAGACTAACGCTTGACCCGACGCCCAACTTCACGCAACTTATTCGATCTGACGCGCAATTTTATTTTTCAAGACGAACTTTGGAAGCTTATAACTCGGTTCCCAGAGCAGCTACAGCTTATCAAACTATATCAATTGATTCGTCTTGTCGTCAGCTCTCGAATGGTACAAGCTTTGAATGAAATAAGCTCCATTCAAAATCTGCATACTTCTTTCTCCTTCCGACTCGAAATATTTTTCAAATGAACACATTTATTAGGGTTTCTCAACGGAAAATTGAAAGGCAACTCGGTTATGCAATGACGAAATTCATCAGAAAAGGCAGCGATTGGGAGCAATAAATAGGCATAATATGAAAATGAAAGTTTCAAAGCTTTTTGGACAAGTTTCGGGCAATTTGAACTGATCGGAGGCCTTATTTCTGGCCTTCTTGTTCGAGATTGATGACGTTGAAGCATTTGGTGGGCAAGGCGTCGCGGATTTCTTCCAAGTTCAGCACCTGAAAACAGTTTTAGCAGTCCAAAAATGGGTGGAAAAAGGTTTTGAACAGAAACATCCTCGAAAAAAGTTCTGTCAGTGGTATTAAAATTACCAAGAAATTCTTAGAAAATTCCATAAAAAGCACAAATTTCAGCTTCGCGAGGCTATTTCTGCTCGTTTTTTTCCCAAATCTTTTTTATCCTGTCATAAATAGCCGTGGAAAGTAGCTGCTTCAATATCAAAGACTATTTCTTTTTCGAAGAATTTCTATACAAGGTGCAAAAGATCAAGCATATAGCGGCTATTTCAGGCCAGCTGTTCATTTTTATCCTGACAAAAAAAAAGCTTCGATTTCCGAAAAAATTGGAAATTAGCCATGGAGCGCAGAAGCTTGAAAATTATTCCAGATTATTTTCGCTGTGGATCAGAGAGCAATATCTCCGATGAATATCAGCCAAAGTCCCAAATGAAAGCGTTTTCGGATTTCTGAACGTCTAAAGGTTTAATAGCACGTCTTCTCAACTAGGGGTGTTACCAAGGACAGAAAAGGTACAAAAATCTTGAAAAAAACCAATTTTTCCGTTTAAATTATCTACTAGTTAGAGTTCACAGACATTCATCCCATCTAGAATATTTTTTTATGGGATGAAAAGTCGAAATAATCGTGATTAAGACTTCAAAATGGACAAAAAAGCGTTGAAAAAGTCAAGTCCGGATTATCCATAGAGCGCACAAGTTCAAAAATATTTCGGCTATTTTCCTAAGTACTTACCTCTTTCTGTAAAAGTGTGATTTCGGCCTTGATTTGAGCGATTCGCTTCTCATCCTCAGCTTGGTACATTTTGGAAGCATTGACCTGAAAATTATTCAAATTTTTTCCCGCTTCTAGAACTCGACATAGCCGATTCCGCTTCAGATCAGAAATTTTAGGCTTAAGAAAAGTCGTGACAAGTTTGCGCGGCATTGGGAATATAATAAACCTCCTTCTCCAGATCGGCCTTGGCCAGGATCTCATCGATCTCGTCGAGTTCGTCTTCGAGCTCGTCCAGCTCAGCGTTGTTCACCTCGTCCATGTTATCTGAAAGAAAAATTCGAAAAAAAAATTTGAGTTTTTTTCTCAGAACTTCAAAAATGCATCAATGCATTTCTATCATGTGGAACTTGCTCATAATTCCTAAAAAAAAAAGGCAAAAAATTAATACCCAAGGCGTCGATGATCCGTTTGATGAGTTCAACTTCATTGTAGACCGTTTCATTGGCATCTTTGGCCGTTTTCTCGGAGAGAGCCGCTTTTCTAACTGCCTGGAAAATGATACCGGTTTCTCAAAGTTGAGTTGAGTAAAATCCAAAACAACATTGAACCATTAGGTTGATGAATTCGGCTATTGTAGGTTTTCATGAAAGATGAATAGGTCGTTTGATTGAAAAATATACGGTTTATTTTTTGGGTGAGAAAAAAACATTAGATCTTCAAATGGAAATCTCAAACTGAACCTATTTTTCTGATGCTATGTAGAGTTTAAAAAACGGTCTTAGCACGAAGATAAATAAGGAAAAAAAAAGAGTTCCGAGTAATGATTCTGAAAATTCTCAATATCACGTGTTTGAATGTCAGGAATTCGGATCAAAAATTCAAAAATACGAGACAGTAATTTTCAACTATAACTGTTCCATTAAAAAAACCGCCTCAAAATTTTTTTGAATTTTTTTTTTTCTGTTTTGAAAATTAGCACCTCAGTGGCCATTTGCCGGTCGTCCTCAGCCTGTTGCTTGTAATAATCCAAATTGGTCGAAGTCTCGGTGATCTCATCGATTAGTGCATCGACTTCATCTGAAAAAAATGTATGACCACCATAATTTAAAATAAGAAACCTTTGAGATTCAGGGCCGACTTTTTCGTCTCGAAGACCGCTAGCCGTGCATTTGAAGCCTTCTGGAATCAAAAATCAATAAAATCGTTTTTCCCCTTTATTTCTAAAATCATTTTCAAAGGATAACAATTTTTTTAAAATTTTTTTAATAAGATGTGTCGGTTAAATTTTAAGGTCCACATATTTTTTTCACTTAAAACTTCAAAAATCCCCTAAAACCTAAGTGTAAAATTAATAAACTAAAAAAACACTAAGACTCCCTAAAATCCCACACAAAGCGGTCGGGTTGCGTCTTTTTGGCGCCCATTCAAAAAAATGGGCCTTTATTCGACGTAAATAGATCAAAAAAAGCGGTTTCAATAAAAAAACTTTAAAAAAATAATAATTATCGACTCGTAGTTTGAATTATTTTGAGGTGGTAAAAATACAATTTTAGCTAAAAAAACGGTCATTTCCAAAAAGTTTTTTTCATTATTTTTTTCTTATAAGAAAAAAAGATTTTTTTATTTCAAAAAAAGCTAGAACTTTCGAGGATTTTAATCATTTTCTTATCGGAAACATCTATTATTAGCTTTGAAAACTGTCTGTCCTTTTCAAAGGAACTTGATTTATTTTTCTTAAATTTCAAAACTTATTAGTTCAAAAAGCTGTCATTTCCAAGGTTTCTCATTATTTTCTTATAGGGAAAATCTATTATGATTTGAAAAAAACGGTTGTTTTTCAAGGTTTTTTTCCTTATTTTTCTTATCAGAAAAAAATCGATTAGTTACAAAAAAATCGTCCTTTCCCAGGTTTTCCATTATTTTCTAAATTAGGAAAAACTTGATTTTCAATTCCAAAACAATTTTTTTTCTTTCACGCCTTCCCCGTACCTCCTCCACACTCTTGACGTCATCTCCGGCTTCAGAAGCGAGTTCTTTGGCCTTCTGTGCCTTCTTGACGGCGTCGCCCAAGATTCCTTCAGTCCCCTTGGTGACGTCATCCGCCTTGTCCAAGTTGTCGTTGATCTCTTTCAGTTTTTTCAGTTCTTCCGTGGCCACCATTCGGGAAGCTTCGATCCGTTCGTTGAAGGCTGAAAAGTCGATATTTATTTTTGGAAAAACACTAGTTCCTGAGAAAATGTTAAGTGGCCATTTTAGGGATTTTACGTTTTAATAGCCACTTTAAAAGTCTGAGTGATGTTACTAGACTACAAAAACTACTAAAGTGGTCACTCAGAAGCAAAATAATAGTTTCTATAGGGGTGCTTTCAGTGGCTATTTCAGTGTTCTGTCCAATTAGTCCTTGAGGGACCTCTTAAGTGTTCCATAGAGTTTGCCCCATGCGTTTTTTCACAACGATTAAATATTTTTGTTTGGTCCAAATTTCAGCTTAACCATATGGAAAGATTAGTTTCTCAATTTCTCAAATTTTTGCTCCACAAACCCATCAAAGTCTCCAAGGTCGCTTCGGCGTCTTTCAGGGTCCTTTCAGCCAATTTGAGAGAATCTTCCGATTTGGCTCTCGCCACATCGACATCGGCCATCAATTGGTCGGCAATCTTTAGTAATTCAAGATTTTATCAATCTTGGACTCCAGAATTACCGTCTGTTGATCCTGCACTGTTTGTAGTTCATTCTTGGCCTCTGCCGCAATTCGCTCGGCCTAAAAAACTTTCAAGGTTCAGATTCAATTAAAAAAAAAAGATAAAATAACATTTTTCCAGAGTTATTTGGATCAAAAACTCTTCAAAATCCTAGAAGATTCATTCAAAAAACTCAAAAATTCCTTTTTTCGATCAATCAATCATTCAATCGATATTTACCTTTGTTTTTTTAGTGATAGATAAAGTCAACTAATCCATTCATTAGTTTTTTTTAATCTCCCTGGTTAGACACGAATTTTTTTCTAGACTTTTTTTTCGAGCTTCTAACCTTAAAAAACTCCAAAATATGGAAACTTTATCAAAATTTCACGAAAAACCTTGTCAAACAACGCCTTGGCCGTCGCTTTTTTTCCTTCTTCGAGTTTTCCACAATCGTCGCGGCTTCCTCGGCGATCCTCTTCGATTCTTCTTTGAGCTGCAAATTTATGATTTTCTCGAATTCCTTTTCATATAAGTTCTAAAAACAAGTCTGTCTGCAAAAAAACGGACAAAACAGCTCAAAAAAACTGAAACTTTCTGTTTAATCCCGTATTTTTTTCCCATACCTTCGGGAAATAAAAAAAGTTATAGGAAAAACAACGAAAAGACTTATTTGATGAATAAAATAATAAAAATCAAATTTTGTACATTTTTGAGACTCTATTTCCTTCTTAGATAAATAAAATAAAAAATAGTACAGCTTATAGAAAATAGTAGTAAAAAAACTTTTTTTCCACGAATAACATCAAAATTGTAACGCCTTTAATTTTTCCAAGAAAAAACCTACTGTATGTATGGCAAAGAAAAAGAAGAAAAAAATAATTTTGGATATTGGAAAAAAACAAATTTTTATAGATTTTTAGAAAAAAAGTTGAGACAAATAAATTCATAAATATTACGTTTTTTTGAACTGTTAAGGGGGAAAAAGCGATTCTTTGTATAGACCAATGAGCTCAGGAACAGTACATCTTTCGGATTGACTGAGGGAAGTCGGACTCCATCGACGTTGGTCAGAGACAGCGCCGCCAGATTATTCGCATCTTCGGCCGCTTTTTTCTGTTCTTCCGATAGAATCAGCGTTCTGAATGAGAAAAATCAATAATCTTCACTTCTAAATCAGCATCGAATCCCCTTTAAATAGGAATGAACAACTTTTTTACAGCTTCAAGATTTTTTTCGAGGAGTTTTAAGTAAATTTAAATCTAAAAAAAATTCCAATTAAACTTCTTCGATAGCTTCAAGAAGCCGTCATGAATTAACTATAAAAACAAGAATTACTAATTTTTTTCAATTCATTTTCCAGGAAAAAAACTGAGACAAATCATTCACTTGACGAGAGAATCGTTGAGCTGCACGTGGCGTTCCTTCAGTTCAGTAATCTGCTTCGAAAGTTGTTCTCCTGAAACAAAAATTTAATTTCAAAAAAATTTATTTAAATGTAAATTTATTTTTATATTTTTCGAATCGAAAGGAAAAAAATTTATAGAAAAAAACTGGAAAACCAGGAGAAAAATAATTAACATTAAAAAAATTTCTATTCACTTCTCGGTTATTCTACTGTAAGATTACTGTACAAAAATCGCGTGAGGACCTCCAAAAAAATCTTTTTTTGAATGTTTTAACAAAGTTTAAAAATGGCAAAAATTAATTCCGGACTTGCAAAAAAATTTTCAATAAAACTTATTCGAGCTTTTACCTTAAATATTACATTATAAGCTTTTTAGTGAGTCCATTTCCATCCGCGTTTTTTCGAGCATTTAAGCTTTTAAAAAACTTGAAAAAGCCAGATTACTGTAGTTATCGTTTTGAGACCATTTTTCTTTGAAAACTTCTTTTTTTTTTGATGAAAAAAGCGTTAAATTGATTCAGTTCCATATAAATTTTTTAACCTGAAATGATTTTTGAAAATCGATTATATACCTCCATAAATGGCGTCACTGGCTTCCTTGTGTGCCAACGTCGAAGATTTGATTGCCGTTTCAGCCAAAACCTCGATCTCTCCGGCCAATTTCGTCTGTTTTTCAGCTTCTTCCCGAGTTGTTTGGGCCAAAATCGACATCTGCCGAGGTTTTTTTTTTCAAAGTTTTTCCAACAAAAATCACAAAATCCTTCTTTTGAGTTTACAATAGTTGGGTGTCTTTGAAATTTCTTTAAAAAAAAAGTTAAAACCGAGCCGCGACGCATCAGCAATCTGCCAGTCAGAAAAAACTCTATTGAATATTTTTGAATTTTGGAAAATATATATTTCAACTAAAACTGTGAGATGAGCTAAAAATGTCACAAAAACTCTTCTGTCAGATTTATAATAACTAGTGAACTCTAAAAAAATACTTTCCTTTAAAAGAAAAAAATCCAGCCGCGACGCAACCGCAACGCCTCACAAACCTGTTCACTCTGCTCTCCGTACTTTTTGCTGGCCGAAATGGCCAACTCCGAGTGTTTTGCACCTTCTTCCAACAAGTAATGCAGCGCATTTTCTAGTTCACTTCTAGCGTCGGCTGGAAATAATTAATTCGAACATATTTTCGTATGAAATTCAAGGGAAAATATTATAGTTGTTGAAGCAAAAAAGACATTTTGAAGAGATTAAATTGAAAATCTATTGATTTCTCTCAACAGGGGAGACTCTATCTAGATTTAGTAACTATAAATGCTTTCACACATTAATTCTTGATAACAAAAAATTTTGTCTTCATGAAATTGATGAAACAGTTAACTGGGCTTCAGAAAAAAACAAAAAAATTTTTTTCATTCTTCAGACTCATAACTTCTCCTTCTTTTTTTAAATTGTCTCTAAATTGATGAAAACTCCTCTGATCTATCTTTTTTTCTTTGAAAAAAATATTAGCCCTCTCATAACTTGCGTCCTTTAAAGGCGCATCGACAGCACTAACCAAGATATTTTGACTATTTTGGGTAGAGAAAAAAGTTGACTTTAACGAGTTATCATGACTTCATATCGTTCAAATTAATTTCGATATCGATAAGTTTTTCCAGATATATACGACTAACCTTCCTACCTTCTTTACCTAATTTTATGCTAAATTTGCTACAGTAAACTTCGCGAAAACTCGAAAAACAAGCAATAAAACTCGCTTATCTTTTCCAACTGGTCTCACAAAAATGAAATCGAAGACAAATCATGATAAAAAAATATATTTTTCAATTCAAAAAGTTTACCATCGTTTCATTAAATTTTTTTAACTAAAAAAATCAATTTTTTTTTCGACTTTTGCCGTCAAGTTTAAAGGCGCATACACAGCCTATACAAATTTTTCCTAAGCTTACGATCAAAGTTTATAACGACGTTTTATAGTCTGTTCAGATTTCAAAGGTCAAGTCGCTTCTAAAGCTCCGCCCCTAATGACCCGATAAGCCAATCAGAGAGCGAGCCATCCACAGAGTGTTTTTGAATGACGTCATCGCACTTGACATTAAAAATCTGAACAGACTTATTATTAAAAAGCATTTCCAATTCTAAAATTTTTGAAGCCACAACAATCAATTGAACACTTTGAGCCTACTTCAATTTCATTTTATACTCACTTTGCTACAGTGAACAATAATAAAACCCCAAAACCACCGCTAACAAGAGCCCATCTTCTCGCGAAAAAATGAAATCTCTTCCAAATTCTGTTGTTAAATTTAAAGGCGCATCGACAGCTTGAATCAGGAGATCTCGACGCTAATTTTCGAAGAGAAAAGAAGAATTATCGTGATGCCATATCGTTCAACTTCAATTTTAAAAAAACGAGTAAAATTCCTATATTTTTTTCACTTCATTTTATTTGACTGCAAAAACACAAGAAAAACCCAAAAAAATCATTGCTGACAAGGGCCCAACTTCTCAAGCCGGTTCTGAGAATCATCAAATTGAGTAAAAAAATTATTTTAAGATGATAAAATATGTTTTTTTCAACTTATTCATCAAACTATTAACTGAGAAAAATTTCTTTTTCTAACTTCTTCACTCAAATTTAAAGGCGCCTAACCACAAAAAACGAAATTTCGTTTTTTTTTGTGAAACTAATCGACGTGCCAAAATCATTTCCAAGATTAAACTTTTTTCAAACCGCTTGCACAAAAACATTTTGACCCCACTTCAACTTGATATTACACTCCCTTTGAAACAGTGAACCAAAATAAAACTGTAAAAATCACCGCTAACAAGGGCCCATCTCCTCAGGCCGGTCCTGACGGTTTCATCATCCTCCTTGGCAGTTTTCACGAATTCATCGATGCCATTGACTCCAGCGAGGGCTTCGGCCAGTTCTTTCCTCAACTCGGCCATTTTCCCGACGATTGGCGTCTCGCCAGACTCTGGAAAATGCGAGCATTTTTGAGCTCGAAAAAATCTCTGAAACCCAATTTTTTCGTGACAGTTTCTTGTAGAAGCGTCACTTCAAACGCAACCTTCTTCACGTGATCGTCGAAAATCGCGTCGTTTTTCTTGAAAAAGTATTTTTTTTTAAAGGAAATTTCAAGGAGGAAAATTACCGGGGCCGGATTTTCAATAATTTCTTTGAGAGCCGCGTCCAAACCCTTAAGTGTTCCTCGGAAAGCGTTCACTCGCGTCTGGAAAATATTTTTTTGAATTTTTGTCCTGAAGAAAAGTTCTAAGAAAGCAAGGTACACATTGGAATGAATCTCATTGAAATGGTTGGAGCCCAAAAAATCGAGAAGCTCAAACTTGTACGCTCTACGGATAATTTGTCAGGAAAATGAAAATTTCAAGGTAAAACTCCACAGAAATCAAAAATTTAAGCAATAAAGTTCATTCAACAAAAAAATTATGGACGATTTCTGTACATTAATCTGCTCCAGTAAAAGAAAATGTGTCTAGACTATAGTCTGTTCAGATTTTGGTCAAGTCGTCGCTCAAGCTCCGCCCCTATTGGTGCGATAAACCAACCACAGAGCGAGCCATCCACAGAGTTTTTTTGAATGACGTCATTGCACTTGACATTCAAAATCTGAACAGACTATACAAAAATTGCCTTGAGAAGCTGAAACTTGTGCGCTCTATGGATAAATTGTCCTTAAAATGATGGAAAATATTACAACGTAAGTTATTTGTGAACGATATTAAAAAACTATATAAAACACAGAAATAACCTCAAAAATCTAGAAAAATACGGCAAAAAAATAGAAAATTTATTTTCTCAAAAATCTGATATTTTTCGCTTCATTACTTTTTGGCGCCTTATATAAGTTTTTTCAAATTATTTTATTTTTTTCTGAGCTTCTCCTGAGGCATTTTGAATACCTTTTTTTAAATTTCTTCCTTTCCCAATTTATTTTTCAACACCAGACCTGAATCAATCCGTAACAATCATCGCACGGAAGACAGCCGGAGACGATTCCGTACCGATTCTCGACGCATTGGTCACATCGTCTTCCTTCGACGTTTTGCCGGCAAAGGCATTGGCCTGAGAATATCGAAATTTTCAAGGATTTTTCTGCAGAAAACAACTACTAAAAGCAGCTCCGCCCCTTTTTAGGATTACGGTAGGGAAAACACCAAAAAAAAATGTAACTTTTTTCTCCGTCGTTCAAATCGAATGAAACTTTTTTTTAAACGAAAGACAGTGGCAAAAAAAGAGGTTTCTTTGACCCTCAGGCGACTTTTCTCGAAAACTAAAAATTTGTGCAAGTTGGAGCTTCCAGGAGCTTCATTTAGTACTTCAATAAGTTCTCTGGCCAATTTTCCGCAGACAAAAAAAGTGATATGACTTTTTTCTGTAAATGTAAATATGTACATGGAAGGTAGAAGACTTTCTCTTGAAAAAATCGTTTTTTTTTTCAATATTTATTCTGTTTCTAAGGATTGATCTCAAAAGTAGTTAAGAAATGCTTTTTTTTTAAGAAGGAAGCTTTTTTTCTTCTTCTCCAACTCCTTTTTTTTTTGACAACTTTGTTCAGAATTTGGAAATATGACGAAAAAAGCACCAGTGACCACATCGCACTGAGCGCTTTCACTTCCAATCGATTCGCAGTCGCAAAATTGGCACCCATTGACACTGAAGCCGAAATGGTAGGGCGAGCATTGGTCGCATCTGAAAATATTCAGGAATCTGGGAAATAATTCTTTCTTCATATTGTTGGATTTCGCGAATTTTAGTTGATATATCGTAAATTTGATCAAAAAACTTGAGCTGGCAGAGCAGAAAAAAAAAATCCGATATTAAAGTCCAGCATCCGAAAATGGACACACTTTCTATTGGCTAAAAACTTCCAAAAATCAAATTTTAAAAGCATCTGAAAAAAATAATCAATTAAAGTTCATTCACCGCTACTTTAACATTTTCAAAAGGGTTGCAGAATTGAAGTGATCCCTCTAGGAGTTAAGAGTCTGACCTGTGAGCCCGTAAAGCTCAAGTAGTCCCTATAGGAGTTTTTATCCTTTTTATGATTTTGATTATGAAGGTAAAAACACTGTGTAGATAGTTTTCCCTTCATTCAAATGACGGTAATTTATTGAGCTTTTCGCATGGAAATGCTTCTACTTCTAAACTGCTATAGAATGATCTACAGGGACATCTAAATAAAACCACTAGAGGGGCCCCTTTTGCAAGCTTTAGTGGCCCCTATAGGGGGAGTTAGGGTTGTTCCTAGAGGGGGACCTCCTAGGACACTATAGGGAACTCTCCGGCGTTCCTCATTAGTGCGCAAAAAAAGAGATTTAGTCGTCTTTTTGTCAAATTTCCTTCGATTTTCAACCCGATTCTTACCGTTTCCCCGTCACTCCAGGCTTGCAGTTGCACTGTCCGGTGGAGAGATCGCAAGTCTCGTTTTCCGAGCCGAGAAGGTCGCAGTCGCAGGCCTGACAGCCGATTCCCGAAGAGATGTTGTAGAAGCCGCGCTGAAGCATCCAATTTTGGTTCGAAAAGTCAACAATCTTCCGAAACCGCGCACTCGTCGCATTGAAGTCCAGCAACATTGGGAAGACAGTCACATTGGCCATCGGATTGGCGACATTCCAGGAGGTTGTAGTCGTTGTTGGGTCGCTTGGTGCCAGGGGCAAAACACCTAAAAATCTTCTTTTCAGGACTGAGGAGAGAAAATCTAAAGGCTCGAGCATACGTCGACTGGATCCCACCCCGGGGTGCGGCCTACCCCCCTCAAACCGCAGCCTGCCCCGAAAAGTGCGGCCTATCTCAGCACCTTTCAAATTTCTTTTCGCGCAAATGGCTGGGTTGGGATCCAGCCGATGTATGGGCCCGGGAAGCTGAAATTTTTCTTGAATACCTCCAAATATCTAAACAAGGACTTTTTTTCTGGTTTTTGGGATAATAAGTTTCAAAGCTTGCTTCTGACACAGAATCATGCCCAGCAAATAAAAAAACTTTTTAAAAAAATTATATAATTCCTCAAAAAGATCCCAAAAAAATGTGACATTAAAAAAGGGGATCAAATCCACCTTCAACTCTCAACTTTCTATAAAAAAATGCTCCATAGGGGACGTTTTTATGTTTGACAAAAATTCAGGGTCTAGTCAGGCTATAAGAAAGACAAAGAAAACTAAAAAAGGACCCCAGGCGGTTTTCCAGAAACCATTGGATTTCAATTATTTCATATGGTTGTGTAGCTCATGTTCCCTACAACGTTTGAAAAAAGGAATCTTGGAAAAATACCTAATATAAACAAAGTTAAAGCCATTAAATCGCGCGTTTCGCGGCTAAAAAAGATTGGACGAGTAAAAAACTACAGAAAAAGGTAGCCCGATAACTTTTTTTGCACTAGAACACAGTATTTCTTCCTTAAAACGATAAAGCAACGTCAAAAGATAATGATGAACCGAAATAAGTCCTTTCTAACGTGGAAAAACAACTGAGATGAACTTTCGAGATAAGAGAAAAAAAAAATCAACGCGACGAGTCAAGTCCCTCGGAGCTTATTCTTAGCTGCTCTATCCACCGAGGGAGGCAGCAATTCTTCGACGAGATGGTAGGCGCGACGGGAAAGAAGAAGGAGTCGAGAACAGTTGAAGGTATAACTCTCACTTCGTGGAAAATGCTATTATTGTGAAGTAGCCTCGTAACACTTTCATAAGAACTAGAAGTCTCTTTAGTTTCGTTCCAGGGTAGGAACCACGGATCTCTTTTCCCAGTTTTAACCGGCCTAGTTGTTTAGAAACAAATGGCAGTCTTCATCAAATGGTTTAAGTGACTGGTTGAAAGTTACCAAATGCTTCTTGAATATAGTCAATTTTTCCTGATTTGAAAAGTGAGGGAGGCGGAGAAGGGGGCGGGACGTGGTTCTCGGCACGAGTTCAATTCTAGGTCCAGCGACTATTTGGAGAGCTCGTTTATCGCTCTTTTCATTCATTTTTCAACTCTTGATCATTTTTTTTCTTTTGTGAATTGAAAAATAATAGAATAGCTACAAAAAGAGCGGCTCTTGAATTGGACTCGCGCCAAGAACCGCGTACGCACAAGCTACGCGTCCCGCCCCTGCTCCGCCTTCCTTGCCTTACAATTCGGGAAGGATTTACTATCTACAGTAGCTTTAAACGCGCAGAACAGAGCTTTTCCTTTGGTACTTAAAGAGAGTTACTAAAACCTTGGAAATCTGACCCTGTGAGTTTTAGAGGTGAAGGTACTCTCAAATGTCAAAAAAGCGTACTTTTGCGTTTCAACGAGTAACAGAGTCGAATAGTGTTTCAGAATCAGGATACATGTATCAGTTTAGCTTCAAAGCGGGGTTTTTTATATACAGAAAACATCCCCGCCCCCATGTAATGTTCGCGAAAACTGCGAGAGCCGAAAATTTCAAGAAATAACCTGATTTTTTAAAATAATATGACTTTTTCCATAATCTGAAGTTTTACAGGATGTAAAGTCCAAAATCTACGATGATATGACGGAGCCCAATGCCAACAACGGCCGCGCACCACTTCCCTATTTTTTTAATAAAAATTTTTTTCGAGACAAACTTCAACTTTGCTGGGACTTTTGTTGCCAGATAATGGATGCATTAAGTAATTCGTGTGAGACTATGAACGTCGGGTCCGCTAATCCGAATCTTTGAAGCGTCTTCCATTCAAGCTATACATTGGATTCGAAGTAACAGGGCCAGCGTGTTGAACAGGAGTTTGACTATTTCCAAGCTTTTAGTGAGATTAGTGAGATACAGAACTTTCCTTATATTTTTCGAAAAAGAAATCGATCGAAATCAAAAACTTCAGAGAGCGATTTAATGTGAGAAATTAGCGATATCGCTGCGAGAGATGAGCGATATCGCTCGCGGTATCGCGTCTCCCGCGTTTATAATACTGTGTTGTTCTTTTTTTGTCATTCAGAGAAGCATTTTAGACAGCGAATAAACGCGAGGAGTTTGCGATGCCGCAGCGAGAGGTGAGCGATTTTGCTCGCGGTATCGCGTCACTCTCGCGATCATGAAATCGTTTTTTTTCTCTGTTCTCACCCGCAAGCCTGACAATTCCCCTTGGGCTCTTTCAAAGCGTCGCCCCAGAATCCGGCCCGACACTTCTCGCAGTTGAATCCGTCCGTATTGTACACGCACTTTCTGCATTCTCCGGTGATTCTGAAGATCATTCATCTTGATTAAAATCAAGTTTTCGAGCAAGGGAAACCTATCACAATTGCCGATCGAGTTAGGATCGATATTGCCCGAACAAGCGCATTCCTTACATTCGGCCCCATTTTTGGGGCTTCCAAAATAGCCGTCGGAACATTCTTCGCACCTGGGAATGTTTGAAATCAAAAGTGGTCGAATTGTCTCAGAATGAATGAATAAATCAAGGCATAAAACATAAAATGGCTTTTTTAAATTTTCACTTCCTATTCAGAGCTTTTTATGTAAAGTATTTGAACTCAAAAACCCATGAAAAATGGAAAAATGAGTAGTTTTCGAAAAAGAGCCTTTTTCTATTATGAGACAAAATCAAATAATTTCGAACATCTTTAGACTAAAAAGATGCTGCTTAATCTGAAAAACACGATGAGAATTGCCAAAAATAGAAACTACAGGTCATTTCGAGCTTCAAAGTAACTCATCTTATCGATTTCATTCTATTACTTTCTCTTTTTTCAAAAAAAAGACCTTCTTCCAGTGTATCCATTGGGACATTCAGTACATACAATATCGCCATCAGTGTGAAGAATACAAGGTCCATTTTCTGGACAGGGGCATTCCTGAAAATCAGGAAATTTATTTTTTCGTTTGTATGAATTTCCGTGCAATAATATTAATATGATTGGAAAAATAATTTTTTGGAAAAAAAAAACGGAAGAAAGATTTTTAAACCAGGCCAGGAAGCCAATGAGAATTCTTCTCTTAAAGCTATTCATACGATGCTACGACAATAGCGATTTTTTAAAGTTTTTTTTCGAAAAGTACTGTATGTAAAAGTCCGCATTTAGCATGTATAGCATGTTCTGTGTATGCAGACTTTTTCCATTTTTCTTTTAAATTTTATTCGAGTGTATTCCACCTATAGGATATGATTGAAATATGTCAACTACTAATTCTGAACTATTGGAAAAAGCAGGGTAAAAAGGGGCCACTCAAAGTGTGCAAACACGCCCAAGTGCGGACTTTTCATACAGTACTCCTCGGAAAATGAAAACCGCCATTGTCGTAGAGCTGCTTGTACTCCACAACATCTTTTGCAAACCTGACAATCATCGGGAGTTCCTTTGAAAGCGTCCCCGTAAAATCCACGAGCACAGCGTTCACAAGTGTCCCCGGCTGTGTTATCCTCACAAATGCAGGCGCCTTCAAAGCTTTTATTCTTAATCTTTAAAAAAATGGATTTCAAGAGTTAGGCCCAAAGACAAAAAAATGTGGAGAAAAATTTTAAGCAAAAAAATTCTTAACGCTTGAATAAGAGAAAAAGAAAAAAATTGTTGATTTTTTTGTAAATGAACCTTTTACGTATTTTATAAAAATTTAACTTATCTCTGTTTTAAGTAGACTAAAAGAAAAATCGTATATTCCTTCTGAAAATTGTTCCTCAGAAACGGGAATAACATTAAAATCTCTTCAATTTCTGTTCGAGACCCGATTCCTCACCGCTTTCCGCCTCACAACTGTCCGAATGTCCGTGACAGTCGCATTTCACACAGCGATTGAAGGGACCGCCGTATTTGGTCTCGCGACGAAAGCCGGGAGCACAAGATTCGCAGAATTGACCGACGAATCTGATTAAAACAAGGGATGACAGAAACAATTCAAAAACTCAGATTTTGCTTCTAAATAAGATACAAAACAGTAACATGATACATTTCAAAGCTTTCAAACAAAAAAGGAGGAAAGGTGAAAATACAGAGAATTTTAAGCTAGTTATCAGTAGAGAGCAAATTCTTGGTAGAAATATTTAATATGAAGGCTTTCTCTCAGATTTATTTTAATAATAATAATAATAATTTACTCATCCACAAAGTGAAAAGAATAAATAAGGTTAAGAACCGGTTTTAGGTCACCCTCACGAGTGACTTCACCGGAAAGGGAATACATTAGATATCACAGTTGATAAAATACACGTATATGCATATTGAGATTTTTGAGATCATAGTAGCCGTCTAGGGATGCTGATGAATATTTCGCTTTCATTGAAGGTTTATTTTTACAGTTAACTTTCGAAAAACTGAATTCTAGACCCAAAAAACACGAACTTCTTGGAAAAAAGGTCCATTTCAGGCAAAAATTTCTGGAGCTACATTTTTTAAACAATTCCCGAGCCAATCATCATAACTTAGAAATCTCTGATTTCTCTGCGCTCTCTCCAGTTTGCTTACTATTTTTCGGACTCTATCGATGAGGGAAAGGAGAGTGCAGACAGGTCAGAATTTTCAAATCTTAACTTCAAGAAAAGCTTCCTAACTGTTATTTTCAACTCATTTCAGTAGAACTTCTTTTTTTGGGCTGAATAATCAAACCTTTCCTTTACTCAACTTACAACTTTGTTATCAAAAAAATAAGTTTTTGATATTTTACTCATTCAATTTTTCAACTTAACTGTCAAAAAGAGAAAAATATACAGGTTAGAACGTTTCAAACATCGGCCCAAAAAAATTTTTCTGGTTTTTTTAATTATTATTATTATTATTATCGTTTTTTTAGGCTCGGTTATTCTAGTCTTCCCTTTATTCAATATGCCCCTTTATCATCAAAAAGGATCTAACTATTTTTTTCTTCATTTTTTTAAATACCTGACCATCGATCTTGAATTTTTTTCCGTTTTTTTCTTAAATTTCAGAAGTTTCCATTTGTTCCCCCTGTAATCCTCACCCAGGCAGGCAATCGCAATGCTCGATCCAAGTCGCCGTTTTTGGATTTGTCGCCGAAGCAACGATTCCAGCCGTGCCAAGGTCCACACTCGACAAATAGCCAATATCTGATTTCATTTTTTCGAGATTCGATTTTCTAATCAACCAAAAACCTCGATAGGAATAAGTTCCGCGGATCTTGATCGCGGTGACATTGGAGAGGATTCCGATGAAATCGAGTTCATTGATTTTCGGATGCCAGTTATAGGAATGGTCAGCGTGGAGACGGAACCGGTAAGTCTTAAAGTTGGATTTTCTTTTGGTTCTTTTGAATTTCGAGCTAATGAAAAGGTCGTTCTTAATCGAGCTTAAAAACCAAAAGTCTAAAATCTGCACCAAAAGATTATAATGAGCTAACATGAGCGGTGTAAGGTGGGACCAAAAAAAAAAAACTAAAAACACTGTAAAACGCTGAAAAACAATCATAATGAGATAAGATGAGCAAAGTGAGCAATTTCTGATTAACAACTCTCTATTCGAATTTTCAATTCAAGGAAAACATTTTTCTTGTCGAAAATTAGCCCCAAAGTACTATAATTAGCAAAAATGAGCAATATATCATAAGATAAATCCCAAGGAAGCTTCTGGGTAAGCTTAAAAGAGGAAAAACCCTTTAAAAGGCCTGAAAAAACTATGAGATGAGCAAAAAACTATCAAAGTGAGCAGTTTCTTGTCAACATCTATCTGCTAAGCTGAGTATTTGGGCGCTAAAATGAGCAATGCGTCTAAAAAAGGTCTAGAATTTTCCAAATCGTAACCTTGATTTTTCGTAACAAGGGTAAAACAATCGTTCTAGTGTTCAGATTTTGAATGTCAAGTCGTTATTCAAGCTTCGCCCCTAAGATCTCAATGAAGCAATATGAGCAATGAGTATTTTTGTGATATGAGCAACGAATATTTTTGACAGGAAAAATCACGATTAGCTATTCCAAACAAAAACAATGTTCAACCTTGGGATCCGTGCTCGGCATCGGATTCCCTTGAGAAGTGATAGAAGTCGACAGCTCCTGACGGTCCGCCCCGACGATCACGACGTCGCTGAAACCAGAAATCGTCGTCTAATCCTTTTATTCGGATTTTCAAACCTAACGTCCTGGTTGGTGGGATGTTTGGCGACTTTCAAAGTGAAGACGAGGTCTTGGTTATAACTGGACCTTTGGTCTCCGGTGAACTGTTCCGGGGCCACAAAGTAGACCGGGAGGTTTTCCGTGTCGGAGACCTACGAATAAAGGAGTTGTTACTTGCAAGGGAGGTCACTTTTTGCAATTTATAGTTTTTGAAAGTTTTCTAAAACATTCGGCGAAAGTCTAGAGGAAGATAGGCACATTTTCTACCAGTTGACACTTCTCATTTTCAAGCTAATAATTTTTAAAGTTCGGAAAGTTAGACTTAAAAACCTCATTTATTAGGAAATTTAGGCGTGAATCCCTCGTTTTTTATTGAAAATTCAGGCCTAAAATTAATTCTTACTGGAAAATTTGGGCATAAAATCTATACTTCAGAGAAAATTAAGGCTTATAGTTGATATCTATTGAAAAATTTAGGCTTACATATTTCGCGAATTTGAAGAGTCATTTATCTCAAAAACTAGAACTTTGTGCAGTCAGCTGACTAAGGGATCTTTTTTTAGATCTTGATAATTTTTTTAAAATTATGAACGAAATTGGCCTCCTTCTCTATTTCAAAAAAATTTGAAGAACCGTTTTTTTCATTTTTTTCTAATTTTTTTCGAATCGCTAAATTTGGCCTTCAATCGTTAAAAAAATATTTTTTTACAGCATTTATCAGCTTCCGGAAAAGGTTAAAAAGTTATAACAGGAATGAATTTATAATCACTTGAACAAATCGCTTGGACTCTCAATCCTTTTTTGCTCAAAACTCAGTTATAATACATCCATATTCCTCCCCAAAACTGCCCGATTTCTCACCGCAACAGCTTTATCAAGCTCCGCCCATTGAGTATCCTTGACGCCGAGCCTCGAAATCGCCGTCCATTTTTCCTTATCACCATCGAATCGGCTGGAAACATTTCTGGCGAAATATCCATCAGCCGTGGAGCAAATCGAAGAGTGGCCGTAGCAGAAGCAAGGCGTGCAGCCGGCCTAGAAAATCAAATATTTCTCACAAAAAAGGAAGGTTTTTTTTAACTTTGCTTTGCGGAATATGCTGGTAATTGGTCAGAATAATCCTACAATACCAGACAAAAAAAAACTCCAACCTGGACAAATCTAGTTTTTGGGGAGAAAAACCTATGAAAGTCGGAGAAAGCCGGAAGCCTTAGGAGCTTTTCACGACCCCCTAGAGACCACTTTAGGTCCCCTACAGTAGTCCCTAAAGCTTGCAAAAGTGGTCCTTATAGGGGAAGCTTTAGGAGACCTTAAAGACCCCCTAGAGATCACTCCAGCCCCACCCATTTCAGTCTCTGAAGGTTGAGAAAGTGGTCCCTACAGGGAAATCCTTAGAGCTCTTGAAGACCCACTAGGAATCACTTTAGTTTCCCCTATAGTGGCCCTTAAAGCTTCGAAAAGTGGCCCCTATAGTCAAAGCCTTGAGAGCTTTCAAAGAACCCCCTAGGGATCACTCCAGCCCCACCTATTTCAGTCCCTGAAGCTTGCAAAAGTGATCTTGATAGGGAAAGCTTTAGGAGACCTTGAAACGACCTCTCTAATGATCCCTTTTAGTGTTTCTTAAAGCTTGCAAAATTGGTCCCTACACGGAAATCCTTAGGAGCCCCTTGAAGACCCCCTAGAGTTCATTTCAGCTCCCCTTTAGTGGTCCCTATAGGGAAAGTCTTATGAGTCTTTAAAGACCCCCTGGGGACCACTTTAGCTTCCCTATAGTCGTCCCTAAAGCTTGGAAAAATGGTCCCTATAGGGAACATGCTAGTCGGCTTCCAATCTCAAAGTGAAATGACTTTCCTGATTAGTTTTTTTTCAATAAGATCATGAAAACGTTTCGACTAGAAAAACCTGATTATCTTTGGACAGATCAAAGTAGCCGGGCTTGCACTTGTTGCACTGACGACCTTCGACGTTTGATTTGCAGGCGCAGGTTCCCGTGGCGCGGTCGCAACGCGGCTGATTGTCCACAGAGCCGGCAGCTTCACAGTTACAGTTTCTAGAAAACTTAAAAGTTATTATATAACTGATTCACAACATTATTAGGTTCACAACTGATTCACAAATGGATTAGGACGCTAAGGGGGCGTGGCCTGTCTGCGCACTCCACAAACCAGGCACTGTCACTTTTTTAATCGTGTCAGGACCCATTTTTTTTGTTGAATCAAGCCCGCCTTGAATCAGCTATATGTCTTGTTCATACATAAGCAGATCAAAACCTCCTTCCGAGTGATTTTCAAATAAAGAACCGTTCTCGGTCTAGAAATTTTTAAAAATTGGCCATTTTGTCCTTAGATTCGAGTTGAGGTCAAAATACATTTCGATCGCTCTCTCAAGTTCAATTTTCTAATAATTTTTTCCAAAACGATCTCGACTTGGAACAGTTTCAAATTTTCACATAGCCCTCACGCCAAAACTTTGAAAATTGACTGGTTTAACTAAATTTTTCGTATGTTTTTTCTTAAAGATCTGCAGAGTTCGTTGTGGATCAAAATGAGCTGTTAGAAATTTCATTTATTAGAGAGTCAATACCGTAACCTGAAGTTAAAAATCCTTTTTTTTATATTCTTCAAGACTAAAAAGATCTTCTACCACTTTTCTTCCCAAATATTCGTGATTAAGCCCTTCCTCCTGGACTAATTTAGTTTTTTAGTTGCCAATGGTTCAACCAGCGTTTTAAATTTCCGTAAGACAGTGGAAAATATGAAAAAGTCAAATATAATATCGAATTTTTTTTTGAAAAGAATGTCAAGGTTCCTGGGAAAAGTCTCTAGAACTGCACCTGCAGCCGTTGAGTCCGAACTCGAAGAAGCCGTCGAGACACTGGTCACAGTATCGTCCCCCGACTCCCGGCTTGCATTTACACTGCCCTTCGGCGTCGCATTGGGAACTCAGAGAACCGATCTGAGAACCACTTTTTGAGCTTTTTGAAAAAGTTCTCCTTTTCTGAGCTTGCAAGGATTGTAAAAATTATCAGGTATACACAACGGGTATAAAAAAATGTCCTTGAAGTCAATAAAATTATGAAAAAAACTTTTTTTATCTGAAGGAAATCTCTGTTAAGCCTCATCACACCCCGTAGATAAATAAAAAAAAATGATTTTTCCATATTGAAAAAGCTAGATAATGTACAGAAAAAGACGAATTTTTTTCTCAATTTTTTTGGTACGACGAAAAAAATAATAAATTGGAAAAATTTTGAGTTGAAATATTCATGATTGAGATACCTCATTACAACCGCAAGAAATGCAGAAATTCTCCCGCGGGCGTCTCCAGAAGTTCGCCACACATTCTTCGCAGTGAACTCCCTAAAATCTTCTTTTTAATGAATCAAAACTGCTTCTAACACAGTTATAAACGCTAGAAAATGCTTTGAAACCCTTATTTTTCTCTTAAAACCATCCTGAGTGTTCTGTATAAACCAAATCAGCTTAAAAGTTATTTAAAAACTCTGAAATATTCCATAAAAAGCCGTAATTTTTTGAAAACAAGCCTTTTTCTTAAACTCCTGTCGATTTTGCGAATGAAAACCCAAATAGTGAACCTCTTTATTGAAAAAAAAAACTCTTTTTCTTTCAAATTTTCGAATAAAACCTGAGTTTTATGCATGAATCAAGCTTGAAATTCGGTAGAAAACACCAAAAACCAAAAAAATGCCATGAAAGCCGAAATTCATGAGAAAAAAACCTATTTTTCTGAAACTACTGTCGATTTTCTCAAATGAAAATCATAAAAATAAACCAATATTATTGAAAAATTTTTATTTCTTATAACTTTTCGAACCAATCTGGTATGAAAAAATTCGTTTTCCTGAAAATAATGTCAGTTTTTCTTGTGAAAATTATGAAAATCGATTTTATTGATAAAATCTCCATTCTTTTCAAAACGAACCTGAGTATTGCCCTGGCAGTCGACACAATGGCCGCCGTGGCCGGTTTTCTCGAAAAGTTGCTGGTCGAAATAGCAACGGTTCGAGAGTTCCGAGCAGTTGCAAGCTGGAAAATGAAGAATTATTATTAATAATAGTTTCTTCAAAGGTCAATTTGAACTCCGTCAGTCTACAATCCAAATGTAGAGAAAAAAAAAGGTGAAACGCAAAGTAAAAATAAAAATTAGCTGCGTCTTGGAGGAATAGAGGCGAAAAATTCGTTACGAGGTAAATCGATCAATCATTTTTTTTTTTAGAAACTTTGGGTGAAGGGTGAAATGATGTTTGGATGTGAGTTTATATCATTTAGAATCCATTCCAAATTTATAAAAAAACGAACCAACGCATTCATTGGCTTCATTTGCGGTTCCGGCTTTCCAGGGCCTATCGTTATAAAATGGCAGGCATTCGTTGCAATCGGCTCCTTGAAAATGATAAAATCAATTGTTTCATTCAAAAATTGAGGAAAAAAAGGATTAGAATTGTGAAAAATAATCAAAAACGCACAGCCGTTTCAGGTCTAAAATTTTTAAAGAAGGTGACCCCCAAAAAAACCGAAATTTCCCGGGATTACGGTAGTTCGAAAAAATTTAAATGTCCCCAAAAATCTTTATTACAAAAATCTCTTTATTAAACTCCTTCTGATTTGAGATTAAACTTCTTAAAAACTTCTCCGGGCTATTATTTGTTTCTTTCTAAAATGATCATCTTTTTGTGATTTTTTTGAAATCAGGTTGCTTTCTAAAGCGTGTTCAAAGTCATTTCCGTGAAATGCAAAAATTATCTCTGACTCTCCAAAATCTTAGTTATCTTTTTTTCTTTCTCTATTTTGAATTTCGAGGAATTAATTTGAACACGGCAAAGTTTTAAATACTTTTTCCCGCTACCGCCTCTTTATAAAAAAATCAAATTTTCCATTTATTTGATGATCCCCCCCACTGTCCCCGTTAAAAAAACTCCAATAAAAAAATTATTCACTACGGTAAATTTTTTTCTCACTTTTCACAATTTCATCAGAATAAAATTTTAAAAAAAGATCAATTATTTTTTTGAAAAAAATTCAAAATTTTTTTGTCCGTCTCATTTTCATTTTTTTAGGTGACTTTAAATCTTATTATTTACACTAGTAAAATTAATTAAACTTATCTGAAATTCTTTATTTAATCTTGATTTTTTTTTCAAAAATTTTATTTTTTTAAATGATTTTAAAAAGTGTAGCTGTTTATTTTTTTATTATTTTTCTGCAAAATTCGCTATTTAATTTTAATTATTTTCTGAAATTTACCTATTAGCTTTCATAAATTTCATAAATTAGCTATTCAATTTTTATCATTCTTACAAAAATTATTTTATTTACTCTCTATATTTTGCAATTCCCCTCTGAAAACCTTGAGTATTGTGTTCACAACGGCAAACGAGCCGATTTTCCCCGGAAACGCTCGAAGAACCGACGCATTCCGACGCGTGTCCATTGCATTTGCATCTAAAAGTTATCGTTCAAAATGTAGTTCTGATGAATACATTTTCTTATCAAACCTGCCACCAACAGCAAAGTCAGATATCGCGTAATAATAGCTTCTCAGCACTTGGGGGTCGCCGAAAACCTACAAATATTTTTATTTTTGAAAGAATTAATTTGAATCAAATTGAAATCCTTCTCAGGCTTGACTTCTATTAGAAAAAACCATTTCATCTTTCAAAATTTTGGGTTTTATATATTTTCTATGAAAGTCATTCAGTTAATTTTATGGAAAATATTCTGGATTAATTCTAATTTAAAGGCGCATGGTTGATTGGCTCAAAGGCGTTTTTCAACTCGCATCCGACCAAAAAAACGACTTTCGCGGCATGTATCTTCTACTGGTATTTTTGAGCCACTTCTTTAGAAGTTAAAGTTGAAAATGGCTTGATTTCGTTAGATAACCCTTTTTATTTATCATTTTTTCAGATATATATTTTTTTTTTATGAAGTCTTCAGTTTCTCTACACGAAGTATTCTCTATTTGGCTTTTATTTTGAAGCGCTTGATAGCATTTTAAATGACTCAGAGTGTCGCGCCCGACCAAAAACGACTTTCGCATCTCGGCATGGATCTGCTAACTGCGGCGCTTCTAGCCATTCTACTTTTAACCGCAAATTTCAAAATTCAACTCAAGAAAGAAAAAAACAAACAAAAAACCAGGAAACTTTTCGTGTGAATTCCTGTACAAACAGGTAGTTAACAACCTTTTTTTTCAATTTTTGGCAGCTTTTCAAGGGCAGAAAAAACCAACAAATCGATTTACAAACAAAAAATTCCATATATTTTTCTTTGGCAATTGAAAAAAGCTTTTGAAATTCTTAAATCTTTCATAATTTCGAAAAATAACGAGGCGAGAATGCAAGGCCGCCCGAGTCGCATACGTTTCATTCAATAAGTAAAAGGGATAAAATTTTCGATTTAACAATAGTCTGTCATCTCAATGAAAAAAAAACCGGAACACTTCCAATTAATTGTTTTTATTTCAAATTGCTTATGAAAATTACAGGCTCTTTTTCGATTCAATCGTTTTGAAATTAAAATAACGTTATTACATAATTTCAAATTGGACCCGAAATTTTCAAAAACTTCAGAAGGCTCCTTCTTTTCAATTTACCAACTCCAAATAACGCTAAAAAGGATAAACCCAAAAAAAAAATCCAACCTCATCACCAAAAGTGTTCATTCGATTCAACACAACTTTGATCGCAGATGCTGTGACCCATTCCTGAAAAAAATTCAATTTAAAAAAATATTTTACAGGGAAAATCATGAAACACAAATTTTTTTATTTGGAACTTAAAGAAAAACCTGAAGAACGTTGGAATTTTTCAAAAATCGTGAGCAGATGGCCGATTTTCGAGCGTAGAAAAACGCAATATTTCCGCCAGTGATCGGGGAAATGTCAGAAAATTCCTGAAAATCAATAATATGACAATAAAACACTCGAAATAGTTATAACAAGCAAAAAAAAGGAAAAATTAAATCAAAATGGGAAGCGTCGTCGAATAAAATGCATTGTCCGTGAAGCCTCGTGTATGAACGTTTTTATAGCTACAGTAGCCCAAAAGTTGTGAAAAATAGAATTTCTTTCTTTTTTTTTTCAGTACTACGAGTTAACCTTGGTACACTGCGCAACAGCTTCATTTCCGGGAAGAATCGGAGATTTTTCAGGAATTCCATAAGTTGCGCGGCAAGATCCACTGGAAGCTTTTGAATAATTGACTTGTTGTTCCGATAAACTGACGAATAAAATTGCCAAGGAGTCCAGTCGTCTTCCGGATCTGTTTTCTTGTAGATCACAAAGGACTCCGGTCGAGGTGAGATAAATTTCAACCTAACATAGGTTATATCGAAGGTTTTTCCTGCAAAATGAATTTTATTAGTTTTTAGGTAAAAAAAAAGTTACTCCGTGTTTCCATTGGTTCTTTTTCTCTCTAAAATCTCAAAATGGTCGAAAATCCCGAAAAGGTTTGGAATTTCGAGACCTTCAAAAAATTAACCAAGGCAAAATATTTCTTTTTTACCGAATTTTCTTTAAAAACAGCGATAAAAAGCGGAAGGGAGAGGTCAATTGCTATCTGAAGAGACGCCAGAGAAGTGAGAGCAATCTCGCCGTCTGGCGTCTCTTCAGGCCGCCGCTGATCTCTTCTTCTTTAGTTTCTCCTATTCTTTTTTCTACAAAAGACCACCAATTTGATAAATTCATTTTTCTCAACTCGTAAGGGGTAATTTCGGACATAACACTTCATGAAAAGTCCTTCCAACCCAATCGATACTTAAAAATTCAGTAATCCATTTTCTCTCGGCTTGAAACGACAAACGGCTTTTTTGGCGCCTATTCAAAAAATTTCGCTTTTTAGATCCGCTCAGGATTATCAAGCCATTTCGAGTCGAGAAAAATGAACTATAAAAACCAAGAATTTCTCCAAAAAAGATCATCTTTCTGGTCTAGAAGCTTCTAACCCAAGGTCAGGGTCAAATTGACGCTGGTCGGGAACTGAAGGCCTTCGTTCATCGTCTCCGACTGCCACCAGGTCTCGTTATTCGCGTTATTAAAGTCCGTCAGGTAGCGAGCCGGATGAGAAAGTACCTGTAATCAATAAAAATTGATGAATAGCCTGAAAATCCCGAAAAACCGGATGTCGGGCGTCGCAAGTTTCACAGACGCTCCTCTGTCCGGTGTGGCCCGATTGGACACAGAATCTGAAGGAATTGATCAATAAGTTGAAGAAAAAAGAAATTTTGTCAAGAAAATGCAGCAAAAAGTTTCGGTCGCACTTAGAATGGCCTCAAGTGTCGCGGTCGCGTTGCGGTTCATTCCAAGTGCGACCATAGAACCCCAATGACATTCGAGCTAACACTAAGCGCAAAACATACCCTCTTAAAACAAATAACTCAAACCGTAATTTATGTCTAGTAAAGTTATTGTCAAGCTTTTGTTTTAAATTATTTTTTCAAATAAAGCTAGATTTTCTTTAGTATTGAGACTGACTGAAAGTCTCTAAGAAAATGTAAATGAAGTAGATTACATTGATTTGAAGCATACTTCTCGAAGGAAATTTTTAAAAAAAGTCATTTTTTTCGAGGAAAACCACCAAAAAAAGCCGTTTTTTTGTTGTGCATGTGTGCCCCATCGCTAAAAACGAATTCAAAAATGATTTCTCCCTATGAAAAAAATATCCGAAACTCCTTATCATTTACAGAAAAAAATTCAGAAAAAAATTTATATACGAAATTGATGAACGACGTGATTCATTTTCCAAAAATATTTATTTGCACGATTTTTCTAGCTTATTTTTTTTTGACCTTCTCCGAAAATTTTTAGTCGCCACTATAGGGTTTTGAGGTTTTAATGGCTAATATAGTAGTCAAATTAGTGGTCACTTAAGAAGTTGAAAATTTGTGGCCACTATAAAGGTCTAAATGCTACTACTAGACAAAAAAAAACTTTAGTGGTCACTTTAGGGGTCAATGGATCAACATAACTACTCCAATCTGTTTGTTTTAAAATTATCAGAGTTACTGGAAGGAATACTGGATGAAAAACTACTGAAGTGGCCACTAAATAGAGGGAAATAGGGGCCACTTCAGCGTTCTCTCCAAGTAGTCCTTGGCGGGCCTCTATAGTGGCCACTAAAAATTTTGCGAGATTCATGAAATTTTTCAAAGTATACCATAAAAAATCTTATCAAGACTTCTGAAAAATGGCTGAAAGTTTGTCAATCTCCAACCCTTGAAGCCCACGTTTTTTTCCAAAAACTAAAAATAAAAAAACTTGAACAATCGGTTCAGAAGGCAAAATCGCAAATAGATCACCTTGTCGGATACCGTTCCCCACACGTGTTCGTGACTTCGACCCGCAAGTTGAAGGCGGCGTTGATGAAATCCGGTACGCATCTTTGAGGCAACCGGGTTTGTCTGTCGTAGCACGGACTTCCGTCTGCTCATTTTATACGGAATTATTAGTGAAAAAGGTCAAAAAACTCGAATAAAATAAGCCCAAATTCTACAGAGTTCTTCAGAAAAAGTAAGTCTAACTCGCTATAATTTAACCTCGAAAAAAATCTTCAAAAATAGTTTATACACTTTTTGATACATCTTCATGAGAAAAATAGTCATATTTTTTTGAGAGATTACGTCAGAAAAACCTTTAAAAAAATATTGAAAAAAAGCACAATTATTAATTCTCCTCGAGTTCTCTAAAAAATCAAAAACCCTTCAAAAATTGTAAAAAACCCGGATTCTCGCCAATTTTCCAACTCAAGAAAGCGGGAAAATTCGGACAGCCAAGAAAAAGAGTTATTGACGAAAAAGATTGAGAAATAAATAAGAAATTGGATTTTTGCGCCCTATGGTTATATAAACTCATTCTTATTTTTTTAAAAATCGACCATTTTCGCATTGAAAAAAAGTCATTATAGCTTTTGATTTTCGTGATTTCTAAAATTTCTCAATGGAGCGCAAAAAATGCAACCTTTACGGCTATTTTCCAGGAAATTTTCTGTTCAGCGAAACAATAAATTTTTTCGATTCTAAACTTGAAAAGATTCTCTCACCTGCTCCGAAATGGTTCGGATCGATGCTGGGGTACAGTTCAGCGGGCTGCGAATTGGCCAGACGCCAAAAGGCCGTCAAAATCAGAATCCAACGCATTTCAAAAATGTTATTTCGACATCAGTTCGGTCAGTGATTGCTGTCAATTTGAAATCTGTAAGAGGAATTCTTGAAAATGTGCTTGAATGGGTAGAAACAAATGAAATGGGATAGAAGTTTTAATAAAAGTTTACGGAATTTTTTTGAGACGAGAAAAATTTCTAGAGAAACTTGTCGATATAAAACGCAGCAAAAGCTTCGTATCTCATTAAAAACGGAGAAAAAAAAAATCGAATTCTTCGGAATTCGCCAAGAATTACAAATCCCATTGAAGTTTTAATTGAAATGAGCTACAAACAATCAAAAATAAAATTATAAAAACTCGGAAAAATTAATAAGAAAAGGCAGGAGTAGAAAAAAGAAAAAAAAATCCAGTTCAAATTACCACGATTCAGATCAGAAAAAAGGTTTGAAATTTTCGGGGGAATCAATAAAACCCGGCCGCACAAGGTGTTCCGTCCACTCTACTTCGAAAAAAAAAAGAAATCATTGACGATAAAGATAAAAAAAAGTTTGCGCCGCAAAACGAACTGATAACCGTGATTTTATCATCTCTGTCAAAACTTGCGCTTTGACGGTTGTGATAAGACGGGGGAAGGTCAAGAAATAAGCAAGTTCAATTCTTTTTGACAGTACTTTTGAAGCGTTACGGAAGATCACGAAAATTAAAATTCAAGAAATTTTCGAGAGAACAGTCCAGACAACCTTCTTGAATAAAGCAACAAAATGAAGACTTTTTTTGAGATTCACAATAATAATAATTTATTGAAAGAGCAGTGTGAACCTTTAAAAGCTCACTTAAATTTAAAATTTTCGTAAATGAATTATTCATCTTTACTATTCCGCAGGTTAAAAAAAGAAATTGTAGGAAACAGAAAAAAATTCAGAAATCATTTGGAAGCTTTCAAGTTTTTTTAAAAATCGTCTCCTTTTCGATAAGAATTTTGAAAAAAAGTGTCTATAAATAAATGGAAAAAAAGCTTGTTGTACACAAAATGTTGCTCTAAACGACATTTCGGAAGCTCCAAGACAAAAATACATAGGATCTATGGCAGCGAAGTGAAAAGAGAAGAGATTGGAAAAAGGGGCGTTCCCATGATCACATAAAATTCAGATTAAAACAAGAAAATTTGAAAATTTGAGGTAGCCTTTCTCAAAAACCAGGAATCTTGAGGTTTCCAAAGATGATTCTTAGAGTCTAAACTTGTAAAAACTCCTAGTTTTCGATAAATAAGGGCTCAAAGTCCCAAAAAAGCTTACTTAAACAAATTTTCAAAATTTTATTCGATTTCAAGGTGTTCTTTTACGATAACTAGAAATTTGTGCAGATTAAAACTTTCAGGATCTTAATTCCGTACATGAAGGGATATTCTGGCCAATATTCGATGAAATCCCATCCGCAAAGTGAAATTACCTTTCTTTTAAGTTGAGTTGTAATCCCAAGAAATTTTCAAAATTTTCAAAGTATGTAGGAATCTTCAACGCTTATTGGAAGGTTTCGGAAAAGTACAGTATCCTCCAGAGATCTTTTTCGGAGGAAGATGATCCGAGATGAATTATCAAAGGTTTTTGAATACTTAGGATCTTTAAAGGATTATTGAGAGGTTTTGAAAAGGGACAGTAGTCGTCAAAGATTTTTTCGGAGGAAAGTGGTCAACTAAACGATGTCAGAATGTCAGACAGGATGGTTCAAATGATCAACTACAGAAGCAAGACGAGAAACTGTGGAAAAAAAGGTAAAGATTGCGGGGAAGCCTGATGGTCAAAAAAACTATATCTAAGAAAAAGTTTTTGGTATAGCGGGTAGAGTCATAATTCGGAACAACTTTGAAAAATTTTCGAAATATTTGAGAGTCTTCAAAGATTATTGGGAGGTTTTGAAAAGGTACAGTATCTTTCAGAGATATCTTCGGAGTAATGTGATCAACTACAGGATCGTGATCAACTACAGAATTGAGACGAGAAAATGTGGAGAAAGAGCAAAGATTGTGGGGGAAAGCTCCACTTTTGGGGTGCCAAGAGCCGTCGAACGGACTGTTTCTCTCGTGTAGTAGCATCGGTGAGCAAACAGACAAACATCCGCTCGGGTTTTGCCCGCCAAATATGGGGGCTAGAGTCTAATTATCAGGGGGAAAAATCCCCGTCTAGAGAAGCTCATTGAAAAAAATATGAGCCTCTCAGAAAAAGTTTTTGAAAAACTCATCCCCCAAATATGGAGGCTACAGTCTAACTGTCAAGAAGAGGGGGAGATCATCGTATAGAAAAATCTCACTGAAAAAAATATCACCCTTCAAAAAAATTTTTTTGAAAGAAAAAAAGTTTGAAATCTCCTTAAAAAAATTGGAAAAAAGGTCTTGTTTTCCAGGTAAACAGTAAAAAATTCAATATCAAGATCAAGACTCCAAAAATTAATGAAAAAGCAAAAAAATTCTTCAAAGATTTTTGAAAATCGAACAAAAATGCATGAAGCTGTACTTGGAAAGCTCAGATAACTTCGAAAAAAATCCTTTAAAATCGAAAAAAAAAAATCAAAGTTTGGAAACTAATTTTGATTTTCATGTGGAAACTTGACTACTCCAAGAAATAAGAAAAACATTGAAAATATCCAAAAAAATTGGAAAATTTTTAAAGATTAACTCTACGAACAGCTGTAATCTTCAATGGAAAAGAAAAAAAAACATATTATTTAGTTCTAGAAAAGTTCTCGTTATTTAATATGGCCTCAATTTTGGTTACCTAACCTTTTTTTCCACACTATTTTCGAAACCGGGAATTAAATATTATAATTAAAAAGACACCACTACGAGACCAGCTCAGTCGCCAAAAATGATCGGATGAGCTCCATAAAAGTGCACCCCGCCCATCCAGACCCAAAAAACTCGCAGCTGCATTTCAGACGTCGCAAAAAGAGCAAGATTACGGTCGCCTTTTCCATTTCGCGACAGAAAAAGACCGCAGCTGCAAGTCCTTTTGGCCACGCATCTGGCGACGGAATTGTAACACAAAAAGTGGATGAGCCGTCGAGAAGGAAAAAAAAGACGAAGAGGACGATTTATCATGTTCCTGCGCAGCTTTTACAAATCTAATGGAGCATTGTAATGATTTGTGGGAGATTTAAAAGCTGGAAGACAGAAAATAAAAAAGATATACGGTAGCAGAGGAAAAAACCTTTTTGAAAAAAAAACTAAATATACTACAAAGCACCCATATCATGGTGAGAGAAGGAAAACATTAATTATGCGGAAAGAAATTCCTTCCGAAAATGAGAAAGTTAAAAAATTGATAGGAAAAAAATCCCTAAACAAGGCTGGAAATATGACCTTGAAAACCAAGAATATCACGTTTTATTCAAGATAATCGATGGTCGAAATTGTATGCTTCTTTTTCTGAGTTTCACATTTGTTATTATCGGCCAGCAATACGGTTAATAAGATTTTTGTAAGGAATCGTAATTCAGAAAAAAAAACCACTGTTGTTGGAAATTACTCATCAAATTTTTTTCGAAAATCAAGTTGCTTTAGAGTTGAATTAAAAAGTCTGCTTTTCAAAGCATAAACAGAGAATTGGGATCAGGGATGAGCGGCAATCATTTTCGAAAACTTATTTTTTTCTTTTTCGCAAAATTTTGGTCGAATTGAAGTTTCTCAAAAATTTTTGAACCCATATTTAGGCCTAATTTTTTGCAGCATCTCATCAAATTCTCTGCTTTTTTAATTTCTTTCTAAAAACTGTCGGAAAACCGTAACACTGACTGAATTATCATTTTCTCTAGAAGTTGCCGAAATGGGGGGCACCCCTGATTGGGATGCTTATGCTGATTTGAAAAGTTTGAGTACTTATTATTCGACTCATAGAATTTGATTTAAAAAGGCTTCAAAAAAGACCAAAAATTAATAAATTGGCACTACCATGCCAAAAATGACGACGATCAAAGGATGAAAAGATGGTGAGAGTACTGCGCGAAGAACTTTTTTCATAAAATTTAAACTTTTTCCGTCTTAAGTTTATGGAGATGGCGCAAGGAGGAATGTGAGACGCCATATACAGCTTTGATGAATCGGGAGATAATTTGATGATTTGAGACCGTGAAAATTTCTTCAAAGCTCAAAAAAAGGCACTATGAATGAAACATAAGCTTCATGTTTTGGAAAAACATCACTAATTTTTAAACTGGCCGTTTGACAAAGGGTTAAGAGGGGACCGTGGGGATCGTAAAGCTGAGAAATCAATCAAACGAGGGAAGTGTGTGGGATGAGCATCGCAGATATGGTTCCAACTTCTGTGGTAGGTATTCGGAAACATGAAGAATTATCTGCTAAGCGCCATAGGGTACTGAGAAATATCCTGTCGAAAATGTACAAGGAAAGCTCAAAAACGAACTCTTATCGGGTTTTTTTTGTGGAAAATGTTTCTTTCTCGTGTTTTTTATGATAAAGTGAATAACAACGAAATCTTTTGAGGCTTTTCAGTACATTTTCGACAAGCTATTTCTCAGTACCCTAAAGCGCTTAGCAGAATTCTCCTTTTTCGAATACTTATACCTAGGACTTCCTACCACAGAAATTTGGACCATGTATGAGAAGTTCACCTCAGACGATTTCATTCTAACTAGTAAGAAATAATCTGAACTCAATAAAAATTTCAAGTTATCAACTGCTGTCAAAAGCTTCTTCTAGTAAGCCAAAGTATAGGGAAAAGGTCAAAAAAGCCTCTCAAAAAACATGACTAATGACCGAATTGGCACCAATCTGCCTAAACGACGATCAAAGGGCGAAGAGACGGTTGGATCGTAAAGTAACTGAGAGTATTGCGGGAAGAACAGCGACGTGCGCGTTCCCCTCCTTCTTCTTCTCCCCCCAAAAAGGTCCTCTCCGATGTGATCGACGATTGGACCCAAACGTAAAAATGACGAACGCGGAGGGGACGACGACGTTGGTTTTGGAGAGAAAAGTGACCTCTTCCTGACTCATTCGCCATTTTCATTCAATTGTTTCAATATTGGGTGAAGGAATTGAAAGTAAGGGCCTTTGAATAAAGAACTTTTAGAAAAAAAGAATATTCTGGAAGATTTAAAAAACTAAAGAGCCGGAAAAGGAGAAGTTTGGGACGCACTGTTTTCAAAATTTTTCGAGAAAAAAATGAAAAATCTCGAAGCCTTTAAAACTCGGCTAGTTTCATTTTTCGAACAAAATGAGTTCAATTAAAGATGAACACGATTCTTCGAGGGCATAAGTTTAAGAATTTGATTAAAAGAATGCCTTAAATCAATCTTTAAAATCTACCGATATTTTAAAAACTTTGAAAGCTTTAAGAATTTTTAAACAAATATCCATTTTCCTTTCAATTTCTCCAATCGCGGTTACATTGAGTGAAGGAATTAAATCAGGACTTTTGAATAAAGTGTTTTTTTGATCTGGGAGATCTTCAAAAAGGGGAGGACTTGAAAAAAATGAAAAAAAGTTTGAATCACACTTTGTTTTTCTATTATTTTATCGAACGAAAAAAATCTCGAAAATCCGCAGTATTTTTTTATCTTCTTTTTTTGAACGACAGAGAGCTTCGTTTCTTTTTGAAAAATAAAAAGCGATCTTTCGAGTTACTCACAAAAAAATGAAGAATTTAATTTCAAGAGATCCTTTGAGTCAGCATTTCGAAAAACTGGTCTAATGGACTTCGAACCGATAAATGTCTTTTTTTTAAAGCTTGGAAAAAAAATACTTTTCATTCAGTTTTTTTCAATAACAGATACATTGGGTGAAGGAATAGAGCCAGGACTTTTAGAAAAAAAGAGGCTCTCAACAAGAAAGAAAAAAATTAATTTTCGAAGATCCTAAAATAAGTAAAATTTGAAAAAGTAGCAATTCAGTTTCCAGATGGGAATTGAAAAACTTGATCACTATTATGGAAAAAATGAAGAATCTAAAAAAATCCCACAACCAGTTTTCAGAGAAACAGCTCATTTGAGAACCAAGGACTTTTTGAACGAAAAAGAGCTTACTTCTCTCCTTTGGTTTCTATTTTCGAATGAATCCATTTTGCAATCCGCAAAAAATAACAGAACACCTTAAATTGATCCTCATTAACAAATTTCATAACAAAAATAAAATTTCGTGAGTTCTGTAACATCTTTTTCAGGCAATAGGTCTACTCGTATCAAAAATAATTCATTTATTACCGTATAAACCAAACAAATGAAACAGAAAATCAACCAAATCAACCAAAAACACGCATTTTCAAGACAGTGGCCGGTCAATATTGCGCCGTCGTTCTTGAAGCCGAAAAATTATTTGAATCTTTTTTCTTTTACTTAAACTTTTTAGAACCTTCTTCTTGAGTTAGAAAGATAAGTCACGTCTCAAAAAATTCATAAATTATCATTTTATAACCGGAAAACCTTTTTGAACTACCGTAGTACGACCGGGCGCCTTAAATAGTCTCCAGCACTGTCTTAAACATTAAAAAAACAAGTGGAAATGGGTTAGAAGCACAAGTCGGTGCAGTAGATTCCATTGACCGCCCTGAAATCAACTTTTTTGGTTTTTAATTGAAAAATGGACCAACACTCCGGCAACAGTCAGTTGTCCTTGTCCATTGCAAACCAGTGGAACTGTCGTTTCTTCAAAACCGTCGGCCACTGATTCGAATGAACCGTCGAGCAAATAAGCCTCAAATTCTATTCTCCTTTTTTTTCATCACTTCTCGAAATTTTTATTTTGCATATTTGAGATTTGCAAAAAAGAAAGGTTCATTGAATGGAAGTTTATGAACAACCAATTCTGTTCTGGACTTCCTAAAAATGCTGTAAATAGTCCAGGAAAGGAGTAAATGCATTTTTTTCAAGAACTTAGTCTGGGAAGGACTATTTTTTTTTAAATATTGAATTTATAAAATTTTCGAGAAGAGTTTCCGCATTCTTTGAAAAAGTCCAGTGTCAAAACCGACAAGGAAAGTCATTTTTAAGTGATGTTTCCCGAAAAAATGTTCAAGAAATCTGTGAAGACGTATAAAAATGTCTATAGTACCTTCTCTTATAGTTTCCGAAACATGAATTTTGAAAATTCCTACTTACCACTAAAAATAAGCCTAAAACTAATATTCTTTAGAATCTCATATCGCAAAATCTAGAAGTTCACGCAGGTAGCGGTTTCGGAGAAGGTTTGAGCAAATTTTCCGAAAATTCCAAACTCCAAACTAGAATAAACTTCCTTAAGAGTTTGAGAAAAAAAAAAGTCAAGCTAGAAGGGCCACGGTGGATATAATTGAGTTAATAGCAACATTTCGCAAACGGAAACAACTTGGCTTAGTGGATAACAGGGTTTAAAACGAGTATTGGAACTCCTTTTCAATCTCCGTTGATAGGGATGCAAAGATTCAAATTTTTCTTTTGAAACGGTTTGGTACTTTGAACTACACAGCGAGCTTCATTTGAACTACGATAAGGCATTCAACCTTATATTATAGTATGTGTGCCACGACTTGGAATTTCCCGGAACGACATTCCGCTGTGCCGCTGCGCGCCTTTTGCGAACCTTGGTCGCGCTTTTAATTTTTATATATAAGTACTCTACTTTCATGTGCTCCCCCCGTAACAAGCAGTTGAAAACGTGACCTAGATTCGAAAGACGCTTCGCGAACGCACGCAGCGGAACAGCGGAATGTCGTTCCGTGAAATTTCAAGTCGTGGCACACAGACTATAATAAATTTCACTAAAACAGCTTCTTACTCTTCCCTCTATAGCTGATTCACGGCTGGCTCGAGCCATCGAAAAAAGGGTCATGACACGATAAAAATAGAGACAATGTCTGGTTGCTGGAGAGCGCAGACAGGCCACGCCCCTTGACATTTCAAGCTAGCCGTGAATCGGCTACATGAAATAATCTCCCTAGAAGTGCAAACCGTGAAAATGACGGCGCAGTCTGGTGGCGGAGCACAGATGGCCGACACCTGCACACAGCCGTCGGCCGTCGTTCCAGTTCTGAAGTTCTTCTTCCAATCTTCCCAATAAAGAATCTTTGAAAGTAGTTTTTGAAAACATTGACAGCTAAATGCGTTAAAATAGATTTTTACGGGGATTTTCGGGGAGAAAACTATTGAAAAATGAATTTTTATAGGTTCTTTCTTCAAGAATTTCAAGGCAAAAGTTTTCTAAAAAGTAAGTTCAAATGTTCCTCTTAGAGAATATACACAAATTTCCATGAAAATGGTCAAATAAAAAAAGTTCTACAATGTTTCGGAAAAAAATCCTGATGATATGAAAAAAACCAGACAGTTCTCGTTTTTTTCTCTTATTTTTTTCAATTACTAGTAAATGCCCTCATACGGATTATAATGAATAATAACTTTTTTTCATTTTTAAACTTTACTTAGGTTACCTGTTGAAGAAATGAAATATTTACATAAATGGTTTTCAAAGAAGGTTTCCTAACATTACATAAATAGAGAAAATATAAATAAAAGATTTTTTAAACTGATAAAAGTTTTAAAAAGTCGCCAAAACGCCTCGCAACCGTTTCGCACACGAACTGAAGATGCCGTTTCAGAAAAATCCCCAAAACCCAGGTCAGACTGTCTTACATGAGCGTCGGAAGACGTTCCTGTCGAGTCGGTTCAGGCGGATGAGTCAGAAGATCCGTGGAGCAGGAAGTGCAGGAGAGAGCCGGAGGCTCTGTAGTCGTGGAAGTAGACGTGGTAGTGGAAGAAGGGACAGTTTGCATGCAGGCGAGACCATTCCGAATTGGGGAAATCGAGACGAAGAAGAAAGTGAGGAGGAGAACCGTCGTCGCCTTCATCTCCAGCACCGAATGTCCTCGGGAAGCCCGCCGAGTCGTTTGTCTCGTAATGCGAAGAATCAAAAAGTCAAAGCCATTTCGTCGGTCGGCCCTTTTTTCGGCATCCTCGTTTTCCCTCCTCACCCATAATCGTACTCATATCCATCCCAGGGATATTATTACCTGAAAACGAAAGGAAACCGGTAAACTTCCACGACGAGATCCATTAAACGAAAGGTGTGAGAACAATAAGCATCCATAAAAAGTACGAATCTTGAGAGACAAAAAGCTCCAGATTATGAAATCGATAAAAGGCATCAAAATTGAGAAAAAAAAGTACCGTTTTCAATAATTCTGTTCAAAAATACTAGCGGATTACTTTATTTTCCACTTCGTTGAAACTATCTTGGCTACTGAACCTATAAAATTACAGCAAGAACTTTGGAACAGACTGAAAAAAAAAAACAATTACTGGTTTTTAAGAATATTCGGTTTCTGAAATACAAAAATGGAGCATGAAAAACTGTTTAAAAAGTTAATTATTGAAAAAAATCGAAAGTCAAAGAAAAAAATCTAAAAATTGCTCGAAAAAAAGAATACAAAAATGCTATAAAAGAAGCAAAAAAAGTGAAAAAAAGGGAAAGTGAAAAAAAGTTCAGCTAAGTGTATAGCAAAACTATATTGAAGTTGTTTATGCTTGGTTGCCTTTTGTAACTTCTTGAATTGAACTCGCTGCTTTCTTTGAAACGATCTGTTTCAAAAAACCTTGTGAATGTGTTCGAAGAGGCGGAATTCATGCATAAATAGAAAAAATGTCTCTCCGACGCAGCTATTTTTTCAATATGCTTCTTCTTTTTCGAAAAATTCAACAAGGATTCCAGAAAATACAAAAACTTCGAACGACGCATGAACGAATCGCTAGAATTTTGCCGATTCTCATCACGGCTGACTTGAACCCATTCAAGGGAGGGTAGTGACACGATTCAACAGAAATTATGACGTTCTTTTAAAAAAGGAGACAATCCACCTGTTTTTCTGTCCAAAACCAGTCGTAAGTAAAATTTAAAAGCAAAATAAATAAAAAAACGAGAATAATTTAAAGCCTTAATGCGCGTCTAATATAATGTGTCAATGTGTATACACTTAACGGACATCTCACCCACCGTAGGCAGGCATTAAAAAAACGTTCAGGCGCTTTTTTTCTATTTCTTGGCGAGAAACAACTGAGTTTTGATTGCGGGCTTCGTTGATTTCAAATTCATTCCTCCATTTTTTCTTAACCAAATAAAAACTCTATTAACTTTATTATTACAAGCATGCAACCGTATGACACAAAGATAACAAAGTTTCTCAACAAAAAGTCGTGCAGAAAACGTCGACAAAAGCTCTGAAATATGTTTTACTTTGAATAAACTCGGAGAAACCACGAACACTCCCATGACTTCCAAGCGTCCAGCCCCGTTGCAGTCGAACGGGAAAGAAGCTGTTGGACTGCCGACAATCATTTGGAAGTCGTCTCCAGTTGTTGAAATGGTCTGGAAAATACATATCAGAGTTATTCGAATGTAATAAATCAATAAATTACAGCCTTCCACTTTTTTCCTAAAAAAAAAAGTTAAGGCTCAAAAAATGGTGCAAAAAACCGATAAAATGGCGCAAAAAGGCAGAAAAAAAGGAGCCTCTGTCACCCTAAAAAGAACATTTCTATAGAGCCTCTTTCAACCCTTCCGACTTTGCCAATGTAGGCGGTCAACAAGATTTTTTAAAGCTATGTCGGACTAGAAGTTGTAGTTGATCAAGTAAAAAGTTTCTTTCTATTTCAATAAACCGAAACAACGGCGAAACAGTTGGGCATCGCCGTGCACGTCGCCGTCATCCGAACGCAACCGTCCACGATTTCCGTCCTAAAATCTTTGAGTTATTTCTCGGGAAATTATTTCTCGGGATAATACTCAAAAGTGGCGGGACTTGTCGATTGGGCCGGGTTGGAGCACATCCTGAAGTTTGATGGCACGCAAGAAAGGCAGGCTGGAACAAAACCAATAATTTTCCCAAATTCTAACATTTTCCTATGCCTATGAACCAACTCGTTTCAGGTCGGACACACTATGAAGCAAAAAAAAAAACTGACTTTTGACGCCAGGAGGCGTTGTCGGGGTCATACATGCCGTGGTAGTCGGCGACGTTGTGGAGGAGGTGGAGCTGTTCGAGGTCGTGGAAGTTGAGAGGCTCGTTGTGGAGGTCGAAGGAGTCGATGTCGAAGTGGTGGATCTTGAAGTGGTCGAAGTGCTTGGAGTGGATGTGCTGGTACTGCTAGAGGTCGACGTGGTGGATCTTGGTGTTGTTGAAGTTGAACTGGAAGTGGAGCTTGAAGTAGAGGTGCTTGAGCTGCTCGACGTCGAAGTCGAAGATGAGCTGGTGGATCTGGACGTAGTGGAGGTTGAACTAGAAGTGGTCGAGGTTGTGCTGGAGCTTGATGTGGACGTGGTTGAAGTGTTTGTCGTCGATGTGGAGCTGGTCGAGGTTGGGGTGGTAGTAGTGAGGGTCTGAATTATTGAAATTTTCTTGTTAAAAATTGTATTGACCGCATTTGGAATGGCTCAGAGGGTTACGGCATCTTCACTCTTCGATGAGCCCAAGCGCAAGTAGTTTTAGGTCGGGTGTGTCATCAAGAAACTTCTCAGAGGCTGTTACGCGTCAAGAATTTAAAAATCTGATCACTGACTTGCAATTTGAAAACTGATTTGCAACCGTTTCGAAGCCGTTACGCGTCAAGCCATTCCAAATGCGGTTTTGTCTTATACATTAATGTTTGCTAAAGGTCCATGGAAATCAGCTCCCTATGTTTTTCAAACGAATTATAATCAACCTAAGCCTCAAAAATTTCTAGTGTTTCTGCCAACAGGTTCACACAAAACTCTTCAGAACCGAAATACAAAACCAAAAACGAACCATGGAAGTTGTCGTTTCCGAAGGAACCGTCTTGAGACAAGCCTCACAACTTCCGAGGAAATTAAACAGACAGATCAGAAGGATCAGGGCCCGCCGCATGCTTTGAGGGAAAGACTGAGGGGAAAGGTTCAATCGAGAGTCGCTCTCGGAAAAATGATTGCCGTCGGCTGAGAACTGGAACGCTGATGGCCGAGAGGGAAATCTTCCGGAGCTTTGATTGAGGTTATGAGAACAGAGATCGAAATCAGCCGATCAGCTTGTTCCGGATCCAGCTTTCGAGGCTGTTTCTTGAAGCTTATGTGAAGAAAAAGAAACTGAATTTTGTTCAAACTCATATTTCTTCAAATCTTGGCTCAAACTTAAATTGTTCGCTTTTTGTATACTTTCGAAACCCTAGAGTGGTTTTTAAAGTTATTTGGAATATATTTTTGAAAACAGTTGATCATAGGGGGACTTAAAATGTAACAAAAAAAAAAAAAAAATCTCTTTGCGTCATAAATATTTACTCTCATCAATTTTGCGACCGCAAAATTCCAATTACGGACATTTTTGTAATAATTAAACGTTTTTTTCAAAAAAATTTCAGGTCAAAAAAAGGTACCAAAAAAAGGTTCTAAACCGCGTCATAATTATGGATTCACCTTCGTTTTTTTGCAAATTTTTTTCCTAACCTTGAAGACCAAAAAAAGTTAAACTGATTTCAAACAGCTTTTTAATTTGTTTGATAGTCCTTTTTTTTTTAAAAACTCTGAAGTAAAAACGCTCAAAAAAAGACCGTTTTCCCTTGCGTCACAATTATTGACTCACCCTTCTATTATTTTTTATCAATTTTCTATCATTTCTATCATTCTATCACGATTTCCTGTGATTGAAAATTTTTACTTATTACTTGAACGACCCTAAATTCTAATCTGATTCCTACTAATAATAGAGAGATGAAAACAGCTTATAGCACCTTTTTTTTTTTTTTCAAGAATTCTTCGATTCACAGATTGAAACTTTATTTTTCAACAAAGCGATATCGTTTCGCATCCCTCGCCTGATCAACAGGCGACCGAGCAGAATATTCCAACAACTGGGCTGAAAAAGGTACTCTCATGATTGGACCGAAAGAAAGTAGAAACTCACACTCCCTGGTAGGTAATATTGCCGTTGTTGCAATCGAAATAAACCGGGTAGGATCCGAGCGCAAACGAAAGAGTGCTGTTGTCCGGGTAGAACTGAAAAAAGCTTCATTTGTAGAGCTAGAAAAATTGGAAAAACCCGATTTATTTAGCAACTTTAGAGTGGTCTCTAAAGGGGTCAGAGGAAAGAAGCCCCTGGAACGGGCAACAAAGTGCTCCCTAAAGGGCTATAATTTGGAAATTTCTTGAGAAGTCGGACCCCTAAAGCGAATCTTCAAACTGTACGTCTATATTATAAAAATAATTGAATAGCATGCCTCTCTAGGGTTCCGCTTTGTGAGTTTTAGCGGCCCCTATAGGATAAGGCCAATTGGTTCCTAGACATGCTGAAGGTTGTAGAGGAGTGACTGTTGTGCCGGCCAGGAAAGTGAAGGAAAGAAGGAAAGAGAGAAACTTTCAAGGACACCTAAGGTTGCCCCTATAGGGACCACTCTGTAGTCCCTATCTGCGTTCTGTTCTCTCTAGTGTTTACTTGCTATTATCCCTTATCTAGAATCTCTCGGGTGAGGGAAAAGAGGGCGCAGACAGATTAGACTGCTACGAGTCGTGGTAAAAAAAAGCGTTACTGAATTCGTATAAAACGCTGCGATCTTGTTTTTTTTATGACTCAACGCGAGGCGGTTGCGTTGCGGTTGGAAATTTTTTTGAAATTCAGCTGCTTTCTCCTTCATTTTCCGATGTCTCGACGCGCAAGTCGTTTTGGGTCAGCTGCACCGAGCTTTTTCCTTCTGACCCTGATCTTCCAAGTTAGGAAAACTGACCGTTATAACCTTATTGCAATCTTCGAAGGGCAAGTAGCATTGGGCGAGAACCACCGTTGGGCCAAACCTGAAGTTTCACCTTTCAGGTGATAAAAATGATTAAAAAAAGAAAGAATAGAAAAAAGGGCCCAGATGCATAATTTGAATTTTCCTGGTTTTTTTCTATTAAAAAGACTTCCTAAATATTCAAAAAAGGGGTATTTTCCTCATGAACGTCTACTCCATAAATACTTAACCTGACTAAATTTTTTTACACTCTGGAAACTTCAAAAACCCACGTGATATTGGCAGCCTGTTCGAAAATACTCGGATCAGCGACTTTAGTCAAGGTGGCGGCCGAGCAGGTCGAGTCGGAGTTTGAAGTCGGATTGGAGCCGGAAGTCGTGGAAAAGTCGGGAGTGCAGGGAGGTGGGGACGAGGATGAGCCGGGGTTGTAGGACGGAGACGAGGAAGGATCGTTGAATGATGGGGAGGAGGAGGTTTCGAAATTGTATGATGACGAGGATGACTCATAGGAGGATGAGGATGAATCGTAGGATGGTGAGGATTCGTAGGATGGTGAGGAAGAGTCGTAATTATACGAAGGTGTAGTTCTTTCCCTGTACAGATCAGTAGTACGAAGTTGGAACCACCACGGATTCCACGAATCTGAACTTTCTTCATGAAAACAAAACCTCAAAAAATGGCCAAAAACTACTATTGATTTCCTGAAAAAACCAGATTTCATATGTTTTTTTTTATTATGGTATAAGATATACTTTTCATAAATACAACTTTAAAAAAAAAAAAAATGAACTAATTTTTTTCTACCTTTTGAAAAATTCGTATTTTACTTTGAAACCTTACATTACCTATCCTTTTTTTCAATCATATTTCAAGGGGCCTTGTCTTTACTAATTATTTACAGAAAAAAACTACGGATTCTTTCAATTTTCTGAAGTTAATTATTGAGCCGCTAAAGTCTTATAAATACACAATTTTTGCTCTAATGTTCACCTAAAAAAATCCCTAAAGTTCAAGTTTTTAGTTTACTGACCCTGCGAAGAAACGATCCCGAGCATCGTGAGAAGAGCCTGAAACACAAAAAATTAAGAAAAAATCACGAAAACTATCAAAAAAGGAAAAAATACCCACCAAAGAAGTCAAACGGAGCATTTCGAAGTGGGCGTCAAAGAAGTGGGCGTGAATTGCCTTCTGACCATTTTCGAGTCACTTTTATATGATTTCTGTGATTTTTGACATTTTCATCAACAATAGAACTCTATTAAAATATATGTTACCAAAAAAAGGCACGGAAAAAGCAATCAGAAAAAAAGGCATCAGAGAACTTTTTCCAGTTTGAAAAACATTCCAAATTCCATGAAATCATATTCAGTTTTTTTCTTTTTCTTTTTTTTCCAAAAAAACTTCAACTGAGAATTTATTCTAAAAATACTGTTCATATAAAAACTCAATACAGATGCTGAGATCTGTTAAAGGAAAAAGAAAGAAATATTCTTTTTTTCCCGAGTAAAAATTCATCTTTAAAGCAATTAAGAAAGGCTTTAATCCATGTCAAGTCCTTTTTCTTTTGTTTTTTTGAAACATTAATGTCATTTTTTTGAACAAAAAGTAGCTTTATTGAATTTTCTTTATCAACAGCCAATAATGACGCAGAAAATTCCACTGACTGTCCTGAAAAATAAATGCTTCAATTTTATCAAAAATGAACTTTCTCACGAGTTCTTCATCTGAACTTCTCCATTCGAACATTGCAATTCGAACGTCAAACCATCAGGAGTGTACTGCGTTCCGTTGGTAGTATACACCTTAAAGAATATTAACTTTCATAAAAAGGAATGTTGAAACTCACGCTCATCGACCCGATACACGTCTTTTTAGGCAAGGGGCATTCCGCAAGGACCGTTTGAGAGCCGTAACTATAAACTTTTTTTGAATTTCATTCTCAGAAGTTGCTAACGCGGAACGACGTTTCTAGTGACCACTTTAGTGGCGTCAGCACTCTTGAGTGACCCCTAGAACTTCCGGAGAGCGTTCTCAATGTTTGTAGAAAAATTTCACGTAGAGCGCACCTGTGTGCGAAAATTCGGCTACCTTATTTAAAATCAAAGAATCTGAAAAAACCTCCCGAAGTTTTCAAAAAACAAAGAAAGTATTCGCCGAACCATCACATAAGGGCACGCTCTATGGATAATTTTTCTAACTAATCTTCTAATTTTCTAAGTTAAAATTTTATTTTTTTATGGTCATTTTTTTCCGATCTTCTATACCGAGACAGTAACATTCATAAAGTCTCATAGTAATGTTTTTGAACCCTTCAATGACCCCTAATTACGCCCAGAGTTTACTTAAGAGTTCAAAACGGCTACGTTAATCCGAATTGAAGTAGTTTGGCATATAAAAAAGGCTTTTTCTTTGATAAGATACACGAGAAAAAAAAGGAAAAGATTTGAAACATTTTTGAGTGACAACTCTAGGGAAATTTCAAGCATTTTTTGCCGAAAACGACTTTTTTAAGCACCAAAGATCCCTAAGAATGATTCAAGTGGGTTATTTCAGAAATCAACTGCTACTACTAGTACTCAAATTTTCATAGCTCTAAAGTGACCACTTCAACTCACTTTTCTCAAGCTCTGATTCAATTTCAAATCTTTCTAATCCCATAAAACTTACGTAATTTTTGCTTCAGACTCCAAAAGCCTAACGTCAGGATCTCTGGGCAAAGAACCCGAACAGCAGGTTGATTCGTCGGTCGACACCATTCCAAAGATCATTAAAAGGCAGAGAAACCCCTCAATTCTTTTTATATAATCTCCCAGAAAAAAATTCTGAAAAAAAGCTCACCAAAAACTCCATGGCGAAAGTCAAAAATCTGTGCTCTGCTTGAAAAATTCCGACTTTTTATAGTTTATACATTTTACGCGTTTTTTATTCCTATGTTTCTGCAATAAAAAAGTACAATATATATTTTACGGAAACTAGGATTTCAACAGAAGAAGACGCAGAATATGCCGGTGACAGGTCTGAAATGAATAGATGGCTTGACTGGGAGGAAACAGATTGGATCTTACAGGTCATGAAAGGTAATTTGGCCATTCGAGCAACCGAAATCGAACGGAATAGTGTCCGTTGTGAACTGCGCTCCATCGGGAGTGTAGACCTTGAGAAAAATTGTTACTTCAATTGAAATTTAATGGTATTTGAAGCGGCGCGCCGTAGCGATACGGGTTGTGCGGCTGGCTATGGTACACAGGGTCGAAAGTTCGAAATTTCCTAGGCTAAAGTTTCATAGAGTTAAATCTTGTTTTACTGTTGCCAACACTACCCCCTGGTGAGCTTAAAAATCATGTTTAATCGCAGTTTTAACGAAAAAATTCCGTAAGTTCCTCCTCCTGAACTGATAGAGTTCTGTATTTTTCCATGTATGCCTAGAACTGTTGGTAGTGGGGAACCACTGCTTCATGGTCCCTAGCCTTCACAGACAAAGAAAAATCAAATAAGCGCCTTATCTATGGTCAGGCTAGGAAAAACAGATGCTCTGATTCGCTGGAGCCAGCTCATTGATTATCACTGATATCAGTTGACCTCATCTCATCCATTTAAGACGTCGAAGCCGCTCAAGCGGTATATAGACGTAAGAAGAAGAGGATCAATAAAAATGAAGTTTCAACTTCATTCTAGAAAGATTTTGGAGGCCTATCGAAATGACCTGCGCATATACGACCAAAATGCTTTGGGCGATTTTTCAATCACTTCGGAATTGAATAGAGCTTTCATTCGATTTGAAAAGCCAAAGTCTCAACTCACACTCATCGATGCAATACAATCGTCATTAGGTAGAGGACAATCTCCATGTACGGTAGTTAGGCCGAACCTAAAACGACTATATTTCCTCAAGTCGAAGTGAAAAAAATGTCTCTGTGCTAATTTCGAGCTTCTAAAGTCCCTTCGGTGAGAGAAAAGAGAGCGCAGACAGGTCAGACTATTTCAAAGCGTCGCTGATGAAGTCAAGGAAATGGTCAATTTTAGGATTTATGCTCTAAATATAGCGCTGTTAATCAGCGTTTACGACACTTTAACACCTCTGAGTATCTTTTCCCTCGCCGAAAAGACTATAAAAATAACTTTAAGACTAGATTAGAGATGAGAGAGCGCAGACAGGTTAGAGCGTTTCAAGTCGTCGCTAATGGAATAAAATAGTAGGAGAAATTTGAGTTTTGAATTTATTACTCAAAATAGAGCCAGTTGATCAGGGTTCAAGACAGTTTGACTTCTCTGGGTCTCTCTTAAGAAAATGACAGTTTAACCTCTCTGGGTCTCTTTTCCCTCGCTGACAATAGCCCACATAAAAACACAGTAACACGAGATTAGAGATAAGAGAGCGCAGATGAGTTAGACTTTTGAGCTCACATAAGAACGGCAGATTCTTCGGACATGGTCGGATCCGCTGGCCGGGGCAAAGAGTCTGCAGAACAAGTCGAGGCGGGAGTTGTAGTGGTGGAAGTTGACGTCGAGGTAGAGGTCGAGGTCGAAGTTGAGGTAGAAGTGGAAGACGTCGTCGTTGATTCTGAAGTCGTCGAGGTGCCGGTAGAAGAAGCCGTGGCAGAAGTGCTACTTATTGATGTGGTGTCACTGGTTGAGCTCGTAGTCAGAGTTGGATCGCTGGGCTGAATAATAGAATTATATTTTCAATTGGTCCAAAGTCAATGGCCGCACTTGGAATGGCTAAAAAATGTGAATTTCAGTTAGTTAAAGCTCCCGACTCGAAACGACTTGCGCCCAAAGAAATGTGAAACTAATGGAGTAAGCCGTAAAGCCAAGAAAAGGTTAGGATCAAAGTGTGGCCAAGTTTTTAAGCTCAAACGAAAAGTTTAATCTGAAAAAAGTTTATTTCAAGGCAAAAAAAAACTTTGAAAAAGATAAGGTCTTACTTTTTGTGACTTTACCTATATTTTTCACGAAATCTCCGAGACGCATATTTCCGGAAGCCAACCAAAAATCAAATATTCCAAAAAAATATGAATGAAGTAAAATTCAGCCTCCCATTCTATGTAGTGATATATGATGTATAAATCTGAATTCAAAACTTACCAAAAAAATTCCGAAATTATAAACTCCTACCTCTACAGTAGCCATGTCAGACGGTACCGTTCTCATGCAACCGAAAGCTCTCGAAACGAAAAGCCAAAAAATAATTACACCGAAAATTCCAGAATTCGACATGACGACAAGAATGAGCCAAACAAGAGTGGAGGCAAGTTTTTTCCTTATCAGGTCACTTAGTCTAGGTTGAAACATCTTTCGGGGCGGAACAATAAAAAAAACACGATTCTTGGCTTTATCGTTTTTGGTCCATTTCCAACGAGATTTAATCACATGTTCTTTGAAAAAAGGATAGGTCTGTCTGGAAATGATAAATGATTGTATTATTTTGATCCTAAAAAAATTACGAAGGATAATTGAATAGTCTGAAAACTCATAATAACTCATGTGCTCTACAGACACTCTTCCATGCGTCCTTCAAAAAGTACATTATTTTCAATTTGGAATAATTGAAGGCGTCGCGGTCGCGTTTAGACATTCAGGCTTATAATTGAAGCCTCTTGCCTTTGAGCGCAAGCCGTTTTTGGTCGGGCGCGTCCTCAGACAACCTGTGTCTTACGAGCCATTCCAAGTGCGACTTTTGGCTTGGGTCGCGACAATTGAACATAATAATGACAATAGAACCCAAAGAATTGCAATCTCGGTCAGTCCTTTTTAATTCTTGAACAAAAATTTCTCTAATTGACGTCCTCAGATCGTCTGCTGACGAACTTATTCAAGGTTTTAGAAGCTTTTTTAAAAATTGTAACACTCACGCCGACCGCGACGCTCTGAGCCATTCCAAATGCGACCAAAATTTATTTCTTTTTCAATAAAATTCAACCTTTTTTTCTTCTAAAAATTCTCGAAATTCGATAATTTATCCCACTTTTCTTGTGACGGCCTTTGATGACGTCATTCAAAACTTAAATTTCAACTCTCCAGCACACCGCAACGCAACCGCGACGCTCTTAGTCATTCCAAGCGCGACCAAACTTTTTTCAAGGAAAGTTTACTCTTTCTTCGAAGAAACCAAAATTCATTGCATATTTTATTCATATAAATTTCATAGTTTCTCCTATTTTTCGTTACCAACAGGCGACCGCGCAGAAAATCCCAGTTAGAGGTCTGAAAAAAAGTTTTTTTAGGATATTAGAAAAAGGCAATATTTTTACAGATCATGGAAAAGGACTTTTCCATTGGAGCATTTGAAATCGTAAGGAATTGTTTCGGGAGTGTACTGGGTTCCGTCGGCAAGATAGACCTTGAAATGGACTTTTTTTGATTTTGGAAAAAATGGAAATTACACTCATCGAAGCGACGCAGCTCAGACCCGGCAAGGGGCATTCCGCTCGGACCGTTTTTGAGCCGTAACTGAAAAAAAAGAGCTTATTTTTACATTAAAAACAATTCGAAGTGCTTTTAAAAATTGACAAGCTCGGTAATTGTAGAAAAATTCCTGAAGACCTGTCATTCAAGCTTCAGTGACCCCCTCAACTGTTTAATCTTTTAAACGCTCTTTTAAAGAAAAAATCATTTTCGAGCTCCAAATCTAGAAAAATACTCACGTAAGCTTTGCATCGGTCTCCAAGAGCCCGAAATTGGCAACTCTGGGCAAAGAAGCCAGGGAACAGGTTGATTTTTTCGCAGAAATCATCGCGAACATTACTAAAATGCAGATGAATCCCTAAATTATTCGAGTAAAAATGAAAAATTCACAGAAAAAACCCACCAGGAAAGACTTCATGACACCGGCCGGTTCGAAGTCTGTTGATATTTTCGACAATTTATACGCATTTTTTTCACCGCCTATTTGTTTATTTTTTCACGACGTTATGATTGTTGTGTGATATGAGCTTTCTCTACAAAAATATGTATAGCTACAAAGTTTAAAAGACCAGGAAGAAAATGTGCAATGCTCTACCTTTTTGCAAGAATTTTTTTATACACAAAAAAATATTGCATTTTGGACTATAGGTTTTTTAACGATGTCAATAAAAAATGACATGAAAACATATTGCATGCGAATCAGTTCAAAAAGTTCAAAAAATCGCTGTTCCATTGGAAAAAGATCAAACTATAAGCAAAAAAAGCTCTATTTCTTCAATTTAAAAAAATTTGAGTTATCAAAAAAATTTCTTTTTCATTCTGATTATTTTGTTTATTTTACTCAGAAATATTTAATTATCAAAATTCTCGGCTTATGGGCAAGCAATCACGCAGAATATTCCGGTGGTCGGACTGCAAAAAAAAAACCAGATATTGGAATGAAAAAATATATTAACTCACAATCCATGGAAAAGGATCGCGCCGTCGGAGCATTCGAAAATAGTTGGGTAGGTATCAGCCATGTAGGAATCCAACCGATTGATGAGATAAACCTTACAAAATTTTATATAGAAGGAAAAAATTGTCTGATTTGTTGAAATGTTTAAGTAGTGCACCAGAAATACGCTAATGTTATTGTATTGGCGCGAACTTTGGAAAAATGGTTAGAGCTGTCTCTCGTTGTATTAAAAGGCTATAGAAAGCTTGAAGAGGCTTCCATTTTGACTTCCAGTTTCAGAAAAATCTACTCGTATGGTGAAAATGCCTCGAAATAAAATAAGGAAGCGCTAAAAATCTTTTCGAAAGGAAGAGGTAACAAAAGGGGCACTCACAGCAATCAACGGGACACAAAGAGGATTAGGTAGTGTACATTCAGCATGAAGCGTCGTCGGACTGTACCTAAAACCTTTTTTTGCTTAAAGTTACCAATGTTTCAGATTTACTTGAAGTTTGGAATCGACTCTTTCTTGGCTGGATCAGCAACTTTAGTTAATGTCGAGAATGAACACGATGAAGGAGGGGTTGTAGGAATGTCCGTAGTGGTGGAGGTAGTAGTGCAAGTAGAAGTCAAGGTGGAAGTCAAAAGTGAAGTCCAAGGGGAGGTTGAGCTCGAAGAAGAAGGCGTCGGAGTTTGAGTAGAGGTAGAAACTAGAGTATGAGTGAGTCTTGAAGCAGAAGAAATTGAAGTTTGAATTAAAATCGACGTAGAAGTAGAAGACGTCAAAGTTTCTGAAGTCGTCAAACTCTTCGCCGAGATCCAATCACTTGATGGAGCTGTAGATGAGCTTATAGGGAAAGTAACAGAAGCTTCAGTGGTTGTAGATGTTGTCAACGGTTGGAAGGGGCAAATGAAAGGATCGCACTGAAAAAAGATATTTTGAAAAGGAAAAAGTTTGAAATTCTTAGATTTATCTACCAATAAGGAATAAAGAAACATCAAAACCATCAGAACTTAGATTTCCAACAAGTTAACATTTTTTAAGATTTTCAAAACTCACGAGGATCTCATTATTTTCGGGAGACCTCGTCATTATACAGCCGAAAACGCTGGAAACGTCGGAAAATGAATAAAAAACGAGAAAAAATGCAAAGCGGAACATTTTGCAGGAAAACAGCGAATGATTGGAAAAAAGACCAACAATCGGGTCAATTAAGAAATCGCAACATTTGGAATCACTTTTTTTTTTGCTTTTTCTTCGGGTCACTCTGATCGTTCCACTGGGTTTCGTGTTCTGTTTCTTTGATTCATGATAAAAATAGAATATTTTATTAAATAAAATGTACAAGGTTATTATTTTTCTTTTTCAATTCTTTACATGAACTCAAAACAAATATTGCACTTCGAAATGATCCGCTTCAATTGGAAATGTAGAGTTAAAAATTTTTAGCTTTTTGAAAACCACAAAAGTTTCGAAAAACATTGAAAAAAGATAAAAGGCGTTTCTCTGTTCAGCAGAAAAAGACGCAGAAAATGCCAACGGCTGCGCTGAAATTCGGATTTTATTTCAATTTTGAATGATAAAACTCACATTCCATTGTAGAGAATTTGACCATTATCACAAACAAAAGTGAACGGAAGCGGGTCTGGAGAAAATTGGTTTCCAGCTGCGTCGTAAACCTTAAATTTGGCAAAAAATGCTTTTTTTTTTATCATTTTCCTATATAGTCCGTCCGCCGCGACTTGACAGTTTTCGCGTGTCTTTCTCTGTTCACTCGCCGGCGAGGTCAGAGAAGTATGGAAATAGCGCGCAAACATGAGAGAGACGTAGAGAGATAAGGAGGGCGTAGAGATGTCCAGCCCTTCCAAGTCGCGATGAACGGACTATACTCCTTTTCAAGAGCTCATTGTTCCGAAATTTGATCTTTAAAATTGAAAACTTTCAACTCCAAGTTATAAAGGCTGCGAAAATTCAAAACCTTCTCGAAAACGTACCAAATCAGGTTAAACCAACTGTTCTAGCTTCTGAGCTTCAACCACTACCTTTATCCCTTCTCAAGAGTTCACAGGTTTGAAGTTTGAGCCTCAAAAAATGAAAGTTCCTAACTCCTATGTACTGTCAAACTACAAGCTCGGAAACAAGTTGACAAACTATTTCAAGCTTCTGATCTGAGTGATTTTATTCGAAATCGGATCCAAATTTTGGCTGAGCTTCGATAGTTTGGAAAAAAATTTTAGATCATTTTTTATCAACGAATGTTTACTCACACTCATCGAAGCGATGCAATTTGGGTCAGGCAAGGGGCAAGAGCCGATGACCATCGTACCAGCAAACCTGAAACTTTAACTTTTCAAGTGTAGAGCAGAATTTATTCAACAAATTTCTCGATTTTCCAGGAAATTTGTGAATTAACTTAGTCCATTCGCCGCGACTTGGAAAACTTAAGGCTTCTCTAAACGATTGTGTAATTTCATTCTCAATAATTTTTCATGTGTCTACACACGGCGTTTTTGTTAGTGGAAGAAAATGCAACACCACAAATTAAGGGGCGTGGTCAAAACCTCCACTAAGAATAACTGCCGAGATAAACGCGAGACACTGGCGGTACATTGACGAGCTCGCAAACATCTCGCTTTTTTTCTCGCGCCGGTTTCGCATTTGTTTGGGCGCGAGCTCGCATTTTTCAAGGCGCGAGCTCGCATTTCTCTCGCAATTTGAAAATTTCTGAAATGCAAGATGAATGCGAGATGGCGCCGAGAAAAATGCGAGGTCGCGCCGAGAGAAATGCGGGATCGCGCCTAGAAAAAAGCGACATTTTTGCGAGTTAGTCAATGTACCGCCACCGAGCTCGCATTTATCTCGTCAGTTATTCTTAGTGTCCGCCGTTCTCATGTGACGTCATGGAAAAACGCGTAAGCAACAGGAAATATAAAAGGTGCATCAATGGGTCTCCAGACGAATCTATTTCTTTTCTTTAAAAAAACGCTATTTTCTTATTTAACTTTTTTGAAAAAAACAAATGGCGTGCGCCAGAGCGCCGCAGTGTATGAACACGATACATTACACTTTACGGGAAAAATATGGGCTGGCCGTCGCCAAAAAAACGCCGTGTACAGTTCAGTAAATCGCTCTTTGAGGCGTTTTCACGCCGTTTTCCTTCAGTTTAATACTTTTTATTCTGTCGTATTTTAGTGAAACACTTCCACTAAGTCGTCCGAGACGATTTGTTAACAAACTTTCAAAAAACAAACATAAGAGTGGCTGGGACTTCGTCCATAGTTGGATCAGGCGCTCTCGTCAGCGTATTTGCCGAGCAAGCGGAATTGGCCGTCGTAGTAGTTGTCGTGGAAGCAGTAGACGTCGAAGTAGATGTTCTGAAATCAAAAATTGGGTTCTTTATGGAGCTTTAATCACCGACACCTTTTTTCACTCTAGCCCATCTTCAAGGATGATACAAAATCAAGTTCCAGGAGAAAAAAACCAACAAAAGCCTTCCCACAACCACCATACCAGATTTCTCATTTTCCAAAAACAGCCCAACCCTTCCCACAACCATTCAGCCCCATGCTCCTCCCAAATCCCTTAGGAATAACAACCAACGGCGTTGAAGTAGAAGTAGAAGCCGTGGTGGTTGAAGTGGACGTGGTTGATCTGATAAAGAGACTTCAAGAGCTTTTGAGGATAATTTTTATCTACCACCACTACTTTTTATTCAGCCTCCCAAGAAAAAAAAACAAACGGCGTTGTAGAAGTAGTGGAAGAAGTGGAAGAAGTGCTGGTCGATGAAGATGTCGAGGTTCTAAACGGGCTAAGTCTATAAAAGACTAACTTTTAGCGTTATCAGTGCTTCCCGAAAAGACTCACTCCACAGAGGACCAAAGAAGAAAAGTAAACTTCTTATTTCAAGTGCTACTAGTGTGTTCCATAATATCCCAATCCCCGAAGCAGAAAATTAAGCATGATTATTACAAGGAGAAAAAAGCCTTATAGCCCGTCCGCCGCGACTTGGCAGTTTTCGCGTGTCTGCGTCTCTTTGTTCGCTCACTGGCAAGGTCAGAATCATGAAAATAGCACTTCAACAAGAGAGGGTCGTCGAGAGACGGAGAGGAAACAGAGAAGTCCCGCCCTTCCAAGTCGCGATGAACGGACTATAGTGGTAGATGAAGATTCAGCTGGAAGTTGTGGCTAAGGACATGAACAGGTATCCCTCAGAAAGCGGATAAATCTTGATCTCAACTAAGAATTTTCAAACATATCTTTATCACCTGAAAAAATTCCATCTTAGAGAGACATGTTGATTCCGGGTCTGATCTCAAAACACGCCCTCGAGGCCTGTGAAATAGGCTAGGGGATCTCAAAACTCTCCAAATCTAACGCATCTAACATTTTCGGCTTCAGAATTGGATACACAGCGACAAACTAAATCTAGGAAACGAAGTCTTTTTCGGAAGCCCCTCTGCGCCCGGAGACCGTTCCCTAGTCAGAAAAAGGGCCGATTTTAATGAAATAGTGCTTCCGATATCCTTCCAAGTGAACCAAGCCCCAAAAATCATCGAAAAAAGAGACCCTCCGAATATTCAGGAACTTAGAAAAGACCTTATAAGACAGTTCTCGCCCTTTCAGACCCTTTTAAAGCCGCCCAATCCACCACAACCCAATGTAGAACATACAAGATGTTCGAAACTCCCAGACCCTTCCCAGAAAAAGACTTCACAACATTCTTGAACTTCATCAAAGCTCCCAGTCCACCAGAACCCATTTCCAGGAAGAAAAACCAACGATGTGCTAGTTGAGGAAGATTCAGTGCTGGTCGAAGTTGACGTGGTTGATCTAAGGACCATTTTTCCATTTTTTTTTACCCTTTTCCTTCTCCCCAAACAAAGAACGTCATTTAAACTTTCGGTGGGGAAAATTCTGAGAAATTTCAACCTGCACATCTTCCTATTTTTCAAGAAAACTGGTCTTAAAATCGAATAAAGTCGTTAAAAAGGTTTTGTTTTGAATTTCAACCTTTTTTTCTCGAAAAGCGGATCGAAACTTTCGGGACCTTCATTTGGCACATCAAGGAATATTGTGGCCAATTTTCAGATAACTCCCAACCCCAAAGTAGAACAACCATCGTTGAGAGCTAAAATACATGTAGTGATAAGAAGAACTAACGATGACGTCGTAGTAGAAACGGTAGAAGTGCTCGACGTTGACGTCGGTGTGGTCGTGGTATCCGTGGCTACCTGGAAACCTACAGTTTCAAAAAAAAAGATAATCAAGCCAACCGTAGTGGTAGTAGTAGTAGTCGTGTCAGAAGGTACAGTTTGAAGACATGCCTCGGTCATCAATAGTAAATCGAAGAGAAACAAAAGGACGAGGTTAGCCATGTCGAAAGCTTGCCAAAAATGGGCCGGTAAGCCGAATTTGTTGCGACAAGAGTGCGCCACCGGACGAAGACAATCGCGCAGGTCAAATTGGCCGTCATTTTGAGGACGTCAAAGCTTGGCGAGGATTCGATCAAGACCGCTGTGTGGTTAATTACGTCAGCGGTCATCATTCAGGTGGAAACATCAGGATCGTCAAAGCTTAGAACTTTTTCTGATTTTATTTTAACGGGACTCGAAAACGTAAAAGTTTTCATAAGTTGATAAAACTTACCTAAGGGCTTCTAGTTTTGGAACTTTGAAATTTTATTAAGTAATTATAGTAATTTAGAGTTTGAATTACGCGGCAAGCGACTTCTATAATACAGAATCGTCAAGAATGATCGATTTTTAGTCGATTCACAACAACTATCGTAGTTTATATGCCTGACAAGAGTGAAAAAAATCACAATACGACGACACAAGAAATCTAAAAATTATAAAAAAATTATAAAAAAATTAAACTATCTACCGACTGAGCCTATTTTAAGTTTTTTTTCACAATAGTCAGAAACCACTTCATTATATAATGCATATGCATTATTAGAAAACAAATCCAGCAAAGTCCATTTTTTTATTTCGAAACTTACATCTTTTTCACGCGAAAACTTCATAAAACAAACCTGATTTACGGAAGTATTGATAAGAAGTGAAAAACAAGATGTGCATTTTTTTTTCGCCTGTGAAAGTATATTGAACAAATAGACGAATGAAGTTGACGAATTCTCCGATAAGAGCCTGAAATCCCAAAAATTTATTTGCAGTGAAAATAAATGTTTTCTCACATTATGTGAACTGACAAGATTTCGAAAATTTCAGGAATTATTATTCTAAAACTGCAAATTCAAGAACTGAAAAAAGTTTGGAGTATGCGATAGTGCGTCTCGGTGTGTTTACACCCTAAGCACCATAATTTACGAAACGTTTTATTTGAAAAAAACGCCGTGAATGTTCACGAATTACAATATTCATATGAATAGTTTATTTCCCTTTTTTCTGACTTTTTATTGATTTCCAGCTAAGAAGAAAAGAAATATCTTGAAAGATGTGAAATTGACAGAAAATACATCCAAAAAAAAAACACACGAGGTTACATTATTACAGTGGTTCTTTGGACGAAGGGTTTAGAAATATAAATTGCACTTTGAAATGATTCGCTTCAGTTAAATGAGGGAAAGTTTCGCTTTGACACATGACAAAACCCGAGAGTTTTGAACAACATAAAAATGAAAGTACGATTGCATGTTTAGCAGAGGTAGACGCAAAAGATGCCGTCGAAAACGCTGAAAACTTTCAATTTTATTCATTTTTTTTTCTGTAAAGAACAACTTACACTCCCATGAACGAGATTTGATTATTGATGCAGTCAAATGTACTAGGAACCTGAGCTATTACAATCTGTTGGTTTTCTGGAGTGTAGACCTTAAAAAAAGAATTAAACTTTGGGAAACTGTATTTCAGGGACTTTCATGAAACTCTTTTTTCCCCTTTTTCCTATCTTCTTCGAAAAGTTTCGCAGACCCGGAAAATCGTAACTTAGGAATTGCAGAGTGGTCCCTATAGGGGTTAAACGGAAAAACAACCCCTAAAGAGAGGTTAGGAAAAAAAACTACCCTTGTAGGGGTCGAAAAAGTGGTCCCTAAAGGGGTTTAGGGTCTGACCTCTGAGCCCCTAAAAGCTCAAGTGAAGCCTATAGGGGTCCCTCAATTTCATTCAAAAACGCTTATCCCGTTATTTTCTACCATGGAAATGCTTCTTTGCTTAGAGTTCATAACAATTATCGACTAGCATGTCCCCTACATGGGCCACTAACTGAAAACCGTGTAGGGACCACTTTTGCAAGCTTTAGTTGCCCCTATAGGGGTTGGGAAACTGGTCCCTCCACGAGACCCTAAGGTTGATCCCTATAGGGACCACTTTGGAGTTCTTAAAAAAATTGATACATTCTTTTTTTCGCCTTTTTTATTTTATTTTTTTGGAACTGATACAAAATTACAGGCGCGAAAAATTGGAAATATAATAAGAGTAACTCGGATTCTATTGAAAGTATTTATTTATTTGCTTATATTTCAATAATTTACAAACTTGATCTCTGACTTTCAAGCTGTCCAAAAAGTCCTGACGTTCGTTGAATCAAGTGAAGTCACAACTGGAACAATTTTCTAGTTTTCAAGAAAACCACTCAAAACTTTATGAGTTGTCTGAGAAGAAACTTTTTCTTTGGCTTTGTGGCTTTTTTTCTCGAAAACTGAGACTGTTCGCAAGACTTTCATAGACATCAAGGAGTACTATGGCTAATTTTTTTGGACCAGTAAAGTTTTAAATGCTTGAGGTGATGACTGAACGGAGTTTTGGAAGTGAGGTTGTACCAAGTAGGAATTTTTTTTAAAGAAAAAATAATTCGAAAATATTGAAATAGTTTCATTTTTGAAAACCTTTTTTGAGCTGAAGTAGACTGGAATTGGAGAAAAACTTACTTGTAGATGAGAGCAAGCTGGATCAGGCGCCATTGTGCAAGTAACCATTACCATCGCCCCATTCACCCTAAAAAACAAAATGAAAATGTATTCTCTTATTAGACGGAAAACTGAAAAAAATTTTTTTTGGGTCTTCTCTTTATTTATTGAAAAACAGAGAGTTTTGTCGAAGTTCCCAGATTTTCCATTATCTGGTCGAATGGGCCCAATCGCAAAGTGAAAATACCTTCCTTGTAAGGGATTTGGAACGAAAAATGTAAAAGAAAAATCCACGAATTCCAAAAAAAAGAATGAAAACATGAGTTTAAAAAATAACGATAATAATCTCACATGAAGGTAGCGGGCATCTCGGACGCGAATCCCGTGTCAGCCATTCTGGTCAAAGAATCCACGCATGTAGCCGCACCCGGAGCCGTCGTTGTAGTCGAGGAAGAAGATGTCGATCTGGACTGGTGAGAAATTCGTTTAGATAACAGTCGTCATGGCTTGAAAGACGAGACGGGTGGATCGGCAAGGGTGACGCGTTGCGTACGCGACGCGGCTTTTTTGGCGGAAAAATCGGAGTCAAATGCGAGCTACCTTTTCATATTATGTTTCGCTCTTTTGTTTAGTAATTTTCGAGAAAGTGTAAAATGAGATTTTAATATCGTATAGTCTGTGTGACACGACTTGAAATTTCACCAAACAACATTCCGCTGTTCCGCTGCGTGCGTTCGCGAAGCGTATTTCGGATCTTGGTCACGCTTGTTATTGCTGTGGGAGCACAGGAAAGTAGAGTACCTTAAGAAAAGAGAAAAAAAAGATTTAAAGCGCGACCAAGGTTCGCAAAGGCGTGCAGCGGCACAGCGGAATGTCGTTTGGTGAAATTCCAAGCCGTGGTACACAGGCTATAGAATTTGTCACCCTTGCCAATTTGCACATCTCGTTTTTCGAGTCGGAAAAAAATTGACCAATCGAGTTTGAGGGTTTTTGATGAGAGTAGACGAGGGATTTTGAGGACGATATCAAAATATCGATTTATGAACTCAGCCAGAAAATCTCAGAACGAAAACAAAACACCTGAGTGTTCACTCGAAAAATCAAAAATGACCGATTTTTCACGGTTTGAAACGACGGGATGCGGCATCGCAATATGCATGCAAAGGAAAACGTGAGCAAAATCAGGAGAATCTCTGGCTTTGAATTGGTGTCAAAAACGCGTCGCAAACTTGTTGATAAAAATGAATTGGGAAGTCGATGCAAATAGCTACCGGGTAAGGACCGCTCTTGAGGAATAGCTGATTCACTTGAGTCATCAAAAAAAGGTCCTGACACGATAGTGCACGAGATAGCGCCTGACTCGTGGAGAGCGCAGACAAGACACGCCCCCCCTAGCACCCCGAGCTGGCCGTGAATCAGCTATAGTTACCGGATAGCTGTTTATTAGATACTTTCATGGTACCGGAAAGCATATGCTCGTCAGAAGTCATACCCGGTAGCATTGCGATACCTCTCCGGTAGTATCCAGGTTCCATAGAGATTGTACCCAGTCCTACATACTCGGATTGAGTTTTTAAAAGTTGTTACCCGGTACCTACTTGTATCCACCTCCCGATTGACCAGTGATACGAATGGCCCATTTCGCACCACGTCGTTTAAAGCCGGGATGACGGAGGCGCGCTTTGAAACCCATTTATAGCGCGGATTCCGAGAGTTCACTTAAAAAGTGCCGAAAAGGGTTGAAAAATGAACAGAGCGCTTCCTATGCTTCGTTCTCTGGAAAAAAAAATCCCAGTATTCCTAAAAAAAAATCCGGTAGTTGAGACGGCGTTCTCATTAATTTTCAAAAAATGAAACTGACGACGAGGAAGTAGTAGAAGAGGCTGAGGTAGTTGTGGTAGCATCTGTGGGTCCCTTGAGAAGTTTAAGAAGTTTCAAAAATACGAAATATTCTTACCGTGGTAACAGGTACAGTTTGCATACAAGTCTGGGTCAACAAAATCAAATCAAAGAGGAGGAAAAGCATGAAGGTTGGCATTGCGCAAGCTTGCCAATGAGGAAGATCGTTCACGTCTCAAATATAAGCCGTGTTTTTCTCGACAAAGTTGCGCCACCGGATGATGACAATGGGGCGGAGTATAAGCCGCAATTCCGAAAATGGGCAGGTATTCTGGAAGTTGATAAAGACCGCCATGATTATTCCTGCCATAGGTTGCCTTGAGGTTTTAAATAAATATTTTTGCGAGAAAAAGCTTTTGTTCTCTCATATAAAGGCTCACCTCAGAAGCTAGATCTGCAATCCAAAATCCACTTCGACTTCGGACTACTGGTCAGTTTTCTAATGACTTCTTTGCTAGAACTATTCCTCTTTGGAATAAACTAACTTCTTATTCAGATTTTAACGTTACCTCAGAAACTCTTCGCAAAAAGTTGAACGCTCTTCCTTTCGAAGCTTCTCATGAAAATATCCCCTCTCGTCTCCTATGAATTTGTCATATTTCCGGGTACCCGTCAACTCGTTGGGGTTGACTCATTCCCGTGTATTCTTATTTCTCTGCCTATCCTTCACTTGATCATTTATTCTTCAATTATTTTTTTTTGTTAAATAACGGCAGTGAATAAACTATATATATATATATATATAATCCACACTTTCCTGTTAGGATTTTTTTAGGTGTTTCCCCTGGAAAAATCCTCGAGAATAAAGGTGAGTCTATCTCGAAACCGTCACATGCAATGACTTATGGTTTTGATGATTTGAAGATCCAAGCTTTTTCGGTCTTAATAATCGTTTAAAAGGTTAAGAAAATCATTAAAAAAGCAAGAAAGTTTTTAGAATGATCATCATGAGAGAGCTTCATACAGGACTTCTAAAAATTTATTAAGACTCGAATAAATAACACCACTGCCAGAAGAAAAAAGAAACCACCAGAACTTATAATACCAGAAAAAAAAGGAAATATATAGTAGTTAAAGAAAAGAAAATAGATGGCGAAATATATTGGATTTTTTTTTATAAAAAAAAAGTTACTGTACAGTTTGTCTGCCACGATTTGAAATTTCACGGAACGACACTCCGCTGTTCCGCTGCGTTCGTTCGCGAAGCGTCTTTCGAATCTAGGTCACGCTTTCAATTGATTGTGATTGCTGTGAGAGCACATGAAAGTAGAGTACCTTAATAAAAGAAAAAAAAAAATTAAAAGCGCGACCAAGGTTCGCAAAGGCACGCAGCTGCACAGCGGAATGTCGTTGCGTGAAATTCCAAGTCGTGGTACAAAGACTACTGCTTGTGTAATGTTTTTATTCAAATTCAAACATATTATCATGTTTTCACATAGCAGAGAAATCATTTCCGCCGTGTATTTTGACCAAAAAGTCATTTTGGGAATTTTTCGAAAATTCGTCATAATACCGTGAAGTACCGAATTACGGTCCTGAACGTCTCACTTAATGTACGTTTCATGAAAACCATTTAGCCCCAAAATTTTAGTAGCGTTATTGCGTTATGTTTCATTTTTATTCTCTATAAAAAGCACTCTGGAGTTTTGATAAACTTTTTGGGTGAAAGAATCAAGAAAAATAATTTTCATGTCGCCAAATCTTGACCTTTTTTGGAATATCAAGAAGCGTTCTGGCCAATTTTTGGCGATTCCCGATCACCAAGTAAAAGGATTTTCCTTGTTAATTTTTAGCAAGTAAGACTTCAACGTTTTTTTTTTCGGCAAGGCAGTTGTGGAACCTCAGACGGGATTCTTTTGAAAGGCGATGATATTTTGAATTATTTCAAAAACTTCTCGATAATTTCGATTTTTAGGGTGTTTTTATAGTCCGTCCGTCGCGACTTGACAGTTTTCGCGTGTCTTTGTCTCTCTGTTCCCTCGCCGGCGAGGTCAGAGAAGTATGGAAATAGCGCGTAAACATGAGAGAGACGTCGAGAGATAAAGAAAGCGCAGAGAAGTCCCGCCTTTCAAGTCGCGAAAACAGGGCTGTGTGAGAAAAAATAAAATTGGAAGTTACTCAGTTTTGTGGAGCGAATTCGATTACGTATGTTTCGGTTGGTAGATATTCTTTTAGTTCTTGGTTGAACTCATAGTCAATTTTTCCCGACTTGAAAGGCGAGAGAGGCGGGCAAAAAGGCGGGACGCGTAGCGTGTGCGTACGCGGTCTTTGGCACGAGCTCAATTCAACCGCGAGCGAGCATTCAAAAGACTTATTTATCGCTCTTTTTCTTCCTTTTTTGATTATTTATTGATTATCTTTATATGCGCATTAAAAAATAGTAGAAATTACAGGAAAAGAGCGGTTTTTGTGTAGTCAGCAGCGATTGAATTGAACTGGCGCCAAGAACCGCGTACGCACACGCTACGCGTTCCGCCCCTTGCCCCGCCCTTCTCGCCTTTCAAGTCGGAAAACATTGACTATAGAAACGCCTCAAAACCGTTTTTGCAAATTTTTTTTAAAATCGTCGTTTTGATGATGTGAAGGGGGGCTTTGCGCTTCCTAAATTTATCCAAAAAAAGTTTGTTTTTCCCTCTTTTTCTGGTGTTTCATTGATTTTTAGCCAAGAATGAAAAAAGTTTATTGAGAGAAGTAAAATTGACGGAAAATACATCCAGAAAACACACGAGGTTATCTTATTACAGTGGTTCTTTGGACGACGGGATCGGAAATATAAATTGCACTTTGAAATGATTCGCATCAGTTAAATGAGTGAAAGTTTCGCTTTGACACATGACAAAACCCGAGAGTTTTGAACAAAATAAAAATGAAAATACGATTTCACTTTAGCAGGCGTAGACGCAAAAAATGCCGTCGAAAACGCTGAAAATTTTAATTTTATTGGTTTATTTTTCTGAAAAGAACAACTTACACTCCCATGAACGAGATTTGATTATTGATGCAGTCAAATGTACTAGGAACCTGAGCTATTACAAACTGATTGCCGTCTGTATTGTATACCTAAAATAGACTTTTAAAAGTTTTCAAGGAACCATTTGAAGCTTATTTGAAACTGGAAAAGAATAGGAACAGAAAAACTTGCGTCTAGACTAGAGATGCAAGCTGGACCAGGCGCCATTGTGCAATCTACCATTACCGTCGCCCCATTCACCCTAAAAATAATTCATTTATTACCGCAATAATCTGAAAACAGTAACAAAATTTGACCGTTCAGAAGGTTTTTCATGGAAAGAAAACTTGTTTGCATTTTTCTTTTTCGCATTCAGTATTATGTGGAGCTAGTTGCTCTTTTTCTCGCTGTAAGATACACGTTATGTGACCTCCATTTAGTTTTTTTTAATTTTAGAATCAGAACAGTTGTTTTCGAAATCTGAAAAGTTTTTCGTCGAAATATTTCTGCAAGAACTTAAATAACGCTTATTTCATCCTTTTTTTGTGCAAATTGTTTTTTGAATCTAACCAGCGAAGTCAATTCTTGATATTCCAAATGAAGATTTGACAAGTCCCAACCTGCAAAACTTCCTAACTTTCTACACTTCCTAGGACACCCCAAAATCGATGAGAATCTCCAAAAGTCCGTTGAGAGGAGCTATTTTTGGCCCTTGAGCCTTTATTTCTCAAAAACTAGGAAGTTGTGCAGGTTGAAAATTTCATAATCTTTCATTATCAAGAAGTTTTCTAGTCGAACTTCAGGATATTTGTAACCGCAAAGCGAAATGACCTCCTTGTCAGAAAACCATTATTTTTTCCGAAAAATTGAGCTACATGAAAATTATTCATCAATTTTTTTCACTCAAAAAAATTTTTTTATCAAAAACTTCAAAAATTGTTTTTGTGAAAAAAACCATTATTTGAAATTGATAAGAGGGCATTATATTTATACTAAATATTTGGGACTAAACATTGCCCGTTGAACGTACATTTGACACCAAAATGTGCTAAATTTTATGTCTTTTTTATGTTATATAAAGATCTCACATGATACTAGCGGGCATCTCGGACGAAGCCATGTCAGCCATTCTGGTCAACGAATCCGCGCATGAAGCCGCACGCGGAGCCGTCGTTGTACTCGAGGAAGAAGACGCCGAGGTGGTTGACCTGGACTAGTGAAAACTTGGCTTAGAGGTACTTCAGAACATCTTACGCCTTTTTAATTTTTTTTAAAATGCGTCTTTTTTATTTTTTTTTCTTTTTGTTAGGGTTATATAGCTTCAAATTTTTTTATAAATTTTGTTGTTAAACTTGAAATAGACTGTGCTGAACATAACTGCTAACTTATTTTTATAACTTTCACATTAAATAAATTCAAAAAAATTTGAAATAAACCTCCCAAAAAAATCCAGAAAAAAATGTTTATTTCAAAGGTTACTTCTTCTAAACTTTTTCCAAAAAGTAGTTTCCATCGACTAAGTAAACCAGAAAACAAAACTAACTTCGACGTAATTTAGAAAAACATAAAAACCCACGGCGTTCTTTTGACGACGCCCCTCCCACAATTTCCGTAATATTTGACGTCTTTTTGTGCATACACAGAACGACGCTAACTCGCATACTCATTAAATTCAAAAAAATAATTTTTTTCCTCGAAAAAAATAGCGTTTTTTTCAAAAACTATAGACGTGGAAAAAAATCGATCCTTTTACAATTCCTTTTCTAGTTGACAAAAAAACATTTGGGTGAAAGTTTTTTTCTTATTTTTCTGAACACTTTCATACCTTTCATCCTCAAAATTGGTTAAAGTCCTTTTTTCAGTGAAAAACGTGGAATTTTGTGCCGAAAATGAATTATTGTGGTTCTATGTGTCTTTCCCGACTTATTGAAAAATTTAAAAAAAGTTTTCTTTACAGATTTAGTTTAGTTCATCCACCTAGTGGTATTTTTTTCTCCTCTGCAACATCGCCATACCATTCTGACGTTGCGAAAATGAAGAGATTGATGGATTCGAATAAAAAATTTAATTTGACACTGAAAATGTGTATGAAAGGCTTTTTTTTTGCTTTAAAGGGGAAATTTTGTCAAAACCCAGCAGTTAACATTGAAAATTGAAAAAAAAAGTTCCTTCGCATTTTGCTGTCGCAATAAAAAATAATTACCGTATATCAGAACCAAACAGATAACGATACAACGGAAATAAACATGAAAAATCACGTGAAGCACTTGAGCAACAAGAAATTCAAATGTTCGCGCGCAAGCTGTCTTCCGTAATCTAAGTGGAGCAACGTCTCAAAGCCGCTCCGCATTTTCAAAATGTTTACATTTTCTTCCACTACGCAGAAAGCCGTGAACCGATGATTTGAATTAAAATTTTCGAAAATTTTGAGGTTAAAACGCGCCATGCAGCAGAATGACGCAATCCTACACCCAAACGCGCAAAATTTAATTCGAAAGAATCGGAAAATTGCTTGTTCAAAGGAATTATTCTTTTTGGGGCGCAGCCAAAAATCTCTTATTTTTCTCTAAAACTTTAAAATTACAGGTAAAAACTTTTAAGGAAGTTTTGAAACGTGATCCGTAGATATTATTGCTGGAAATATTTTTTTGAAGCAAACAGTGAACTGCGTCTTTTTTTATAAATTCATTTTTTTATTTTTTTAAAAACACTATTTCCGACCAAATTTTTCTAAAATTCTCTTATTCGATGTGTTTACTAATTTTATAACATATAAAAACATAGGCATGTCGCTGAATATTTCTCGCAAACCGACTGTGAAGTTTTGGGAAGTTTTTAAGTCGATTTTTTCGGGGCGCAGTCAACTTTTTTTTGATTTTTTGTCACAAAACAGAGATAACAAAGCTTTTCAACGTATCGAAAAAGCAGACGTGATTCGTGGATAGTTTTTGAGAAATCTCCGTTTTTGTAATTTCGGCCTTGGAAATCCGTCCCAAAAAACTCGCAAAAAGAAAATAGAAGCTTCATAAGCTGTCTAGATTTGTTATGTCGATTACACATAGTTGTAAAAGATTTCTCTTTTTTCCGTTTTGTTTAAGCGTATTAAATGAGGAAAAACGTTTTTTGCAACAAAAATGGCGGGTTTTTTGAGAGGAAGTGGGCTCTACGGTCCCTATCAGTATTTTGTTTTTTTCTTAAATTTGTTGCAAACATTGCACATTGAAGTTTGAAAAAAAATAATTTCAAAAAAGTTGATAATGCGGGATCTATGCTGTCAAATATGTTTGAACGGCTGACAGTTATCTAGGTGCTCGTATAGGTATAAAGAAAAATATATTATGTATAAAAGTTAATTGAAGTTCATCAAAAAAGAATAAGAGAGAAAATAATTCCATCGAAAAAAGTTAGACTAAAAAAGCAATGAAAATGACACCCAAAACACACTTTTTTTTTTGAAATTCCTGTTCGCTTTCAAGCATTGACTTTCAAAGATTGGAAAAAGTGAAACATATAGATGAGCAACTTCTCTATTTTCTGAACCTCGAAAAATGAGGCTTGGCGGCGTTTGAATGAAATAGAAAACTGTCGAAAAAATCTTAGTGTTCCTAAGAAAAAATCCGACACTTAGACGAAGTGATTAATTTTCAAAAACTGAAACTGACGAAGAGGAAGTGGTAGAAGAGCCGGATGTAGTTGTGGTTGCATCTGTGGGTCCCTTGAGAAGTTTCCAAAATTTAATAAGATCTTGAAACCATCTTACCGTAGTGACAGGCATTGAAGTGGTGCTGGAAGGTACGGTTTGCATACAAGTCTGGGTCAACAAAATCAAATCAAAGAGGAGGAAAAGCATGAAGATTGGCATTGCGCAAGCTTGCCAATGAGGAAGATCGTTCACGTCTCGAATATAAGCCGTGTTTTTCTCGACAAAGTTGCGCCACCGGATGATGACAATGGGGCGGAGAATAAGCCGTCATTCTGAAAATGGGCAGGTATTCTGGACGCTGATCAAGACCGCCATGATTGTTCTTGCCATGGGTGGGAAGATGGAAAGATCAAGACCGCCTAATTCGTTTGTAGCTTCATCTGGATGGATGTTTCTCAGGTGTGCATCGCAGATCAGGTCCAAAAAAGCTCGGAAACCGCTTCTTCTCAGATTTTCGGTCGGAAAAATGTCCTTGAGATTTTAAGTTGATAAATATTTTTGCGAGAAAAAGCTCTTTATGAACGAACTCGACATGATTTTCTCAATAGCATACGGCGCTAGGTAGACTTTTTTTCCCTCTCTTATCTCAGAAGCTAGATCTGCGATTCTCACTTTCCTGTTAGGATTTTCCTGAGTTTTCCCTGAAAAATCAATCAAGATGAGTCTATCTCGAAACTGTCAAATGCAATGACTTATGCTTTTGATGATCTGAAGGTCTAAACTTTTACTTTAAGTCTTATAGCCCGTTCACGACTGGCTTTGGAAACGAACGGGCGTTTTAATTTTCGCGGCGAAGGTAGATCATGGCGGCTATCCATGCGTCTTCCATAAAATCTCCATTTTATGATTTATTTATTTTTCTCTCACAATTCATCGCTTTTAAGAAAATGAAATAAACAAATGGGATGAATGTAAACAAAAAATGAAACGAATAAAAACAGAAATAATTCATCAAATGAGGCTCTTATTAAAGGCGCATGTAGGGCCGTCATGATCTACCTTCGCCGCGAAAGTTAAACCGCCCGTTTAGTGTCCCAAGCCAGCCGTGAACGGGCTATAACAACCGTTTGAAAGGTTTGCAAAATCATAAAAGAGAAGGAACAAAGTTTTGAGATTGATCGTTATGAAGTAACTTCATCCAGGCTTGCAAAATAATTTATAATAATTCAAATAAATTACCCCATTGTAAGAAGAAAAAAACCACCAGAACTTACAATAAAAGAAAAAAAGGAAATATATAGTAGTTATAGAAAAGAAAATAGATGGAGAAATATATTAGATTTTCTTCATTAAAAGTTACTGTACCTTTTTTTGAAATTTTTTTGTCAAATTCAAACATCTGGTTAGGGTTTCAAAAAATAGAGAATTTATTTTTTTGCCCTGTATTTTAACCAAAAAGTCATTTTGGGAATTTTTCGAAAATTTGTCAGAATATTCTTGGAAGTACCGAATAACTGTCTTGAACGTCTCACTTAATGTACGTTTCATGAAAACCATTTAGTCCCAAAATTTTAGTAGCGTTATTGCGCTTTGTATCATCTCCATTCACTAAGTCTTCTGAAGTTTTGATAAATTTTTTGGGTGAAAGAATCAAGAAAAATAATTTTCATGTCGCCAAACATTTGGAAAAAATAATTTGTTTGGCAAGGAATACCATTTTACTTTGAGATTGAGGACTTCCTAAGGTTTGGTTAGGCTCCTTGAGATTCTGAAGTTTCTATCTGTACAACTTCCTATTTTCGAAAAATAAGGGTTATAATTGGCATTTTTGACGGATTTTAGAGGTTTTCTCAGACTTCGCGGTCTCGTTTCTTAAAAACTAGGAAGTTGTTTAGGTTGAGACTTACAAGATCTTTTTTTTGGTACATCAAGGAGTTTTCTGGCCAGTTTTTACGAAATTCCCAACCACAAAGTAAAATAATCTTCCTTGTTAGGGGCAATGAATTATACAGAAAAAAAGGAAAAAGAAGTTATAAAAAAGATTGATGCTTTAGGGTTTTACTTTGTGAACGATATTCTTTTTTAGCTCTTTTACCATGCTTCCAAGAAAAACTTTGAAAAGCTTTTTTTGTAAAATTTATAGTTTCTACATCGTTTCTAAATTCACGAGATCCTACTAAAATCTAGATTCCATCATTCTTACTCAAAATATAAATCACTCACATACTTAAATAATATAAAAAATCTAACTACTTAAAAAAAAACGAAGAACAAACTTAAATACCAAATGGGGGTTAGCACCGTCTATACAGACAATCTTTTCCTCCAGCCGTTTCCACAGATCAGCTGTTAGATTTATTTGATTGTCTTGATGTTTTTATTTTTTTGTATTTGTCGTGCAGATTGCGGGATGGCGAATAAACACTTGAAATGAAAATGAAAAAAAAAAACGAACAGGACAAAATTATTTACATTTTATTTACAGTTCACGATTTTCCGCATGATTCCAAAACTTTGATCAAAAATTTGGCCTCACAGTTCTATCAACCATACGCGATTAAATTCCTCAAGCTTTTTTTTCTGGAAAACTGGAAAATTGTGGCTGATTGCCTTTCTCCGTGAATTTCAAAGCCACGCCTTTCAAAAAAACTGTTATGATTTTTCATTTCAGTCCTTACCTACACGTATATAGTTTGAAAATTTTCGAAAATTGGTCCGATTTCCGAGATCAAGCTTCTCACAAATCAAGCAGTCTCTCGGCTTCACTTCAAACGGGAAGAGAGGCCAAAAATCGTTTTTGCCTGGAATTTGATCATCGAGATTGCCGATTCTATGTTCTTAGGCGATTTCGATTTCCCATTGCCGCACGGGAAGTCGTTTGATTTTCCCAATATGTATGATTAACTGGAGGAAAAAATAGAGACAAAAGTTGTATTTTATACCAGCAAAATTATATTTATAGACTTTTTTCAACAGTAATTGTTCTTTGAAAATCTTATTTTTTAGAATCTTTTTCGAGAGAAAGAAAGTAAATCGATCAATTGAAGGTCAAAAATGGAGCAAAATTATAAATTATTCCCTTCTTGGTGCCTTTTTTGGAAAAAAAAGTTCATATAGGCCATTCCGCGCCAGCTTGTCAGGTTTTTCTTTCCGCCAAAAGGCCAGGTCAAATTTTACCGACTTCGCTTCAAGACCTTTGGTTCTTGCCGTTATAAAATCAGAAATTTGATCTAATTTGGTATACGGTCTTTTTGGCGGAAAGAAAAACGTGACAAGCTGGCGCGGAATAGGCTATAAAAGTCTGTTCTTATCATAAAAATTGTATTTTCCATCAAAACGAATTGTAAATCAACTTGAAGATCTCGTTTTGAAAAATGATTCCGAAAAGCGTTTCGAAGTCATTCATTTTTTTGAACTTAAAAATTTTTTTCGAGTAGAGAAAAAAATATCGAAAATCAATTAGAGTATTAAAAAACTATTTCTTCCGAGGAAGTTTGTGAAAAATTTTCACTCTGGTTTCCCACCTGCGGAACCCTTTTTTGAATAAGAAAAAATTAGTTCTGTGATCCAAAACTTGAAAAATTTTATAAAAATAGATAAGAAAAAAAACTTCGCAACTGCGAAGTGAAGTAAACCCTTTGATCAACCTAAAAGTTGCTCAAATTTAAAAATTGCCATATTTCAATCCGGTTTCCTCCTCTGTGATGATTAAAAAAACAAAGATCGTTCCGAGAACCGGCATTTCAAATGATCTGTCAGTTTCAAGGCATGGCAATATTTTACGTGGACCGTTGCGCGTCACACACATCCAGAACGGATATTTCCAAGCTTTTCATTATGAAACTGATCTTTTCAGGGGTGTATGTCAAAAGAGCTATGAAAATCGAGCACAACTTAGTTTCCGAGAAATAATACCTAAGGTCTCGAACAAGCCTATTTTCATGGGTTTCGAGGGTTTTCTTGGAATTTAAGACGTCTTTTCTTAAAAATAAAAAAGTTGTGCAGGTTGAGACTTTTAGAAACGTTTTCTGGTACAGTGCGGGACAAAAACTATAAGACCCCCTTGCTTTTTAAATTAAAATGAAACTTTTACCTAGAATTTCTTCCACTTTCAGAATAACTTTCTGTTTGAAACAACTTTGAGCATCTTTCAGCTACGGTTAAACGTTTTTTTTCAATTTGAGAAATCTAAAAATAATGAAGCGAGTTTCGAAAGCGTTTCTGAAAAAAATCAATTAACACGGAAACCAAAAGACGTCTTAAAAAGCTGATGCTGACAACGTAGTTTTTTTGAACACCTAAAAAAATAACTTTGAAGCCACAAAAACGCTATTAACGTTTTTTTTTTTCGGCAAGTAGGGTTCCAAAAATGAAGAGTTTTGCTACAAAAAAGGTAAAAAAGAAGCGCTGTTTTTTTTGGAAGGGGGGTTCAAAGTATCTCTCAGCCATTTTTCATCAAAGTCTCGACCGAAAATTTCTGCAAAACAAATAATAAGAATTATTTCGTCTGTTTAGTTATGTTCTTTCTAGAGGATACTTCGAAAAATGAGTTTTCGAAAAAACACATATAGCTGATTCACGGCCAGCTTGGGACGCTAAGGGGGCGTGTCCTGTCTGCGCTCTCCACGAGCCATGCAATATCTCGTGCATTATCGTGTCAGGACCTTTTCTGGATGGCTCAAGCCAGTCGTGAACCAGCATTAGTATCGTTCAGCTTCTATTCGATTATAACTCGAAAAATAAGAATTGGAAAAAAGAAAAATTCCAACCCTTCCCCGTGATCTTCCCATGAGATAACCCAAATACCTATAAATATGAAAAATATGAAAAAAAGGAAGCATAGGGAAACTCATTCAAAGAAGCTAAATGGCGCGCTATCAATATGAAAGAAAAAACCTCGAAGTCAGGTAAATTGAAGACGAATAAAAATTGTACTTTTTTCTTTCTTCTGCCATCGGCTTTTCATTAATTTACAACTGAACAATTTATTCGAAAAAACAAAAATCTAGCGATAAATCCTCCACAAAACCCGTTTATCTAGCTATCTTTTGTTATTTGGAAAAAAAGGACCAGAAAAAAAAATACATTGCACTTAAAACTTTTCACTTTTCATTAGTCTCTTCTAAAAACGTGAGAAAAAAACCCGGAAATTTTGGATTAGGGGGAAATTATAGTACAGAAAAAAAGAGTTCAGCAGAAAATGACGCAAAAAATGCCGACAGAAACGCTGAAAATTTAGATAATTTCGATTCCCATGCAAAAGAAGAAAACGTACAGTTGATTGAACTCAATTTGACCATCGACGCAGGTAAACGTGAATGGAACGGTGTCTGTTGTGAAGCTACGGCCATCTTGTATGTATACCTTTGAGAAAAAGGTTTAAAAGCTTCAAATTAAGACAACTGGGAATTGATCCATCTAAGGGTGCATGAAAGAAATTCGCGGAAGAAGTTCCGGACAAGAGAGGTCCTATTTTGTGATTGGAAGTTTCTTGAAAATTAGCTGGTAACTCAAAAAGGACACCACTAATCCAACGAAAAAGCCATTTTTCTATTAAATATCTTTTGTCCAAAACGGATATTTTCAATTAAACCCTAGAAAATTCCTGGGTTTTTAATCCAAATCAGTCAAATTCAAACCAACTATAAGCTCAGAATTTTAGCGTGGCCTCGTGAGAGAATCTAGGAGAATTTGGAATAAAGGAATCAAGAATTGTCATTTATCTGTCAATAAACTTATATTCATTATTTTATTCTTTAAGGTGATGCCCTAAAAACTCACACTTATCGAAGCCATGCAATCTGGAGTAGGCAATGGACAGTCGCCGACGACCATTGCTCCATTAAACCTGAGAAAAAAAAACGTTCAATAGACCACAAAAATCTTTCTAGGATCAGTATTAGAAACAGAAGTTCTTTGAAAATTCCCCGATGATTTTCCCAAGGCATGTTCTAGTTGAAAAAAAGGGAGGTTTGAGATGAAAACTTTTTGACAACGCAAAGAAATCTCTTCTACGCAGTAAATTGAAAAAGGGTCACAAGAAAAGGTTATATTTTAATTTCAAAACCCAGCTAAGGTTATAATAACCAAAAAAAGATGAAGACGAGGGTTTTTCCTGAGACAGTTCGCAAAAAAACAAAAAGTTTAAGAAAAATTTTTGGATCATTTTTTTCTATCACTTAAAAAAACTGAACGGTCCACATAAGCTATGAAAATAATGCTTGAGTGCCTTTTCTAATGCTAAACAAGTAAATTTTGTATAAATTGAAGTATTAGGTTGGATAATTTTGATGTTTTTTGCGTTTCAAAGATTATTGATTAAAATAATCTATTATTAGAAAAGCCATGCTCTTGTGAATTGTGTGATATATTATTTGCCTAGATTAACTTCGAAGTTTTTTTTTAAAAAACGCTCCATCGAAGTTTAGGTTGCGTTTTAGTGATAATTTGAAAAACGGGATTCTGAAATTTTACTGTGCTATTTATATATATATATTTTTAACTTTCACCAAAGATTTACCCGTTAATCAGTGTCAGCGATGAATAAAGCGCTTTTGAAACGAAAACGAGTTCTTCAAAGGCCCAACTCTTTTTTTTCATGATTTTTTATTTTCTCCGAGCTATAGAAGCTTTCCTTCTATGTAGCTTTATTTTGCCTAAAATTTTTGTTATAATAAAGGCGCATCAAAGGGAAGCTTCTCGGAAGGATTCTGTAGCTCGGAGTAAAATGAAAATCATGACAAGCTGCCTAAGAACGGACTATAACACATAATTTTGAATCAATCTTTTTTCATTTCCTTTTTATGAATGGAAAGCTGCTAATTATCAGAAAACCATTTCTGATTAGCCACCCTGAATCAGAACCACAGCAAAACATGTGTCATAAACTGTAAATTTTCACTCGCCGTAATCTTTCAAGGAAATAGACTGAATAGACTTCAAGGGGCTCACATGAAGGTGGCCGGCACCTCGTCCATGGTCGTGTCAGGCGGTTTGGTCAGTGTCATTGTGGAGCATTGAGGCTCCATTGGAGGAGTCGTCGTCGTACTCGTGGAAGAAGACGTGGAGGGAGATGAAGTTGTAGATGATCTTGAAATTATGATGCTTCCAGGCGGATGAAATTCAACTTTTTTTTGTAATAGAAACCGTCAAAATGTTGTAGATTATGAAAACTTTTAAAAATTTCAACATGTTTCTCTTTCTACTATCTCTTTGATATCTGACAAATTTCAAGAAAATACTCACGAAGATGACGACGTGGAAGTACTAGAACTACTTGTAGTTGAAGTTGGGGATGTTGTAGAATCTGTGGGAACCTTGAAAGAAATAATCAGAAACTGAAACAACTCAATATCAGAAAAAAATTCAATTAAAATCTAAAGTTATCTTACTGAAGTCACAGTAGAAACAGGCAGGGAGGTAGTACTAGAAGGTACAGTTTGCAAACAAGCTTGGGTCAAAATGAGAAAATCGAAGAGCAATAAAAGCACGAAGTTGGGCATGATACAAGCTTGCCAATGAGCGAGATTGTTGCCGGCTAGGCGATATTTTTGCAGCAAAGTTGCGCCACCGTACAAGGACAATTGGGCGGAGAATGGGGCCGCCATTCCCGAAAACGACGGTTGGTGGGTTTCCTGGAAGCTAATCGAGACTTCCGCACGGGTATTCAGAAAAAAAAGATTGAGAACGAATTTTTTTCATCCCAGGTGATTTAATTAGGAGATTTCCTGAGATATATTGAATGAAAAATTTGTATTTTTCCACTTTAAAAAAGCTCCATTTTATTGAGCAGCAAAATTCAGCCTAAACGAAGAGTATAAGAAATTTCGAAAAGTGACGAAAAAGACGAAAATGGAGACCAAAACTATTCAGTGAGATGCCGTCCGTTTCGGTCAAGTCTCGAAAACTAAGAAGTTTTGCAGTTTGAGACTTTCAGAATTTTTATCTGGTACATCAATAAGATTTTGCGTTCCGACGATCACTGGAGAAGCAGTGATCGTCGGAACGCAAAATCGTCTACTACTAGCACAAGAGAGGCGAGATGCTCTACGCGCCGTCTACGCTTGATCAACGACATTATCGCGAACCGACAAACAACTCTTCAATTATTCCATGATTCAGCAGAGAACCTACTCTGAAGACTGAATAAAACTTTCAAACTTTCAAACATCAATAAGTTTTCTGGCCAAACGGCTGGGGATTGAAAACGTGGTTTTCCCACTACGGACATTTTTTGAACCTCTTGATCGGGTCGCGGCGGGGATCGAACTTGTGACCCTGTGGACCATAGACATGCACACAACTTGTTGCGCTACGGCGCGACCCCTTGTCAGAATTTATTGACTCCTTATCATTATTTTTAATTACCTGATTTATTCTTCAAATTAACTAGGCAATCTTGAAAACTAGTGGATTATATGAAGATGTAGCATTCAGCCCAAACTCCTTTTTTTCAGAAAAATATTCTTTTAAGGATCATTGTAAAGTTTATCTGTGCTTCTTCAAAAAATACGGAAAAGGTTTTGCATACCCATAGCAATCAATCAATCACTACGAAAGTTTTATGATTGCTTCACAAAAAGCTTATTTTCGAAGTAGTATCCAATCTAATACTTTTTCCGCAAGTTAACACAAAAAAAAAATAAGTTTAAAAAAAGCTTTCTATTTTCTAACACTATTTTTTGCTTTAAAACCTGTTCAACTGCAGAATCAAAAGATCTAAATAGAGAAAATTGACGAGTTCCTATATAGGTAACTTTGCTCCTTGACCCAGTAACGGCATTATCGTATCGTTCATTTATCTACTATTTATGAATTTTCATAACAATATTGATTCAACTAACTAAATAAAAGTGAATTTCAACAGAAAGTTGTTCTTCAGACTTGCGGTCAGCATCAAAAAGGGCGGAGAAAAAGCCAAAAATCCTCTCTGGGAGAATTTTGATCGCCGAGATCGCCGGCGCTTCTTTTGTTGTGTTCTTAGGCGATTTCGATTTCCGTACTGGAAGTCATCATTTTGCCCATCAGGCATGATTAATTGCAGACAAGTCTAGAAGAAAAAAATCGGATTTTATTGATACTTTCTCTATCTTAATACTAAATGAACACCTTCCATTAAGAACGTCTTTTTGAAATTTTTATAAAAGAATAGAGTTAGGAGCGAAAACAGCGCTAAAAATATTATTTTTCTCTTATCGCTGTTTTTTTTCTCAATAACTTACTTACTTCAGTTTCTCAATAATGTATCTAGAATATCCCTTTCGAAATTAAACTTATCTGAAATTTTCATGAAAAATTTCACTTTTCTTGAACCTAAAGAAGCTTTCGGAAACAAATTGCGTAATAATTCTTGATTTCAAAAACTTTAAGGAAAACTCATTTTCTACGACGTTCATAAAATTTTCGAACTATTCAAGTTCTGGGAGATTTCTTAAGAGGATAACCATGAGAAAAAAACAACAACAAAAAAATTCAGTTATAAAAAAATTATCTTTTTATTTCTCAAGATAATGCGACAGACCGAGGAAAAGCATAGATCGCCCCAAAAACCGGCATTTCTAATTGAACTGTCTGTTTCATGATACGCCCATATTTCACGTCGGGAAATACGTCACACATCGAGAACGAAGAACGTCGGACTTTCTATTTTGAAACCGATCTTTTCGACAAATGTCTGTCTGGCCACATTTTGAGCTTTCAATTTGTGCTTTTCGCAGTAAGAAAACTTGTAAAGCATAAAAGAATAGACCGAAAAAAAGCTTACAAGCCGAATTTCTCAGAAACACAAAACGTTAAATTTTCAGTAGCTTTTTGAAAATATTGGAACTACTTTAACATCGTTCACTAGCTTTTAATTAAGTTTCAAAATTTTTTGAAGTTGAAAAAAAAATAACCCGAAATCGTCACGATCAACTCAAAAAACCCGATCGATTAAAGCTGAAAACCCAAATTTCCATGCAGAAAAGGACGAAAATCATGAAACTCCGTATTTATATACAAATATTTGAGCTGTCTCAATAAGATAAAGTGATTTTTCTCGAAACTAAATACAAAATTATGGCAGTATTGCGGAGGCGAGGTAAGTTTTCATTGAAAGGCGCCTTTCAACGTGAACCGAACTTCTGAAAAAAATGTTTCTCATTATTTTTAGGGCTTTCAGTTCATTTTTAAATTACAAAGTGAATTTTTGAGTGACAACCAACCTCCATTCACGTTTCTGTGGTCGACGATTCCCACATCTTTGTACAGCCAGAGCAATCTTTCGACTTCTTTTCGTAGCAAATCGTTCTCAACGGACTAAAAATAGAAAATTGACTTGAATAATTCTGTTTTTCTAACGGCTTTTAATAACAAATGAGTATCTCAGTATGCAAAATGAAAGATGGATTCAATAAAAAAGCCAAGCCTGAAAACTCCCTCACAACCTAAAAAAAGCTCAAAAAAACATTGCAAATTTAGCCTGGAATAAAAAAACCCATTTTGATATTAACAAGCAAGAAAAAATTTTGAAGCTACGTAAATGTTTTATTTTATACGAAAAGCCTCGAAACTCTTTTGCAATTCCAGAAAACCTTCAAAAATATGGAAATTTTTCATCAAAAATTAAAATTTATGAGATGAACCTGAAAATATTAAAAATAAGTTCATTTTAACAACTACAAAAAGTTTGTCAAGCGCTTCATGAATAGGAGAAATTGTCCTTAAAATGCAAACTAGAAAGTGAAATTCAAGTTCGGAAATTGAAATTAACTTTTTTTCAAAGTTCGAAAAAACTTCCCGACTTTTTTTCTAATGAATAAAACCGTGTTTTCTTCTTCATTTGCACGAAAACTGACCGATTTGGAAAGGATTTCCGCCAAAGATCCGGTGAAATTTTTCATATCGGCCAGCGCCGTCCAGATGACCATCTGGGCGCGGTCCATGTAAAGCCGTTTTTCTGGAAAAACTGTTTATTAAGGATGAAAAGTTACAAATTTGTACCCTGCCCGGGCTTAGCGAGGCCTCAAACAAAAACGGGCGAGCCAGTCCAAAAAAGGCGAAATCTCTCCAAGTTAAATATCAGACTTTTCGACGACAAAAATGACCTTTTTGGTTTTTTTTTACTCAACAGAAACCATAACTAAATAAGAATGATTTCAATAGATCACTCGGAGCCTGAGCCCGTTTACCGCAAAAAAACAAGGCCCGAAGCTCGGGTCGACCCGGCCTTAGCGAGCCAGTCCGAAGAGGCAAATTTTCTCCAAGTCAAAACGTATTTAATTATTTTTTTCACTCAAACTTCTACAGAAACACGCTTATTAACAAAAAAAGTTGTTTTCAGTAGTATATTATACGACGTCTGATCCCGCTTCCCGCCAAAATAAGGCCCAAGGCCCGGGCCAGCCCGCTTGAGAGTGAAATAAAGTACTTCGGTTTGAAGTTTTCATCGCCGAATACGTGGTTCCACGGCCATTATCCTCCAACCACCGCAACGTACACGATTCCATTTGTCTGAAAAATCTCAACTCAACAAAAAATAAACATCAAATCTTATGGGAAATATACAATTTTGAAGAGACATTGCTCAAGAAGGTACCAAAATCTCAACGAAAACTGGTTTCACATCTTTTGATAGCCAGTTCAGATTTTGATTGTCTACTAAAATGACGTCATTCAAAAACGCTCTGTGAAAGGCTCGCTTTCCGATTGGTTTATCACGCCAGAAGGGGCGGAGCTTGCTTCAAAATCTGAACAGACTATGGATATTATGCCTTCTTTTCGGAAAACTTCATTTGCCACCAAAAAAAAGCAAACATCAAATATTTCCACACTTCTTTTCAATGAACGAATGTTTATTGGTATTCCATCTCTTTTTCTTACATTTTTTTTTTTGACAAACGTGATGATTTTGATGCTCAAACCTGTTAGGAATAGTCATGGTGATTTTCTGACGACACATCGGACAATTGTGGTGCAAAATCGTGTGCTGCGAAATGCAAAATGAGCAAAACGTATGGCCGCATGTGGTTATTACTGGCTGAAATCGAAAAAGATACTAAATAACTTTTTAAAAAAAAGGGGAAAATAGCCGCTTCTGATAATTTTAGAAGGTTCATAAAAAAATCTTCAAGAAACTAACTTATAAAAGGAGAAATTCTAACGGTTCTTTGTGAAAAAAGATTCAATCAAAAATCGCCAAGAGACCTTTTTGATTTCAATTTTGCATCTTTTTCACACCTCTTAAAGAAAAAAGCTGAAAAAGAACTGAAAAAGAGATCCCCATGATTCAAGAAGGGACCTTTAGGCTATGAAAATGGAGCTTGAAAACTTTTCCCATAACTTTAGGGAATTTTAGCGGAATTTTTATGCTCTTTCTGAGAGTCCTCGACATTTTTTTGTCCCTTTTTAAACTCCTTGCAGTGATATTAATGAATATTTTCTATCTTTTTCAAAGTCCATTTTCATCTATTTTAAACAATCAACCGATGAAAATGATAAAGAAGAACTGTATTCACCCCACAAAACCTACATCAATAAAGACATCGAGACAAATCGAGCAGCAAAAGTCCTCCTCGTGCATCCGGCAGTGAACAGTGAATAAAGGGGCTGGAAAATGTTCAACTTCAAATAATAAAATCAAATATCACATCGCATGAATACACATAAAAAGAGGCTTGCGGAACGGATGATGAAAAAAAAACGATCGGATAGGTTTCAGTCGGAAGTGAATGGGGGAATGTTCATAAAATGTGATTGACCGTGAATTATGTTAGAGGACGAGAGCTAGGAATGGAGGAGAAGCTAGAATCTTGGGCTGAGGGGACAGAATTTGAGAAAAAAATATAAATTAAATTGTTCTCTTTTTCGAGAGAAAAAGAAGCTTTGAAATTGTTTTAATCAAAAAAATTGACTTTCTTACAACTTGACATGAAAAATAATCGACAAAAAAATAAATCTTTTTTTACTATTTTTTTGAACACCCAGAGCCCAAAAAAACAAGGACGAAAAACGAATATTTCGGAATGATCCGAAAAAAAGACGAATTTTTGGACGTCCGCCATTCTGAATATGTAACTTAGTACACCTTAAGCTGAACATTTTTCAAAATAAAACTTCAAAAACTCCATTTTAGACACAGAATAACCTGAACATTTCTAGAGAAAGTCCACCTTTCCCATGCCATTTTTCAAGACGACATAACCAAGAAACCAGGTCAAAACGAGATTGGGATAATAAAAAGTTATGGGCAAATTCTGACATTTCGATATAAAAAGTGAGTGCATGAATTTTCAAAACCCTAAGCTGAAGTTGGCGCACAAATTATGTGAAAATGGAAAAAATCTCTTTCCTTGAAAATTAAAACAAAAATAAAATCAAGGTCATTTCGACGGATATAAGAGAATAATCATAATGTTGACAATTTTCGAGATTTCGAACCCTAATAAAGTTTCTTTTTTTGAAAAAAAAAACTTCAAAACGTTCATTTTTACCCAAAAATAACCTAGAAAAACCAAAAACAGTTCCACTTTCCCAGGCAATTTTTCAAGACGACATAACCAAGAAACCAGGTCAAAACCAGATTGGGATAATAAAAAGTTATGGGCAAATTCTGACATTTCGATATAAAAAGTGAGTGCATGAATTTTCAAAACCTGAGCTGGTGTTAGCGCACCACTCATGTGAAAAAAAAAATAAAAAAAAAATAAAAAATCAAGGTCTTTTCGGCGAATTTGAGAGAATAATCATAATGTTGACAGTTTTCAAGATTTGGAATATTAAATCCACAGGACTACCTTTCTATATATCTTAATTTTCGAATAAAACCTCGAAACGTTCATTTTTACCCAAAAAATAACCTAGAAAAACCACAAACAGTTCCACTTTCCCAGGCAATTTTTCAAGACGACATAACCAAGAAACCAGGTCAAAACCAGATTGGGATAATAAAAAGTTATGGGCGTGAAATGGAACAATTTTGACGCCGTTTCTCGTGATTTGGTCGAGAAACCGGTTCACGGAGAAGGAGCACAAACCGCAGCAAAAAGTGACATTTGAGCCGGGCCGTGCGCAGCCCCCCAAAGAATCAACTCGAGTTACAAAAGAAGTGGAGAAGCTCAAGAGAAAACGTACTATTTTATGCGAGACCTCTGGCTCTGAAATGCTTATAAAAGAATTTTTCCTTGTCTATCTCGTTGTGGAATTTATTTTTTGGAAATCGTTTCCTTCTCCAGGACTTTCTAGGTTTTCAGAATGTGGTTACTTCGATAATGCGGATGCAAAACTCATAATCCCTTATATAATCTGCAAATTTTGGAATTTAGACAGCCTATTCGGGAAAAAAAGAAGAAATAATGCTGAATACAAAAATATTAAGAAATTTCAAATGATAAATTTCGTCATCAATAGAACTGTATTCCCGAAAATACTCCGAAAAAAAGCTCAAAAGAAAGAACTTTTGGAAAGAATTCAGAGAAGATTAATCGAACTTGAACTTTTATTAGGAGAAAACAGACGCCATTATAGATAGCACTCCCAAAAGTCTCCTCTTGGCGCATTCCGCGTGCGTGCGCGCGCCAATTCAAATTTCGTCTCTTGGACTAGATTTACAGGCTTCCAGTATATGGTTCTTTTTGTATAATTTTTTTCTTACTTATTCATTTCCAGTTTTTTTATTTTTATTTAATATTGACTCATTTAGGGAATCTAACTTTATTTAAGAAAGTTTTTTTCTTGTTTTAGCGCCAATTCAAATTTTTCGCCTTCACTCACTTGCACAGGCAAATGGGGAAGGTACCATAATGTGCCCACAAATATACCTCTTAAAAAAAGAATCTTGAATATTCCATAATATGTCCATCGTGAGACGTCGAGCATAAATTTTAGCTCTAGCTGACCAGGGAATGGTGTCTAGTCGCAGTTGGATTTCAGAATGAGACCCAGTCCACTAAATGAAGTTTTTTTCATGCTGTTTCCAAATCTGTTCTCAAAAAAATGCCGCGGAGGTCCGTGAAAAAAAGTTTTTGGAAAAGTTTTTTTGAGCGGAGATACGATTTTTTTCAAAGCTCCTCGCATGATAAGGAAATTTGCTGCTGAAAAATTCATTCTTCGTTTCTCATGAGCGAATAGAGAACAACGTGTACAGCTTATACAAATTTCAAAGGAAGTCTGAAAACAGAATGAATAAAAAAATTAGAAAACCGAAATGACTAAAAAAATAATAATAATAAAAAAACCTGGGAAGCATTTCCAGGCTACTCGGTAGCAATCAAAAATTTCAGGTACTCTGCCCGTATATCCAGTTATCATAGATATGATACCCGTGTAAAATTAATTGGAAGTTTTTTTATGCAAGAAAAATTATTCAAAAAAAACCATATACTGGAAGCCTGTAAATCTAGTTCAAGAGACGAAATTTGAATTGGCGCGCGCACGCACGCGGAATGCGCCAAGAGGAGACTTTTGGGAGTGCTATCTATAATGGCGTCTGGAGAAAAACGCTTTTTATCCAAGTATTTTTTTATAAAAAAATAATATTTGTAAATGTTCATAGAGTAAAAAGTAATGTCTGCTAAACGCGTTATCATTTTTTTCTGTCTCTTCAAAAATTTAAAAAAATTTTTGATTCTCATAAAATATTTCCTTTTTGGAGATTCAGGTAATTCTGGGAAAATCAAAAAGCTTTTCCTTCAGGAAAAACTAGTTTCAAATAGTGAGAAATCATTTTTAAATGTCATCAATTAAATGTTTCAAAAAAATAAACAAGTAAAAAAACTTAAACTTTTTTTCTTTTTTTGTAGAAATTTCAAGTTATTTATGTTTGAACAGGGATAAAGCTTAAAAAAATGAAATTTTGACTGGAAAAAAATTAACATTAAAAAAAGACAAGGAGTTCGAAACTCAAAGAAAAAAACCATTAATAAACTAAAATTTGAAAAAGACGGCCGCTTGGCGTTCACTTCAAAAGAGAACCTGAATGAAATCGTAAGTTGCATTTTTAAAACACTAATTGACTCGATAAAAAAACGGAATGGAAAAATTTTTTTACCAGAATCAACAAATACTCAACGAATCAAGACCACATCCTAGTGAAAAAAACCTTTAAAAAAACAAAAAGTTTCAAAAAAATGAAAAACCTTTGAGAAATTCAAAAGACACAGGAATGAACCAATTAACCTGTGAGGATACTTTGAAAAACCATAAAAGTTAGAAATCAACAAAAAACCACCCGGAATACTAAAACTAACAGGCCTTCCATAAACAAGACCATCATAAAAGTAACGAAACCAAGGAAAAAAGACCGTTGCCGAATTAGTTCCCTCAGAGGACGATGATCGAATTACGCAATGGCTTTATTGGGAAAAGGATGTCTACCGAACAGAAAACTGGATGCCAACAGCTGGCAATCGATCAAACTTCCGATAATTCCGAAAAAAAAATCGGGAGGCACGTGATAGATAATAAAAAAGGAGAGAAACTTTCTCAAGATTGTAAATTCTGATAAATTCTTTTCGAATATGATAAAAATTCGATCTTTTCCGCCTGAAGCTACCCTAGAAGCCGTTGTTTGCGGAGAACAGATGGCTGGAAGCGGCCGCATAAATTATGGTCATTTATTAATGCCCAGTAGGCTCCAAGTCGAATAAAGTCTTTGCTAGGTCGACTCTGAAAGAATGAAAACTGAAAAAAATCGAAAAATCCTAGAAGTAAAGTCGAAGCTGTCAGATGAAGTAAAAGAAACCCGAAGGAACAAGGTGAAAATGCCGCAAATATTATTTGAGGCCTGGTAGTAACGGTAAAGATAATTTAAGCCAAAATTTTACGCCAAAAATCACACTTCTTCAGAAATGGTTTTTTTAAAACAATCTTGTAAAAAAAAATTCAGCACTAAAAGTCCCTCTATTTTTAAAATCCAAAGACCCACAAAGAACCTAATTTTTAAAGACTCTGGTGATTTCCTCATCAGTAATAACAATACAAGTTCAAATCAGTTTTCTAAACTGATTCCAAATCTATAAAACAAGTTTGAAAGCAAACTTTATAAGAAACTTTGAACAAAACAAAAAGAAAAAATAACGCTTAATAATCCTTGTTGAAGTTTTAAAGGACCATGGACAAATTTAAGGAAAATTCAAGACGAAAAGCCGTTTTCAGTTTTATTTGAGAGCAACCGAGAAAGCTTTTAAAAGGACTTTTGAAAAAACTATAACCCTCCAAATTCTTTCTGAATGGTTATGAAGTTGTAAAATGAGTTCTCGATTAGAATATTAAGACTCGAAACAATTCAGACTCCCCAAAAAAACCTTATTTCATAAAGAAAACTTTTCTGATTTGAAAATCTGAAGAAATGAGACAAAAAGGCTCAATTTGATGAAAAGTGAAACCAAAACTTCCATGACTTCCAGTTGAAAAAAGTGAGCTCAAAAGACAAAAACTCCTTGCTCCTCACACTACCAAGAACCAATTCGTAAAGCAAAAGCCGACGGCAATGTAAACAATATATAGGCAAGTGAAAAGGCGTTCGGAATCGTTAAAATTATAGGTGTGGACCGGTTGGTTGGCAGCTGCCTCGTGTGGAAGAACCATGAAAAACAATTGAAATCAAACTTGACACTTGCCGATCAAAGTTTGCAACATAATCGTGACCCTTATCTTCGCGAGGAACGTGTGAAAAATATTTTCATGTCTGACAAATTTTTTTGGAGAAAAATAGTTCGAAAGTTGCAAGTTTTCAAGAAAACAACTAGAATCTGCTAAAAACCTTTTGAGTCTACTCAACAGAGTAATTAAATTATTACTAAATCACAGAACATTTTATGTCCCCCATTGACAGGTCGCATGACTATCTTGATAATAACCAAAATAAGATAACAAGTTTTTTTGTTCGATGGTTTTTTTGATTAAAATTTGGAGAGTTCCACAAAATCGGCCGATTAAAAGAACATTGAGAAAAAAGCCGTCGTAAGTTTGAAAAAAAAGCCATTTTTCAAAACCCACGGTGGCAAGGATGATTGAGCTGAGACCACGTTGTCAACTACAACAGCTGACGTCTCATATCCGGTTTTTCTTGCATTTCCCATTACGTACAAGTTTTTTGACTCGAAACGGTTGAAGTCATTAAGGAACAGGGGAATTGAAGTTTGAAAACAAAATTAAGTGCCCTGAAATATCTGAACACATTCATAAATAATGAAGATAGAAAAAGAAAGAAAAAAAAATTCTCGAGCTTTGTCGGCCAAGTTCGCTTCAGTGCTAACTTTTCCAGCGCGAATTTCAAAATTGACTTCCAAAGTTTTTTTATTTCTGCAACTTGGAAATAACGCAAATTCTCATCGTTTTCAAGTTTTGGCACATATTTATTCTCATGTTCGAGTAATCCCAAACGGGCACTTCAAACTTTTGACTAGAAGCTGTCAGCGCAAACGTTTTCAAGACGTATTGCACCACGCTACTTCTCACTTTTTTCCTCATGTTTTTGATGTTCAGGAGCATATTACTAATTTTTGTTTTGTCATGATCAATATTTTATTGACTGTTTCTATGGCAAAAAACGTAGATTGTCCCTTTTTTAACCATTTTCATTGTCAATGATTTTCTTTCTTTCTAATCCAAGTCCACTAAGACCGACATTTGAACTAATCCTCGAAAACCCATGTCTTTTTTCCCATGAACGAGCAAAAGTTAAGGCTTACTGCCGACGTTTTTCCTTGTTCTGCAAAAACTAATAACGTCCGTTGTTTTTATTTATTCTCGACTATCATTTCACAATTTTTTAAAAGACGTGTTAAGATTTCGGATTGTTAAAGACTGTAAAAAACCCAAAAAAACCTCAACAGGCGTATATAGACAATAATTCAAAGTTTTGATCAAATCTCAGCATGTTTCAAAAAAAAAAGCATTCCGAATTTTTTCAAATGTCATAAAAAGTATGGGACTTTTATAAAATTTCACTTTTGAACCTCTTCTCAATTTTCATTGAAGTAACTTCTCAAAAAAAGGATTCTTTTTTCTCCGAGCTTTCTCCCAAAAAGCAATAATAATAAAATCGGCTCCACGTCTTGACGATTGTTTCAATGGGCCCAGCGGACGGGACAAGGAAAAGCCGTATAATTATCCTCGCGACGACAAAATGCCATTTTTTGATGGATTTGTCCAGCCCATAATGTCACAAATATTTCAGTTCCCAATATTATATATGGAAATTTCGGGTCTTGGAGAAAAATTGAGAGATGTTCAATTTTTTGCAAAGCGACGGCGGCGCGAGGAAAAAAAGCGGAGGAAATCTAATCTGTGTCCGTTTTATATATGAATATTCCATTCGCAGCTTCTTCCATCCATCCGAGTTTCCACTCGAGATGGAATTGTATAAAAATAGATGATTTTTCACTTTCACCGCCTACATTTCTTTCGTTTTTCTCCATCAAAAGACCGGAAATTGGGGTTGAGCCACGTTCGTCTTTGTTCTTTTACGCTGTTGCGTGTTGTCCTTCTTGTTTTTTTTTCTCCTTTTTCCATGACCCACTCAGCTTTTCCAGACTTTTCGGAACCTCAATGATCAATCAGTTATTCACTCTATTATCACTGGGATCGCTATTTTATACTGCTGAATCTTTGAATTCCAACGAGAAGGACGACGAGTTATTATTCACTGAATTTCCAAAGGTTCCTGCGATTTTTTTAAATTTTTGTTATTATTGTATTCTGGTGGGAGTTTTTTTAAAGGAGAAAAACAAAGAATATCATCAAAACTCAAGCTTTTTTATGAAAAAAATGATAGGTAAAACTAGAGAACAAGTCAGTTTCTATGAGACCAAAGTTTTCCAGGAAAGCCCCCACATCGTCCGACATTCCTACTTCAAGCAGGAATTCAAGTTGGGCTATAAACTAAAATTGTTTTGTAAGGCGACGGGCCATCCAAGACCTCAAATCGTCTGGTACCACAATGGCGCCGAGGTGAACCCCGACAAGGGAAGAACGGTACATTTTTTCGGTTTTTTTGTGTAGGAACTGATTTTTTTTTTTCAAATTACAACCTTTGGAGATGATTCGAAATATGTATTTTGAGTGAGGCTTTCAGAATTGACCCTCCAGAAGTCACTTGAATGACGTCATCAAAAAATAAAAAATTTTACCGTCATATTGGGAACTCTCTTGATACGAAAAAAAAGTCGATTACGAAAATCGAAATTAAAACTTTAAAACGATGACGTCATAGCTCCTTTTCCTTTAAAGGACTACTTGAGTTTCATGGAATGAGGTCGTCAATAAATGATCTGAAAATCTATTAAAAACTGGAATTTTGCAAAAAGAGATGAGGAATTCAGATTTTGCAATAATATAGTAGAAAAATGACCTAAAGCAATGACGTCATTAATTCAACCTTTTTTCCCTAAAACAACCACTTGAATTTCAATTAGTGACGTCATCGGAAAAATAAAAAACAATGAGGTCATATTCGAAATTTTAGTGATACGATAAACGTCTTTTTTTCAATTACTTTCCGCGAAGTTCAAAATCTCTGACCCTCCAAAGTTTAGTTATCTATCTCACTCTCTGACGTCTTTTTCGAATTCCGTTCACCTCAAGATTTCTGCATTAACCAAGCTCTCACTGAACCGTTTGAGATCTGGTTTTCAAAAAATCCTTGACAAATCCTCCAGAAAGACGTCGAGAATGCTTCAGATTCGCTACACGCTGCACGACTCGACGCTGTCGTCGTTCCTTGACGTCGACCCGACGACGATCGCCGACGCCGGCGAGTACGAATGCGTCGCCAGCAACGCCAAGGGCAACCACGTTCGCAGTTTCAAGGCCCACTACATTTTGTAATTTTGATCATTTATCGCATTTTTTGGTTGTATATTTTGGTTTCCCGTGTCATTCTTTGAGTAAAAATTTAAAAAAAAAAACCAAAGAAAAGCTAGCCCTGTTTGCGGTTTCAGTGTCATTTTTCAAATGAAAGTTGAGAAAATCAATCTACTTGTTTGACTATAGCCTATTCCGCGCCAGTTTGTCACGTTTTTCTTTCCGCCAAAAAGACCGTGTACCAAATTAGATCACATTTCTGTTTTTATAACGGCTGGAAACAAAGGTCTTGAAGTAAAGTTGGTCAAATTTGTCCTGGCCTTTTGGCTGAAAGAAAAACGTGACAAGCTAGCGCGGAATGGCCTATATGACGAGCTCAAAATTGTTCCGGGAAATTCGAAATAGCCGTTAGAGAATTGAAAAGATAACTAAATTCTGGAGAGACGGCTTAGAAACTTTTAAGAGGTAACTATAGGGGGTTCTCTAAGATTTTTCCCCCTAAAACAACAAACCCCTCAGAAATTCCGCAGAGAGATAATTAGGAATTTCGTGGGAATAACTTAGGACACGCCATAAGAAAAGTTAAAAATGACACTTTTTATTCATTTTTATTTGGCTTCCCTGTGTGATATTCGAATTTTCAGGGAATAATCTTCATTGAAAAAATCAAATTCATCACATTTTTCAATTGACCAATCACGAAAAAGCGATTTTCTCACTGAAATGGCTTTAGAAGAAGTTTTAAAAATACCAAAAATATGTTTTCAACTTTCTTTTTTTCATAGACCGCTTCTTTCAACGCAAGTTTTTTTCCACAAAAAAACACACTTCAGACTTCAAATTTATCACATGTTCTCTTTCAAGTACACAAGAAATCACGAAAAAGCCGACCCGATCCGGTCCGACAAACTGTGGAAGGCGTCCCTGAGGAAGCTGAACGGCTTGTCGTAGAACGGCGGCTCCGTCGTCGTCGTGACGAGGTCGAAAGAACGCGTCGTCCACCAATGATTGGCCTCAGAAAGACGTCGTCGGAATGAAGATCTCGTGCCGGAATTCGGGAGCCTTCTTCGTCGTTGGGAAGAAAATTTGCACGAATTCCTCGTCGTCGGCTTTGGAGTGAATCTTCAGTTTTGGGGAGGTCTTCTGCTCGAGGCGGACCACTTCGACGTGGTCTTCTGGAGACCTCGTCTTGAGCATCTTGACGGGTTCGTCGGTCGCAGACTTGGGCTCTAGTTCTGGGGTCTTCAAGTGCGGTCCGGCAGGCTTGTGGCCCAAGTGCAAGCTCGGGACCTCATCTTCGTTCAGGGGAACTTGGAAAATCGGGACTTGACAGGTCTCAGGGAGTCATCGTGAGGCTTCGGAGCATTGACTTGGTCAGGCTTGGGAGGTCTCAGGGAGCCTATAATTGGCTTGTCTTGAGCTGGAGCTGGTGAAGGTGGTCCAGCAGGTCTCAGAGAATCATCAATAGCCTTAGGTCCTGCACCGGAAACGGCAGAATCCAGGGCAGAAGCAGGTCTCAGGGAGTCATCAAGAGGCTTGTCTTGAGCTGGAGCTGGTGGAGCTGGTCCAGTAGGTCTCAGGGAATCATCAATCGGCTTCTGTCCCGCATCGGAAACAGGAGAAACAACGGCAGAAGCAGGTCGCGGAGAATCTTCAACCGGCTTTCCTTCGGCATAATTTTGCGCAGCAGGTCTCAGGGAATCATCAATAGGCTTGGGTTCGGCCTTGGCTGTAGGGCTGGACGTTGGCTTGGCTGGTTCCTCGGCAGGTTTGTGCTGGATTTCTGGAGTCGTCGTTTCTTCGGCCGGCTTGTGCTCTACTTTGGGTGGCTCTTCAGAAGGTTTGGGCGCGGATTTTGGAGTAGGGACATTATCAACGAGGATGACCGGCTTCATGGGATCTTTCCGCTCGGCTATGAGTGCGGCTTCCGATCCGGATTCGACGACAGGAACGATTTCCCTTTCAGGAGCAGACCTTTTGACTTTGGCGGTGTGCTGGAGCCTCTCGTGCTCGATCTCAGCCGGCTTTCTCATCATCGACCTCTTAACTCTGGCTAAAACCGGTGTTTGGTACCTCTCCACGACGGTTCCAGGCTTCCGAACTGCTTGATATTGTTGATCAGCACCAGAAGTCTCTCGGGCTCCCACTCGCCGGGCTTCCTTCCAATCGGCATCGATCTCTTCACTCTGGCTAGGAACGGCCTCTCCAGTCGTTCTGTGACCGTTCCCGGCTTTCGGACGACCTCGTACTGTTGAAAAGGAGCTGGAGCAGCTCCATTGAGCAGTGCGAGGAAGAGGATGATGTACCCGAGCTTCAGCATCCTGGAAGAAATAAGGAATGAAACGGATTTCACAACTCGAGCAATCAGAAAAATGGAAGGAAAGATTGTGAGTCAAGCGCCGGGGGCTTTTATAGTCGTCCTACTGATTGAATTACAACTACTTCAGGCTTTTAAAAAACCATTGGAAGTTTCGATGCATCATCGTCATGGGAAGTTTTTGTGCGAAAAAGGCTAAAAAATCATTTTTTTTTTCTTGTTCTTGTTTTTCAAGTGTTTGTCATGTTCTTATTTTCTTTTTCGAGAGAATTGCAGAAAATGAAGAAAAGAAGTGAGCAGTTCAAGCCTTTCTAGTGAAATATTGAGCCATAAAATGAATTCTTTCAATTGAAATTTCAACTTTACGAAGAAAAAAATTGTTCTCTTTCGAATAAAAAAACTAGTTGAAAATATGTTGAAACTGAAAGGTACAGGAAAAACAAAAAAATTTCATTTCGCAACACTTTTTCAGCAAATCTTGCAGAAAAATTTTTCCGCTCAAACTTTTTTTCTGAACTCTAAATAAGATTTAAAAATGGAATAGATGTTTTTCTTTTATTTTTTTCTCAATCTTTTTTTGTAATTTTTTTAAATATTTTTTTAAACAATTTTTTTGCAGCGTTCTTCAATGCTTTATTTTTCGCAACCGCTACGCTTCGAGCCATTCCAAATGCGACCAGGGTGATTTCCAAATCTATAACTGAAACCTCACATCCTAATGAAGCTTGAATAAATTTTGTTTTTTATCTTTTATCAAGACAACATTACGATTGTTTCCCAACACGATAAAAGGAATTTCAGAAAAAAATAAATACTAACTGAAACAGTAATCTTCGTCGACAATGTCTTCGAAAAAAGGTTCTCAAAAAAATCCTGATTTTTTTCCAGCTTTTTTTCAATTTTATTTCCATTTTTGTCCACCTTTATTTTAAGCCAATTTTTTTCTTGTTTTGATTTTCTGTGAAATTCGTCAAAAATCTTATGAAAAAAATGCAAAAAAATAACGCCATTTAATTACCATGAAAATTAGCATTTATTCGTTTTATGGGCCCGGGGCAAAATATTTAAAAAGCGGCTGAAATCAACAAAATTTACGTCTTTTTGTAGTCCTTTGGTCACACGTGGAATGGCCTTCTTTGAGAATCGCGCAAGTCGCTTTTAGTCCGTCGCCGTTTTTTTGTTTTTCTTGTTTAATTTTTGCTTTCGGAAGTTGAAAAAACAACTAAATTTCAGGAAAATGAAGCTTCTTCTGCTTATTCTCGCCCTTTTCGCGATACTTGGTCAAGCTGAGGCGGAATTCAAAGGGAAAAAAGTGGAATCGAGGCCGATCTGCACGCCGGAACAACGCCAGAAAGGAATCAAATGTGAAGAGCGAACGGCAAAAATTTGAAATTTCCAGGGGAATTTGTTAATAAATACTTTGAATTTGAAGTTTAAAATGTAACTAAGCCCAGAAAAATACATCAAAGGAAACATCAAAATGCATCAAAACGATCGATTTTGAAGAAAAAGAGTTCAAAAAAATAAGTAAAATTTCCTTTCCCAAAGACAAATTTGGAATTAATCGATTGCTGGAAATGTCCTGGTGATGAGAAAAAGTTTAAATATTGTTTCAAAGAAAAACAATCAGAATTTAAGTTCCTGCTCTTATTTTCAAAGTTTTCCTTATAGGTCTTCATAAAATCTCGCGGAAGTCACTTCTGGTCGGTTGCAATCAAAAAATGAAGATTCACATCGTCCTCCCCGTTCTGTTGCCCTCTTTGGCCAAGTCAACCTTCTTTCAAATAATTTCACGGACTCGCAAAAGAAAATATTTTCTATTCAATATGCTCAACATCTTTCTCAACCTGACACGAATTTTATTGATTTTAGGAACTCCAGAGTGGTCCCTATAGGGGCCACATTAGTGACCCTTGGAGGATCCCCTCTAGGGACCGCTTTACCGACCCCTATAGAGACTAAAGCTTACAAAAGTGGTCCCTGTAGGGGACATGCTCGCCTATAATTGTTATAAACTATATGCGAAGAAGCATTTCCATGCGAAAAAAAATAAAATAAATGAGCGTTCTTTGAATTAAATTAAAAGACTCTTATAGAGATCCCTTTCTCGGCCCCTATAGGGACTGTTTTCCCCCCTAACCCCTATAGAGATCCCTCTGAAACCCCTAAGATTTCTGAATTTTTTTTATTTACAATCGTGTTTAAATTGGTATTGAACAAACTATTAGCATTTACAATATTATAACTTTTAGATTTTTGGAGATAGTTTTGCTATTATTTACGCTAATTGAAGTTTTTTTTAGTTGTAAAAGCGACTTTTAGTGATCTCTTTAGTGATAAATAATTTCTGATAAATCCATGGTTCAAACTTTTGACAAATTCGGATTAAACGCCAATTCTCATTTTCTTTTGGCGGGATTCATTACTTTACGTAACTTTTTTTCAGACTTTCGGTCCTAATAAACTTCAAAAATATCAGAAAAATCAATTTTTTTATCCAGGTCGTTTTTGAGAAGACCTTTTTAATAATTTAGTTTTTTTACTTACTTACTTACTTTGATACTTTGATGGTCCA